CGGGTGTCAAACTCCCAGAACCAGGCCAGGGTTGGGCCAGCCCCTTACTTGAGCATGCTTAAACCACCGTGTTTTCTTCTTCTTCTTCTTCTTCTTCTTCTTCTTCTTCTTGTCTTCCACCCCATTGAGGTGGCGCTTAGTACCCAAACACGGGCTTCTAAGCAGTCGCTGTGTGGGATCTGCAGTCTGTTTCAACAGTGTTTATGTGGTTGCAACTCACAATGCCGGTTGGGGTTCCCTTGAAAGGGGGTTGTCTTGTATCATGTTTGCCCAGCCTTGCATGGTTGCCCAACAAGGGGCATCTCTGCCAAGGGGCAGGTTGACTATGGCACACGGAATCGGGACTTGGAACCCAGGGGTCGTTGAGTTCCCCTAAAGAGAAACCGTTTTGGCTGATTGCATGCTTGGGGTATCCTTGGCAAACAAATCTGCGGCACACAGACAATGATCGATTCTCACTCTGTTACATAGATAGGCTCCCTGAAATTTTATGACAGTTTTGGAGCAGACTCCAGAAAAGAGAAACGGCCGCGTCTAAGCCTTCCCACCAAAAGTGAAACCCTGGGCGAGTCGGCAAAGAATCACCAGGGGTTCGGGAATGCACCGGGGGATTCCCACACAAACCACCAGTTGGATGGTCCAGTTCGGGGACATTCCAACTCAGCGGAAATGGCTGCCATTTCACCCCAACGGGAACTCACTTCACGGTTGTCGAAGCCCTCTCCTGACCTATACCCTAAATCCTTGTTTGTCAAGCGCCCCTTGTTTGTCCTTGTTTGTCAAGCGCCCCTTGTTTGTGCTTACGCCTGGGTTACAGCCTCCCAAAGGCATGACAAAAGCATCCCAATCAGCGTATTTTAATTGTTTGTTTTGTACTTTTTGCGCTAGCAATCCACATCCCATTAATTCCAGATACTATAACATAATTCTGCAGAAGGTTCTGTAAAAGGAAAACAAGCTGGAACAAAATCTATAAGCCCTGAATTGTGAAATTAAGAGTATTTACAATATTTATTGAGACATATTTTACATGAGCAAAAGAGAAACCTCTATCTACCCCTAAAATATCAAGTTGAAAAAGTTGCAGTATGACTTGAATCATCTTCATCATTTCTATGTGCTGGGCTGATACAAAATACGTTACAAGGCGTTTATATATATATATATATGTATATATATATATATATTCATGTAACACGGAAGTTGCATGACTTGCAAGAGTATGTTGATTGTCATGTTGATTTCTTCCAGGCTCTTTTTAATCAAAATGGAAAGTATCATAATAATCTCTGCTAGGATGATCTTTAGAAACATTTAATGCATCAAAAGCATCATTATCAGATACAAACTCCCATAAATTCTTGTAACACCTATACTTTCTAACGCGCAACATGCATCTGCTATACATTGATAAACAGGATGAGGCTCCCCCTCTTTTTTAAGCGCATATTTGTTCAAGTGTTCTGGACTTTTAATAGCAAGTTCTAATATCATAGACTTATTAGTCATTTGTTCACCATTTGCTTCTAAACACTAATGTTGAGTAAATGCTGAGTAGTTCATATTATTTTGATTAGCAAATACATTTATACGAGAAATTGAAGGTCGTTTAAGATCTCTTCCTCTATTGTGTCTATCTCTATAGCGATACAAATATGCTTTTTGAACAGCTAGTCTCGCAATTGTATTACACTGCTTTCTTCTTCCTCTGTATCCTTTAGAAGTTGTTGTTGTTTTTACGTTTTAATCTTGACTGAACAGGACATAACACTCTATTCATATAACTTATTCTATATGTTATATTTTCCCGTGTCTCGCTTGTCTTTTAGAATCTTGAGTACGTTTACGCAAATTACGCCGACTATAAGGTCCTCGACAAGTTATTAAACATTTGTTAGCTTGTGTTTTTATACGTTTAGATAAACCTTTAATAATGAGTTTCTCTGTGAGCTGACGCGAACGTGCTTGGGCAAGCCAGAGGCTGAAAAAAAGGGCGGCGGGAGCCCTGGCGTACGGTTGTTGTGGAAATCCCACAGCTCTTCGGCACTTATCGTGTTGGCTTCGAAATCCACGCGACAAACTGGGAAGCAATTGGGAGCTTGCCCATCCCGGGCCAAAAATTGGTTGTTGTGGGGCCTATGGGTTTCGTCTCACTTCCTCAATTGATTCACCAAAAAAAAGGACCTCCGAGCAACCGCGCTTTATGTTCACCACTATGTGTCACTATCTTCCCAAACGGGATGTGATGTCAGTGGAACTCAGCCAGCGAGTTCTAGCACGCTCAATCGAATCCTAGGGACCAACGGACTGAAGGGAGATGTTGAATGCCTCGAACGGTTTTGCTCGCGCCACTTCTTGGCCCAGGGTCGAAAATAGGTGAAAATGGACCCTGCCGTCCGAAACGTCGACCCCGGATTGATCCCTGGTGAAAATCTAGTGAACAATGCTGTGTTTGGGGGTTGGACACCAGAGAACCCTGCAGCCCTTGTTGAGTTCTTCATGAGTGAAGGGCCGATTTGAAGACACTGGCAGGGTGAAGCTTTGGCTCAAGAAAAACCAACGGACACGAAGCTCATGATTTTCCTGCTATCTGTGAATCGTTCATCTAGAGGAGCAACCCCTCTTTTGCCCGGGGGACCTGGAAATACAAGGTGATCTCCCCCTGGACCAAAGCAAAGGTGCGATCCGGTCGATTCCAGCTCTGGCAAGTGAGCTGGAGCAACCATGGACCCGGGAGAGCAACTTTGGAGCTGCTTAATGCTGGCCCCGGATTAATACACCCTATCCAATAATAGTTGGGTGCTCCCTGCAGAAGTGAATGAGTCACCCCCCGGTTCATCAACCGAAGCTTTATTCAGCCGGAATGCCCATTTTTTGGGGAAACGCGACGTACAAGTGCCACGGTTCCCCGCCCGCTCCAGGCTTCCGGCATCATCTTCGTCACCAGGGTACGCGCCTCCACGGAAATCGAAGCTATAAAACACATGACTCATATTACTTCATCTGTATGCCGTACATGGGTAGTGTCGAGCAAAAAACAACATGTGGCTCTCAGGAAGCCTTTGACCCGTCCCGCAAAAAGTTAATCTGCGGCAGGGGGTCGATTCCGCCTATCCTTCCGGGCAAATATCATGTAACACCAAGTCTTTTCACCAATTCTTCCGAGCAACTTGTAATTTACGTATTATAGCGGCGCAGAGCGTGTTGTCAGAAGGTTCTAAACAGGGGACCGCAAAATGAAGGCGTTCCTTTTGGTTTCGCCTGGAACCAAGCTGACAAAGGGGCGCCCTCCTTTTTATCTTGTCTTTTTGTTGATTACTTCTGATGCTTTTTCTGGTTACCACACCAGAAAGCATCGGCCGCCTGTTGGGAAATTCGACGAGTCAATTTGCCCAGGTGCCTGGAGTCTCAATGACCAAGACAAATTATTGAGGGAATCTTGCGGTTCACTTAAAGACTTCAGTCGGACCAAGCGGATGAGTGGAATAGTGGCACTGGAATGGGGGGGGTCTCAAAATGAAACCAATTAAGGAACCCAACCATTTCAGGGGACCCGGGACCACGATTTTTAAGAACGCCAACCATTCGGACAATGGCCCCTTTCCGTGGGCCCTTCCCATGTTATCACGTTGAAGGCGACGCGAGGAAAGGAGGATCCCCGGATCCCATCGCCGGAGAGTTGCTCCACTTCGGGGGTGTGAATCCCTCACGGTTCGAAAACGTGGAAACGCCGCCGCCTGCTTTTAGCACCGAGCAGTTCCGCTTCAGCTGCCGCATGATGTGAGATGAAGGTGTCAAGATTTCAATGTATATGTGGCGCCTGAATCAGCTCATGTTTGGGGAGTCGTGCGATCGCCTCATGTCGAAGTCATTTCAGTTCTCCAGTCCGACTTGAGCCGACTCACCGATTCAGTTCGACTGGGCACCGTCCAAAAACAAGAAGAAACGCATTCGGGCTTTCCCTGATTGATATTCCCGAAATGCCGAAATGTGCAGCGCCTAAAACCTAAAACTCTTGGTCCTACCAGCCACATGGTCCATGGTGTTAAAAGCAAAACCCAAAGGACATCAACGTGGACGGGTCCCCTTCTGAGAAGGCCCGGATTCACAAAAGGGAAACAACCAACTCTGAGCCACCCGCCACCAGGAAACGCTAATAAAGCCCAAGGGTTCTGCGAAGCTTTCTCTACACAGGGCTGAGACACGTGTCCCCTTTACAAAGTTCACCCCGCCCACAGGCGGTGTGCAATCCCCCCCCCCAAAAAAAAAATTGAAGAGACGATGCTTAAATCGCAGAAGAAGCTATATGGGAGCTTCTGAACCCTGCCCCCTTTCGCTTGTGATTTCAAGGGAGGCCAACAGAAAATTAACCAGTTTAGGTACTTTTCACCCAGCAAGAGTAATATCGTCTTCCCAAAGTGACGAAAGTCCATGAGCTCGAGCGAGCAAAAGGTCGACTCGCTGGCAAGTCACTTCGAAGCACATCTTTTCTCCCGCATGGCAAAAGCAATTCGAATCGAAGAACTTCAAGAGGCTGGAAAATGCTGCCGTCTCACTCGCGATAGGAAAACAACTAAAGTTGACTTCACGTCCCAGTGGATTTCTATGGAGAAAGAGGGCACGCTTTGTGTTGATAGTTGATTTTGAAGGGACACCCGGCCAAACAATGGCCTTCCTGACATCTTGGCCCTGGTTCAGAACAGGAGCAAACAGTGGCCCTCTCACCCTGGAAAGGTTCTCAAATGAGGGTTCTGAGGACCATGCTGGTGGGAGGGTGGTCCTAATAATTGGCCCTAAATTCCATTCGCGGAAAACATCCAGTAGGGCGGATTTCCGCAGTATTTCGGCCTGGGACCGTTGTTTACAAACCTTGACTTGCAGGGTGTTGATTGCATATCGTTTGGCTGGCTGGCTGGCTGGCTTATAAACAACATATCCAAACATGTGCCGAATGCTAAACTTAGAGCACTCAACTTAATCGTAACAGATATTCCCAAGTATAACAGATATAACATCACTGCATCCCTAAGTGTCGCCAGCGACGTCAGCTCAGGTACACCAGGCGCCCCTCCTGCTGCAGCATTGCCCGCCTCAGCACTTCCCTCTGCGGCTCCGGGCAGCTGCCGGCAATGTGAAACCGCAGCACCTGGAGCCTCGGATTCCCATGGCAGGCGACGGCCCATGGCTCCCCAAAAAAAACAAAAAACCAACACCCCTATGAATTTGTCTCAAACTAGATCCCTTTTGGCTGGTGCCAAAAGGGAAACCACCTAATTACCTGGAGAATTCCCCAATTTTGGAAAAAAAACATGTGGTTTTCTTTCTGGGGGTCCATATGATAGGTTCATCTTTTTAAACCTGCCAGACAAAAAGGGGTAACATCAAAACGGCACACCCGAATGGGCCTGGATTTTAATGGGGGCCGGAAATTGAAAATCGTAGGTGTATTGGTTCGATTTGTTTTTTCAGTAGGCCTTCATATATCACGAACACAAAAACGTGGAGCTCCAAAATACAACTTTCAGATTATGTTTCATATTCAGACCCTGAAATATAGTGTAGTTTTGGAGAAGAACTGTTAACCCAGAAGAACCATCTAGGCCTCTTGGGGGGTTTGTGCATCGTTTGAGCGGTTTGGGACTAAACCGGAACGGAACCCCCTTAGACTCACTTGCCCAGAGGATCTGAAAATACAAGGTGATCACCGTTGAATCCTTAAATACGGACCAGATCAGCCAAGCCAAAAGGAGAGAGAAGGTCGATTTGACATGCGCAACTCAGGGCTTCTATAAGTTTCCCATCCCCTCTGACCAGGTTCCCTCAATCTGACCAGCCAGTCTTCAGGCACGGTGCACGGTGTTACCCGAACGCATGGCAGCCCTCAACCACCAATTTTTGTCCCATGTGAACAGGCCAATCGTGGTGGAGAACCAGGACCTCACTTCCAATTTTTGTCCAAGTGCAAACTTGTTTAGCACTACTCTGCCCAAACAGGTGAACAGGATTGGCAGCCAGCCAGGGGTCACTGGCTTCCCCTGCATCGCTGACATCCAACCTGAGGCCTATGGGGCAAACCCACAAAAAACTAAACATCGTACAATGAAAGCCCCATGGAAGCCAATTCCAAACCATGTGGGTGGTTGTTTCTCTTAAGTCTAAGGATAATTTAACAGGAACACCACCGTTTTGGGCGTGCGATTCCCCAATTCGCACACGTTCATTTCAATATAAAACCACCATGATGCCAGCAACGCTTGTGGTAAACCCGCCATGAAAGTGACAATCCAAGCGCACCAACATGAGACCAACACAAATGGCCGTGTCTGGATTTTGACGGAGGACCCCCAAACATGTTTTGGTTTTCCTCATGCGTTTCCTTGAAGCTCCAAAAAGGGGACCGGCCAGTCCCTCAACCTTTTAACCTACCATTCAATGAAGAGTCAACCCTCAAGAAAAAAACAAACACAAAAAACGGGGTGGCCGCACCTTCTGCGGATTCTTTTTTACTTATCTGCAAAACCCGACTCAGAAGACCACCCCCCAACAGAGAAGCAACTACAAATACACATATTAAATGTCAGTGTTCACCACCCACCCACCCGCCCGCCCGCCCGCCCGCCCGCCCGCCCGCCCGCCCGCCCACCCACCCACCCGCAATAGCACAGGTCATCGGCTAAGGTTCAACCCCATCCCCCCAAAAAAAACATAACACAAACGAGAATAGCTCCCACTGATGAGTACGGTCCTGATCCGAGACAATCCAGCCATGGAATCGGTTGAACTCTGATTCACCAGACCCACGGGTTTCGCATGTGAAACAAACACTCTGTTTTTCCGGCGATTTTTAAAGAGGACCCCTCCCACCAAAAGATAGAAAAAAGGCAAGAAAACCCATTGGGTGTCCTTTTGGCACCAAAATCGGCTTCCTTTTGGTCTGTGAAAACTACCCCCAGAAAAAGTAATGCTGATCCCGGACTAATAAACCGGTTGATGAATAGGGGGGCGTTCCCTTCCAATAGTGATGACTTCTTACTAAACCAGGGGCATCCCCTGTTCATCAACCAGGGGTTCATTACTCCCATTACCCTTGAAAAAAGACAAACCCATTGAGGTGATGACCAAAACCCCGGGTCGCACGTTCATCCGACGCTTCTGCGCCGCGCTACGCAGGGAACTTCTTCTCGGTGATGGCTTGGGCGAAGAGTTCGGCGGTCTCGGCCGTGCAGCCGCCTAGCGAGAAGCCGCTTCGGCCATGAAATGGCCACCAAAACACTGCCCTAGGGTTCATTTTCTAGGGGGAAAAAAGAATGGTTGACCCAATACGGATTTAGGCAAACAATGGTGGTTATATGAACCCCCCAAAAAAATGGGGGGTGACAATAGCCAACACTGTCAGCTTCCCTGTGATTGGTGGTTTGGATTGGTGGCTTACTGGTTAGGGGTAGTTTCCCATGGACCCTCTACAAGAACCAGGGGTGCAAATCCCCAAACTACAACAAAACTAATCCAGTGTTACCTGACATTGTTTCCCCGAGGATTGTCATCATCGAAAATTGGTTCAACCATGGTTGAACTCTAGCGACTCACTGTCCAATCCTTGGCGTGTGAGAACACAAACTTGGCGTTTTGCAGCCACCCAGTGAAACTGAACAGAACCAAACCGCCAATTGTCTAAAGCAAATGAGTGGGTGTTTGATTCCTTTCGGTTTTTATTCCTTTCCGCAAAGCTTCCCGGACTTCCGCGAACAAGCTGTTTCTGGAAATTGAGCTGCGGCGAGGGACATCGTGTGCATGCGTGATTTTCACCCCAGGTTTTACATGATGTGTTTTTTTTCTTTTCTGGTCACCTACCACAGTGGCAACTGGAAGCACAGAAACGAATGTTTATGCCAGTGAACACCGGTTGCTTAGCATGACCTCCTGCAAATTAACTTCATAACAATTCCCCTTCCTGCAAGTCGCGATTTACGAATCGCGCCTGAATAGCACAAATCACCTACTCCGCGCATCGGGACTTCCAACAAGGGTTCCCCAAAAACAACTTCAGACCATCTAGAGTTCAACCCCCAGTAAAAGAATGGTTGATCCAATTTGGATGATATGATGATGCCATTTCTTGGACATGTTGTTTAACCCCATTGTTTCATGGTGGCTTGAGTCCCAAGGAGACATGGTTGGTTCTGTGCTAATCTACAGGACCCAAATGCGGAATGTGGACCCCTAAATCCATAGCGACCCCTCAATCGGCCTGAAAAACACCCCCCTAGTCCAAGCGCTCCAAGTATCCCGCTCTCGTAAGGTACAGGTACAAATCAATCCCAGGAGGTTATTTAACATGAACAAGTAGGCGTTTCTAATATACCCAAAGAACCAGATCCTCAAAGATCCTTTCAAAATCTAACAAAAACAATCGAGATGGACCCTTAGGGTATCTTAGGGCACCCATTATGTGCTGTCGAGACACCCTTGTACAGGGCGTTGGGGCCGGTCATTCACATGCAGCTATGGGTGTTTCCCTGAGATGGGGGACTGCCCCCCCCCCTTTTCACGGTGCTACAGGGAAACCCAAGCAAGCCAGCGTGCGTTTGCGGCTCCCACATGCAACGTGTGTATCGGCGAGTTCGCAACTTTCACATTGATACGTCCTTAATAAGGATTATCACTTGCCTGGAGGGCTGGGAGAAAAAAATAATAGCCTTTTGGACCTTTGGAACCTTGATTAAATATGGACCAAATCAGGCAAAGCAAAAGGTTAGAAAGGTCGGCCTTGGGGATTTGGACAAGTATGATAAGAATTCCTTGCAAGGGAAGTCGCTTTTTCACCGTGGCAATGGTTGAACCGTTATTTTCAGGGAAATTCAGCTGGGCCATTTAAAAGCGGATTTTCAACCCCAACGGGGCTGGAAAAAACCGATCCAAAGAAAAACCAAGTCCTGGCGGAATCCCAAGGACCACTGCCCCTCCCAGGCGACGCCGCGCGCCTTCGCGCAGGGAAATTTCGCGGAGCTTGGGGCAGCCGGGTAGCAGCTCGGCTAGGCAGCCTTCCACCTGACAGGCCGAGTCCAGTTGCCTAAGTCCCCTGCAAAAAATATGGAAATATGTCCAGTAGTGATAGATTCCCTTTAAAAACCAACAGGGGAAAATAAAAACATATGCTTAAGCAAATGGAACTCCTCTATTTGTCAGTTTCTCTCCAATTGGTGGTTTGGCTGCGGAGGGCTTTCCCATTTACCTACCCTCCACAAAAACCAAGGGTTCAAATCCCAAAGCAAAAATCCAAACCACCAAATAAGGGGGAAAGGACAAACCAAATGGTCAGTATAGCGATGGGACAATATGGGACAATAGGACATACTGTGAAACGCAAATGGAAATATTTGAATGAGGGCAACCTTTTGGGGGTTGGTTTAAAGGGAAACAAACAGAAGGCCACATTTATCAGTTTCTGTCTTTTTTTTGGAGGGGGGTCGCCCCCATGTCTGATTCAACCTACATGGATTGGGCATGGCAATGAAGTTGACCCCATGTTGATTGAACCCGGAACGCAGTCAGTGGCGCCACGCTCGTAAAGTTGACCCTGAGTTCACTTCACACAGAAAGCCACGATTCTTCAGCGCTGCTTGCGCGAAGAAAGCTTTTGGGTCTCCTCCGTCCTCCATTGTCCGAGGTGCGCCGACAGCGGCGCTTTCAATGTGTGGCATTGGCGGCTGAGCTTCTTCTGCCCGAAGCGCGTTTTCAGGTACTGGCGCCGCCGCCACCAGGCTTGGAGGCGACATGAGGCGACGGGCGGCTTGCGTCTCCCGGCGCAGCGAGCCGTACACTCCCAGTCACTGCCCATGGAGAGCTATGGCGAATGAAAGCTGTGGCGTCCCTGCAGCCATGTGAACGACAACACCCAACCCTGCCCCATTGGAGGTCTGGACCCTCATTTTGGAACTTCTTAGCATACCCACTTCATGAGTGGACGGCCCAAACAAAATAGTCCAAACTTTGTGTTTACCACTAAAATTGTGTTCGGACAAGTGGGAAGTCCCCTAACTGAGGAAGTGAGGGTTGGCTTTAAAGGGAACCCCTCCAAATGACAAGTTCAACAAGAAGGGAAAGCGCTTTGTTTCGGGTATCATGTCGACCCTCTACAGAAAAAGGGATCGGTATTTACCACGGAAAACCAGGTTGCACTAAGAACAAAGGGCATTTTGAGTAGGGACACACACACACACACACAGTTGAGGTCTGCCTCTGAGGCTACAAGACTCGCGCTTCTCCGGGGTTGCGGTTTAGTATTCCCATGGCATTCCGTATTGGATTCAAGTCAACCAAGCTGCCAGTTGCTTGAGTCCCCTGGAAAACAAAAACAAAACAGTCCAGTAGTGATAGATTCAAACCAAGAGGAGCAAATAACACATATTCTTAAGAAAATGGAAGTAAGGAACCCGCCCTCAGGCAAGGAACTCGTTTAACCCACAAATCGGTGAGCTCATCATCGCAGAATTGGATTCCCCAAAATTGAATGACCAGTGCCCAAAACCCCTTGACTTTTCTACCAACACGGTTCTTTAGGCTTTTGTAGGCTTTACTATAACACCTAAAGAACCAAGTTGTAGACACACCACACGAGGGTAAAAGCAACTGGTACAACTCCATTTTCTACCATCATCAGGGAATTGCGCCGTCTAATTACTTTCCCAGCTGTACTAAACCGAGCTGAATTTGGAGAAAAGCCCCGTGTCGCCGCGAGGAACCGAAGCGAGCCTCGCCGGTGGAAATCAGCTCCTCCAAGTCCTAAGCCAACCGCTGAAAGGGACTATGGGACAGTGCTTGGACCATTTTCGTTTTAAAGGGACCAGGTCCCGAACGCCAAGTTCCATGGTCATTGAAGGGTACTCACTTACAGTTTGGACCATAACTACTGTGGATGGTTGTGAATCCGAAACCGCACCACCTAAGAAACCATGGCTGAAACCAAAACGTTTGTTGGTATTTACGTTGGGGAATCCATCAAAATCCAGAGGTGGTGCGAAATAAATTTTGTCCGTTCACAGTAGGATTTATCCTCCCCCCCGATCCACATGGGCGACATGGCGTTCGTGCGCGTGCCGGTTTGGACCATTTTCCTTTAAAGGGACCCCCTGTCAGGTGCCATGTTCATTGGTGGGAAGTGGGAGGGCACTCAATTGCCCAAAAGACCTGGAAAGAAAGGTGCTCGCCTTTTGCGACCTTGACTCTTGACTAAACATGGGCTAAAACAAGACAACCAAAAGGTCAAAAGGTCAATCCGCCTCTGGTGAAAGTGATGCCAGTGGCCATCTAAGTTGTTTGATCCTGAAGAAGGGGTTTCCTTGGACAGCCGGACTCTATTCATGTTACCAAAGTACCAAAAGCTCCCCCAGGGAATCCTGATGTTTTGAGGATTGCTCCAAGCCCCACGAACGAGAGCAAGGTCAATCACCCTCTGTAAGTGGGAACGTCATTTGTTCCAGACAACAAATCCCCATGGGCCCTTAAGGTCACACCAAAGACCAGCCATATGCCGAAGCCAAGACAAAAGACACCACGCAATGGTTGTACTGTTGAACTGTTGGGGAGCTCTTCGCGCCCACGGGTACAACATTGGTCACCAAAAAACCAACGACACCTCACAGCTTTTGGATGACTTCTGGCGAAAGGAGTGGCACCCTGGGGCCTGTTCCCGCTCAATTCTGCCTCCGCGGCGCCGGCATTCGTGCTGTGGCCGCGAAGAGCAGGCGCCCGCCCTAGCCAAACGAAAACATGAAACGAGCTGCCTCCCTCTTGAGCCTTTGGTCCACAGGACACCCAGCTCGAGATCTAGTTTATGTTCGCCAAAAACCCAAACAAAAACAAAAACTGTCCACGACCTCTGGGTGGAATCCCAAAAAGTCGAGTTGCACTTTCTGGAGATCCTCCTTTGCGGTTGAAATTGCCCAAACCAGCTGCAGGATTTACATGACGTTGGCCAAATGCGCAAACAAAATCAAGGGGGGCTAACTTCCTTCTGGTTTGCATGACCTCTGGAGGAATACCCCAAAAATGGAGTTGTACTTCCCCCATCCCTTCTTGGGGATCCTCCTTTTCGGTTCAAACAAGACGACAGAAAGAGTGCGGAACGAACAACGAAATCCATGAGCACGGAAAAGCTTCCCACCCTGCGAGCGGTGAAATGTTTGGACCCGAGATGCCGTAGGGCGACTGTTTGGGGCTGGGGATTCCCCCTGCTACTTGTATTTATTGGGCATTGATGTTAAACCCCAAGGGCTTAGAAAGAACGTGTTTGCTATGAACAACCATTTTTCCCCCCAAACAGGAGGTGGTTTCTTTCTGGGCTCTTCAAAGGTCAGGGAAAATCTTCATTGGGACCCGTTTTTTGGGTCATGACGGCCAGGCGGTGTCACCTTCCCTTCAAAGTATCCCCAACCTCCATTTGCCTTTCCGTCCTGACAAGCAAAAATATCAGCACCCCTCTGGGTCCCGATTGTTAGGCCGAAACTGCTTTCCAAGGGCCCAGAAGTCTGCATTGGAGGGGTCATGACCCTCCAAATCGTCACATATCCCCGTTGAAGCCAACATATTTACTCTTACCTACTTGCCCAAAAGGCGCCTGCAAATGCAAGGTCGGCCTTTTGGGGCCAAGACAAACTGTGCACCAACATGGGGAACCAAAAGGGTCATTTCGGGTCGACTCGAAGGCCTCGGACTTCCATTCGCTGGAGCTAACGGAAGCCAAAGCAAACGGCTTCCCTCGTGAAGGTGTGGAGGTTGGGTACCCCCAACCTAATCCTCAAGAACCGGGGATGGTCAAATCCCCAAGCCTATCCAACCCAGAAACTACGGGCCACCAGCACAACTTGCGAACCTCCAGGCCGCCCTTCAGTGTTTTAAAGAGCAAATTTGGTTGAGACCAGACTGTACTGGAGACTTAGGGTGTCTCTCAAAATAGGGGGGCCCCTCAAATGATTGGTGTCGTTGGTTGTTCATTGAACCACCAAAACAGGGTGTACCCAAATTGATTTGGCTTAGTCACCTTGGCAGGGGAATCGCTGCATCTACTTTCACCCAGCTATGGGTTGAAGGGCTTCGCTTCCGTCTTCATCAAGCGCAAGCCTCAGAAAAAGGGCTTCAGTGGGCAAAGGCATAGCCGGGGTTCATTAAGAGTTACTCCTGAAGGGTAAACAATGGTGGATATATGGCTGTGGGTCAAAACCCTGTACCCCTGGTGAACATCCAAATAGGTGCCCCAAAATGAAGCCATAGGTTCTGCCCCATGGCCAAATTCACCAAACCTTCTTTCACTGGCAACTGAATCCCAAAGGCAATGGTCCCCAATGGTTGCTCAAGCCGTTCAGTTGGGGGTAATCGAATCCCAGCGACTTGGTCTGCCAAAAAAAACAAACCTAACCCAACCCTTGTTTCCCTGGTAGCTGAATCAAACGGAAATGGTCCTCCCAAACAAGTTGTTCACAGCCCACTCGGGAAATCTGGCGGGTCAAGACCGTTTTGGGATCCCATCTCCGGGCTTCTCGGTGCACCCATTTTAGGCCCTAGTGGTTGGATTGAATCGGATGTCTGGGGGCGAACCGATTGGGGGTTTGACCCATGGCCATCGGAGCTTCTCGAGAACTCCCTGCCTCGCCGCAGCGGGCCCCCAGCAGGTTCAAGTCCAAGACCCGCAAGGTGTCTGGCAGACTCTCCGCCAGATGCGCCGCGGCGGCATGAGTGAAGACAAGGTTCATCCTGAAGGAGAAAAGGTCGAACATCGCCCCAGGAAACGCGCATATTGGTCCAAAAAACGATGTTTAACTCACTTGACCAGGAACGGACCTGAAAATACAAGTTTAACCTTGACCTTGACTAAATATGGACCCTTTTGGGAATTGGTGTTGTTGTTTTTCTTTTTCGTTTGTTGATTTTTGTGCTCTCGTTTCTTTTCGTTGTTGTTGTGTCTATTTTTTTGGGGGGGAGGGGAATTGTGGGTTTGCTAAGTTGCTTTAGGAATTTCCATCAAAAGGGGATTGCGGCCAGAGCTTGTGCCCATGTAGTCCGGGCTTGCCATCGTCTTGTATACTGACTGCAACTGCGCATGTCCCAGCACAAACGAATGGCGAACAAGTATTCTAGGTCCTCCAGTAGAGAGGTCAGAATAAGGGTACCTGTTTTTTCTGTAGTCTATTTTACTAGGGGAACCCTCCCCCAAAAAGGGCAAGAGGGCACTGCGGGCACTACTGGGGGACCTAGTATTCAAAAGCCCTTATTTTAGCTTTTGTTTCTGTGCTCAGGAAGCTGACCTCTGACTAATACCACAGCCACATGCCTGCTACACCAACCTTTTTTCCAGTATGATTGGGTGTGATTTGTCAAGCCCTGAGTAAACAAGCGATCTGTAATTGTTGGCCCCCAGCGCAAAGTTCAAAACTTGTTGCTGGCAAGGTGAAACGGCCATGGTTCAAAGCCAATGGGATCCCATTTTGGGATAGGTGCACCACCCATTTTAGGACCTACTTTAGTGGTTCGATTGGGATGTTCACTGGGGCTAACTGATTTGGGTTTTGACCCATGGCCAAATGAATGAGACAAGGGGGTCCAGGCCGGCAAAATAATTCCCTCCATTTGCTTAAGTCCCCTGGAAAAAAAATCAGTAGTGATAGATGCCCCGTAAAAGCCAACAGGGAAAAACTAAAAAACATATGCTTAACCAAATGGGTATGGGTCAAAATTGAAGCACCGGGATATGGACCGCAGGTTAAATCGTCCTTGGTTCCATAGGGTTCCAAAATGGTTAGCCAGTTTTGACCCACAGCCAAATCCAGTAGTGATAGATTCCCTTTAAAACCAACAGGGGAAAACTAAAAACATATGCTTGGCCAAGTGGAAGACTTCATCTCAGCGGCTCGAAGTTCAGGTTCAGCACCTGAAGCCTGGAGCTGCGGAGAGCCAGCCCATAGGGCGCCATGCGGGCCAACATGGCGCCCTCCTGCACCGGAAAACCACAACTCCTAAGCCCAGCCCTACCTAGGCCAGTCGAGAGGTTAGAAGAATAAGGGTACCTTTTTTTTTCTGTAGTCTATTTTAGTAGGGGAACCCTCCCATTAAAAAATGGGGTGAGAAGGGCACTACTAATTAGAGGACCTAGCTACTGAAGGTTCTGCGGGGTTTGTTTTTGTGGCATTGAGGCCTTTCTGACAGTGGTCTTTGGGCGGTTGTGGCTTCTTTGGTGCTCTTTTGCGTTGGTTGGACATTGTTTGGTTTTGGAGCACGAGGATTTGCTCTGGGCAAAACTTGTGCAGTCCCCAAGGCGTGTGAAAGATGTTGAAGCCGCCGCATGAGCCAAACGCCTCCCCCCAACCAAACACAAACAAGAACCCCCCAACCAAAAACACAAGAATGGGGATGGTCTCTGCCCCGAAACTGGGCGATTTTGGGTCTGCTTGGAATGGGATAAGGAGTCGAGTTCTTGGAGGGGCTGACTGGACATGGCAAACTGCGCCCCAAAAAGTGGAAGTTTGGCTCAGTCACTGCGTCCACCCAGGCATACATGTCCCATTAAAAAAAAAAAAACTGGTGTACCCAGGGGAATCTAAGCCCATGCATCTGATTCCACAGCGGCAGCACTTTAGCATCCGCGCTGGGCTTGTTTTTGTTCCCCCAGTCCCGCCATGGAAGCGCGGCCAAGGCTGTGTAGAGGACCTTCAACGTGTTCAATGGTTTCAAACCATGTCCTTAAGCAAAAGGTACTCGGAATAGGCGCTACTCTCCAAACATGTCGAGTGCATGTTGCACCTGCCTGTCCCCTTCAAATCCATGAAAAAAGGGTTAAATCTGTGAAGAAGTCTTCCCAAACTCCCCAAGACAGTTCTGCAAAGCTTGAATTTGGAGGAGTACCAACAGGGCACAAGGGCAGAAGGTTGGTCCCTGGTACAGCCGGAACCCATTCACAGAGTATCTACCCGGTGGTCTGATCATTTTTCCGCGCCAGACGTCCACCCCCTGCGAAAAGCCATTTGATGGGCTGAAAGGAACGACGAGTGAGACTCAAAAAGGCCAACAATTGAAAAGGCAAGCCCTATGTCTTGCAATGTGTCAGGCAAAATGCGCATGTTTACTTATCCCAGGCATATCCAGACCACCCAACAAACGGTTCCCAACAAAGACACACCCGCGAGGTTGGTGCGTCTTTTTGTGAGGGTGCCCTTTTGGCGGTTGTGTCAAAGAAAAACCCAAGTAAACCCACTTCTGCCATTTTGTTGCGACATTTAAGGGTTGGAACCACCTCAAAAGTGGTTGGTAGACCCAAATTCCAGGGCCTTGGACTTAATAAGAATCGCACCGTGGGCTGATCATCCAAGCTTGCCATTCAGGTAAGCTTTCACGGGAAAAATACAAATACTGCCAGTGATAGATTTCCTCAAAAAGCAACAGGGTAAATAGAACCCAAGGTCTTAGGCTAGCAGAAGTCCCTTGCCAGCGCAAACACAGGCAGCCTAAAACTTCCCCCATTTTCCACCAGACCCCAGAGGGTCCAGCATCCAGGCCTTTCGGAGCCGATTCAAACCGCCATTACAAGCGAAACTCGCCATCAAAATTGGCCTTCTCTATTGGCCATTCTTTGAGTGGGGGTTGAATCCTGGAGTTTGAGTGGCACTTGGAAAGTTTTCACTTTTCAGCCTACATCTTCCCATGTCTTCTTGGAGCATGTTTTTTTTCCAAAACTTGAACCCACCAATCCCTTGGCCCTCCGGCCCTGACACCCCCTCCCCACCCCGCCCAACTGCTCTGTGAAGTGGCCTGGCTGTGTTGGGGCCATTGGCCCGCCATGTTTTGGAGGGGTGCTGGTACGGGAAATTTCGGTGTTTTGTTTTTCCACGCAGACCTCCCGTTGGTGCCGATGTTTGTTTTGAAAACATCCCGTCTCCACTGGCCAGGTATCCCTTCATTGGTGGTTTGTGGTTTGGGTGGGTGGTTTGGGGAGTTTAACCCCTAGTTCTTGTAGAGGGTAAATGGGACAGCACCCCAAACCACCAGCTGGAAGGAAGCTGAACTGGGCATCTGGGCGGGGTCGCCCTAAAAGGCTGGCACAAGGAAGATTGCCCAAACCAACCTGTCTATTTTTGCAAGGACGAGGCTGGAATCGGATGCGGTTTGTGCGGTTCCCTCAAAGTCACCAGTCGCCTATGGACCCTATGGACCATTTGAGAGGACGCAGGAGACACTAAATGTCCCACACAAAAAAGGGGACTGACAAAATGTTGCATGTACTTTTGGGGGTGTCTTGGTTGTTGTAGGGCATGGAACGAACGATACCCCCTCCCACCCCACCCCCCCCTCCACACACCACCCCACCACCCCACCACTCCCCACCCCCCCCCCCCCAGCCGCCCGCAACGCATTGCGCGCGTCCCATTCGCCTCCTCCAAGGTGACTCGTCCTCTCTCGGCCACGGAGCCCTCCTGCAAGAGCCGCAGCCAGGTGGCCGCCAGCAGGCGACCCCGCAGCACCTCGTTCAGCTCCTCGGGGCTTCCTACGTGTAATGTACGTAATGTATACATATACATATATACACGTATGTACATGTGTAATACACATGTTCATATATATATATATATATACATTCTGAAACAAATATGTAAACATAATATATATATATATATATATATGTATACATACATATATATATATATATATGTACATACATAGATATTCATACTTACATATTCATATATTTATATGTATGTATGTATATATATATATATGTATATATGTATATATATATATGTGTCTGTGTGCGTGTTTGATTTGCCGTGGAATGTCGGCAAGAGGAGTGACACACTTTAGCAGGCTTCCCTCCTGAGAGGAAAGTCAAACTGTTTCAGGGTCTTTCCCCGATCTTGACGCACACCAATATTTCGCCTTCCAACATCGCCTCAGTCAAGATATAGGGAGCCCTTCATCTGACGGGCCCTACTCCCCACACCAAATACCCGCTTCTTTCACGATATTTGTATGTCAACCCTTGACGCAAAAAGGATATATTTATGTTTCTTGCTTTTTCCACGTCTTTGAAAAAAGCGGCGCCATTTTTTGTTGTTGGGGGGGGGGGGCCTAAAGAAAGACACCACCCCAATTTGGCCCCCGGCGGGAACCCCGCTAAAATGGAGTGAATAGAAAGAGATGGTGCTTCCAAGGATACCTGCCGCCTAACCTCCCAAATGCCCCAAGTTGTCTCGTTAGTGTGTCGTTTTTAGGAAGTCCACTGTCGGTTGCTTTTAGTTGGGTTTTTCCCGATTTTGAGACAAAGCCAGTTGGTATATTTGAGAAACACTTATTTTTCATGATAAATGTCTTTGTTAGTTGGAGAAATACATCATGCCCTGAAAAACCGGTCATTTGGAGAGTTTGGAGTGGGGGGACACATCCAAAAACAGTCTTCTTTACAAGGGTTGGATCCTCTAAGTCAGCTGATTGTCTACCTGGCCCTAATGCATGCTGAAGGGACAAAGGTCTGACGTTGGCATCACAAAAGGAATCATGTTCAACCACATGGCAGTCAGAAAATACCCCCTACTCCGACAATACAATCGCTTTGAGGATATATGACTGGAACAAAAACACCTTTTTAATACCTCCCTTCTGAGTAGAGGGTTTGTGATACCGATACCCTAAAAAACTGGGTACTTGTCGTAGGGCGTACCGAAAAGGAACGCCACACGTATCAGGCTGTCCCTTTGCATCGCCCTTCAACCGCAAACCTACTTCAGTTGCCCCCAACCGAAGCTCGTGTTTTGAAGGAAATCTTTTGGGGTTCTGACTAAAGTGGGCCAAGAACAAAAAAAACAAGGTCAAAAGGTCGATTCAAGTTGAACAACTGAGTAAATGAAAAATGCGAATGTCAAAGGAGATCCCACAAAAGCGCAGCCTCAAAGGAAAAGGCCCCTGGGTATGTGTCAAGAAGTGTTGGACCCAACATGATTTCAAACACGACTAAAAAATGGTCAAACCCCCCAAATGAGTTGACGCTTGAATGATAGTAGTAGTTCCTTTCGCATTCCTTTCGCATTCCTGCTAGTTCCATTTGAAGCAACCGTTCCGTTGGAACAAATCCCCAAACCACCAATCCCAACCACAAATTGCGGCCACCTGAAATATGGTAACCCCAGATTAACCACCCCCAGTTTGTCGATCGGGGTGATCCCTGGGTTTAGTGAGAATTCCTCACTTTTGGAGAGGACACCCCACAACCCCTTGCGTTATACTGGGACTGGTTTACAAATCCGGGGTCAATATTACCCAGAACCTCACCCCCCCCCCCACCCTCCATCCCCCCTCTGTTCCTCCCCCCCAACGTCCTGGTACTTGGCATGTGCTTCAGGAACCGCCGCATCTAAGTCCTCCGACCCGCAGATGGCATTCCTAGGGCGACAGTGCGACCCCCAGAAAACATGTCCGGCGGAAACAAGACACGCCTAGTTGGCACCCAGGAAACCTCTAAACTCGTGGCACCTGCAGACCGAATTGACCCAAAACGTCTGAACATGGCTCAGCCATTTGTGGTCGAAGTGTCTTATTGTAAGTATTGGTATGGTTCATGGTTCCCTTACAAGGAATATTAAGAGGGTAATGACCAGCCCCCACCCCATAGTTAACGGTTTGAGCATAGCACGAGGCACGCTAAGAGGGCCGAGGCTCTCCATTCGAGGTCATCTTACTGAGATAGTTCCTTGCTGGGAACATGTTTCAACATCCACAAGTGCGCGCTTTGACTTTGCCAAGCAAGGCCAAAGAACAGAACAGAATAGAGGCTAGAATCGACTAAACTGGATGTTTAACATCAAGTGGAAGCAACAACTTCCTGCGAAGTTCTGCAACAGTCACCTTCCCTCTAGGTGGTTTTGTTCGAGGTCAGGGGGTGGTTTCCCTTCCAACCGGGGTTCAAATCTCCGCACTATCAATCCAAACCACCAATTAAGGGTTACCTGACATTGTTTACCTGAGGGGTATCATCCAAATTGGCTCAAACATTATTTTAATTTAATTGAGTTGAACCGTCCAATCCTTAGCGCGTGAGCATCACCACTTCCCAATTCGCCCCTGTTTCATCCCTCTTTCCAGCTGTGTCCCTTAGTGTCCTAAAAGTTGCTAACTGGGCTTTGTCAGTGGCTTTTTCGAAAAAGGGGGAAGGGGTGGTACACTTTCTGAGTCCCCGATGTTTGTTAACCTCCCCAGTGGCGGAAATAAAACAGGGCTTTTGTGAGGGAGTCTATTTGACTCGTGCATAGCTTCTGGACAAATTATGAGTCAAGCTTCCGTGTGGCGCTTCGCTCGTTTTACCCGCTAATGCTTTTTGCACACAGTAGGTTTCTCAAAATGGTGGACCCCTTTTATTGTTTTGGCCACAAGAACACCACGCATTTCTAGGTGTCCGCATGTTTCAGAAACTGGCTGCTTCTCAAAATAGCTCCCCCCAAAACAAAACACAAAATGCAAAAAATGGTATCCTCCAAAACGCCCCCCCCCCCCAAAAAAAAAAAACTCAAGAAAACGCGCCCAACACCCTGACGGTTTCTTCCTTTCGCTCGCCCTCTGCGACTTGGGGCGCAGAATGTGCACGCGGTCAAGCTCTTTGGAGGCAGAGGCGTCTTCACATTGGATGCCCAGCGTGGATTTCACCAAGTCCTAAGACGTCGAATTCCACCGTCTCAATCAATTCCTTCGAACGGTTTGGGGCTTTGGGACCAAGGAATCAAACCCAAAACGGGGTCCCTTCTTTGTAGCACGGTCACCAGGCAACCGGGCGGTTCTTGCAAAAACTTGCTGGTGCTCTTTGTCGGGAATGAGGGAATGACCTCTATCAACCATCCAGCTGGTGGTCTCCTTTAAGGGAATCCCTGGGTGAATTCCCACATTCCCTACTGAGAGCAAGAAAACTCAAGGAAGGCGGCCTGCTGTCGAGTTCCTGCGCTGCAACAAGTTGCGTCACGAGAGGCTACGCCTTTGGGACAAATGGTCACGAACATTGGACAGAACCAAACTGGCTGAAAGATACCCCCGACGCCCAACATCAGCCTTGTTTTCGGGGTAAGACAGGGTATGGTGTCAACCCTTGACTAAAAGGAGGTATTTCTCTTGGAAAACCAGGTTTTTAAACAACACTTTGACATTTGGAGTAGGGAGTAGTTTCGTCGAAGACACGTAGGACTATCAGTTGACCAGTTGATCCTTTTGGTAAAGAGACTCCCTCAACTCGGGGTCAGATTACTCACTTCCTGGGCCTGAGTAGATGGCCCCAGATTCTGAACTTTGGCCTTGCTAAAAGAAAAGCCACCCCACCCAAGGGCTTTTGTCTTGAGGCCTACGCCTATGTGACAGTGAGTGCATTTGACAGGCCATGTCACTTTTTGAGTCGTGTTTTCCCAATCGGATCGGTGGCAAACGGTGATACGCTCGATCTGGTTCGAGGCGAAATCTTGACCAGGCTTCTGGGCTGCCCTCAGATCCCCCGCTAAAAGTTTAACTTTTGGTGGGTTGAACACGACAAGGCTAACACGCTACGGGGATGGCTGGGAGCCACCAAGACTTAGATCCCCTGCCAAAAGTTAAACTGTTCGTCGTAGCACACCGGATGGTACGACAAACTATGTACGGATGGCACTTGCTGGTTGAAGTGCAAAATGAAGGAAACGTGGTGGTGAACCACGTTTCAAAGTAGGATGCCACGTGCTGGTGGGAAACCCAAAAAGGGCAAACAGTTCCAAAGGTCAGCGATCCGATTGGAATTTCTTCGAAGGCGCCAAGGGGAAGTAGGACTCCCGGCCCGACTTGCGCCACACGTCCCGGTCGGTCGGCGCCAAGCCTTCGAATTCCCTAAACGGGTCCGGAGCCAGGTGGTGAGGGCTGGGGGTGATTTCCCATTGACTCTCTATGGTAAATGCCTCTCGTTTTAGTCAGCTGACATCATAGGCATTTGTTAGTGAGGGGTAGAAGTTGGAGGGATTCTCTCAAACAGCCGAACCCCAGATTTGAGTACATGCGGCGCATTGACAAATGCAACTCCTTGCATGGGTTGGCATCAATGACATATGACAAAAGACCAAGCAACCGAATACACGCCCCACATGAAATAAACGCAACCAAATCAAAGTAACCACAAACAACTCGGAGACATACACAAATTGCAAACACGAAAACACAACCATAAAAGCAGACCACTATTTCTGAGTAAAGAATCCGTTCAGAAGGCCCACAGCTGCTCGAGGCTCCTCTAAGGGCAAATACGTGTGCTGCGGCACCGAGGTGTACACGCTGTAGGCATATCTGGGATTCGAAGCCGCATCCGGAGAGTTCCGAAACTACAAGCAACCAACCAAGAGTAATCCACAACAGTTTTTGGTAAACAGTGTATGTCTTACTTTTATCTGCTGAAGGGCGGTTCCCGGGGTTGCCGAACTGCACGGGTCAATGGAATCACAGGCTTTTGGAGGCGCTCGGATCGAGCAACAAGAGGTTTTGGGCGGTTTTGGGTGGGTGGCTCGAATGGAGCAACAGTACCTGCCTGGCTCTAGGGCAAAGCCAGCCCAACAAAAGCCTTCATTTGTTTAAGTCCAGTGGAAAGAAATATAAAAATATCCTGTAGTGATCGATTCCCGTTGAACACCAGCGGGGCAAAGAAATACTATGAAAGGCAATGGAGGAAACCAGGTGCCTTTAAAACCGGAGAGCTTCGGCGTTTTGCCGTAAGAGAAAGCCTGACGACTCTTTTGGGTGTTGCTTGAAAATGGAATCGGTCCGGTTCCCACCACCCAAAAGGGGGTCCACCATGCCGCATATTTCTTGACTTTAGGTATGGCAATTATCTCCTTTGCCCAGAGGACCTGAAAATAGGGATTCACCTTTTGGAGCCTTGACTAAATATCGACCAACTCAGGCAACCAAAAGGATAACAAGTTGATTTGCTTTGAGTGACTAATCTTAGGACACTGCGTGATCAATTCGGCCAAAGGGTTTATGTCAAGATAGGCCTAAAATACAACACCCAGGTGGTATCCCCAACAGCCCAGGAACCCTTCCGGAGCCTTCCCCAATTCCGACTCCCCCAGAGCTCATTTGGGCAGAGACCCCACAACTTTCGGGCAAAACATCGTGGGATCGGAGACCCCGGATCTACTTCTTGATTCCCCATTCTCCTCAATCGCTCTCTTCAGAACTCAGACCCATTTCCGGGGCTTTGGCCGAACAGATCCCTGAAGAGAATCTCAACATGGGCCCGCCTTCAGGCTGGAGATATGTCAAGCATCCCTCTCTGTGATATATCAAACTATAGATCCCTTGAAGGGTACAGCTGGAGATATGTCAACATGAGCCCCCAATCGACTTCTGGCACTTCTAGGGGTGGATTCCCCCTTCTTTTCCACCAGTTCTTTTTCCAGGTTTTTGGCGGCTTTCTAGAAAGACTGGGATGCGTGGAATGGGCAAGCTACCCTTAGAGCACCGGCCTGCGCGAGCGCTCCAGCACCAGGGGCACGGAGTCCCCGCAGCTGGCCACCTGCGCCGCCAGCGCCTCCCGCGACGTCACCTCCGCGCCGTTGCAGCGCCTCGCGGGGTGCGGTCCGTGCGTCGGGCGGAGGGGCGGCTGCCTGGATGGGGTCCGGGAAGGGGGGGGGGGGCTTTTGGGTTGAGGGTGCCAAGTGGTTGGTAGTTTTAAAAGGAAACCAACAAGAAAACCACCCATTGTGGGGTGGTCCCCGAAAATAGAATAAAAAAGGATGCGTCGAACGAAAACAGGGGAGACACCCACATGTTCATGTTGATTCCCTTATAAACCAAGGTGAAAGAGCCTTTTTGGGAGGTACCCTGTGGTTTGTGTTCAAAGGCAAAAAGGAAAATCCCCGGCGCGGGCTGGAGCTGGTTCTCCCAAAAGGGGTCCCCATGTCAGTCTTTTGTCAGGGTACTCGTGTTGGGGTGGTTTTGAAAACCACGCATGTTTTGGAGTCCACCATTTTGAGACAGACCCCACCAAACCAACGTCACTGATGAACTGGCCGGTGATGTTAAAATCACAAGGAGGAATTCCGGGAGCCCTGAAAGGGGCAGGGGAAAAGGACTGCCCCGAACAATGCCTTTGGAAGAACACATTGACTAACTTGAGTAGATGAGCCAGAAAAGAACGACATTGTCGTTTTACCACCAAACTGGCCTTCCACAAAAAGAAGAAGCGTAAAGTCCGGAAAGTACTCGCATTGTGTTGAAAAACCGACGGTTTTCCAGGGTAAATACCGGCATTTTTAGTAAAGGGTTGGCATGCCCTTAAAAGATATGCGGGTACTTGGAGTATATAGGGGGTATGGCAATGCGAGAGGCATACTCACAAACGAGTCCGACTCGTGAGCCACTGATTCGACTTTTGCACGCTCGAGCGGTTGTGCTCGCCGTCGGAGGAGCCTTTTGATGCAGAATCGCTACATCAAGGGTTGATGACCATCCCTACCAATCCCAAGCAAAAAGCAAGGGGACCCTTGAGTCGCCAAAATTGGAAGGCCTCCTCTTCGGATTCCCTTCAAAAACACCATCCCAAGAGGGGTTCCTTATGTTAGCACATTCGGTCAGAGATGATAAGTGACCTCACGTTAAAATAGGTTTTCCGCTGACTTTTTTGTTGCTCGTCCCCTGCTGTGCCTCACGATGTCTCCCTGTCTGATCAGCGGTGGGAAATCCCGCCTTGGCTTTGGCGACTCAGCAAACAACGCAGCGAAGTAGGCCAAGGTCGTCAGTGAAGGTGGTGAGTTGGCAACGGGAAAAAAGGTGAGAAAACATAACATACACCGTAAATACACATACACTCCCACACAAACTGGCATGGAACCCGACAAAGGGGCCTATTCCAAAAAGGTCAAAAAGAGCACGCCGGGAACATCTGGTTCGGTTCCCAAACCAGTCCTCCAAACATGGTTGCTTGGGTTCCACGTTCATCTGAGTAAGTTTGACCCAGAAGGTCGCGCTGGCAGCCAAGATGCGGCACAGTTGTCGTTCCCTCAGCTGGACAAAAACATGTGGGTGCTGTGGGTGCAATTATCTTAAAATATATTGGAGAACCCACAAAAAATCCTTGGTTTCCTCTTGGCCTCCCCAAAAAAAAGAAGCTCAACATGGGTACCTTCCACACCAGGCGCCACGATGTGCGCTGCTCCCGTTCTTCCTGCCGTCTGTCCCCCCTTCAAGCAACCCCTCCACCCAGACCAACGAAACCCCAACCCAGGGGCAAACCGAAGCCAAGGAAACCGAAGGCTCCCAGTTTATTCAGGGCTCCCTAAGGGTGATGTTTAACACCGCCAAGAAGGGAAACTCACTTGCTGAGTGGATGGCCCAAACAAAGTCCAAACTTTATACTTACCACTAAAACGGTCTTCCCAAAAAGTATAAAGTTCATGAACTCAGGAAGTGAGGAAATATAGGGACCCCTGTTCTTCGTGTAGCTTGCCCGCTTTGTAAATGCGGGGTCCCCCGAGATGGCATAGTGGTACTTGACAGAAAACAATCGAACGGCGCAGTGCGTGGTCCACACGGTCAGAATTTCAGAAAGGAAACCACAAGAGGAAAAGCTTGGTGACGTCTGGCAGCCGCCCAGACCTCTTGAATATGTTGCAGACCACCTCACTCCTTTAGAACATACGAGTGCCTGTTTCATGCATCGTGTATACGCCTATACATTGCATATAGTCCTCAACTTGGGAGGCAGAGAGAGTACATTTGCCGCGAGCAGCGCTTGTCTTGCCAGGATGCTGGTTTCACATCGAAGTTCATTTCGTCAAAGGCATCTCCTTCATAGCAAGCCCATGGAACGGGTCAAGCAAACTTACAAAAACCCTAAGCAAGGGGGTGGAGCTTGTTTTCCCTACCCCGCCAACGAAAATACTAAACAAAAAATCAAAACACCGCAAAACAAAAACATCTGGGGGTTGCAAAAATGCGTTCTGAATCATGAGGTCCATGCTCTTCAAGAGCTTCCTGAGCTCTAAGTGTCGCGGCGGAAAAATCGCCGCCTGGCCGAACTCCCACAAGAACTTTGTGCTGGTCCCCTACGGATGCCCTAAACATTGCAAGGAAGGGAACAAAACCCTCCAAGTTGCTGTGATTTGCCATAATTACGTGGTTGATCATGGTTGGTGTACTTGCAATATTGAGAGCATTCGCCATGTGTGTCCTTTTCTTAACATCACTCCACAAGGAACCTCACTTCACACATGCCTTTCCAGAGTGAGAACACATACGAATGTGGGTATGTTTTTTAATTCGGAACCCGGACATCATTTTGGGGAAACCTGTCCACCCATCACTTTTCAGGAAAAATCCCCTTTAAAATTCAGAGCCACATACACATCTTGAAGCGAAAACAGGTTGAAGTTTAAAGATCCAATTAAAATTACATGTTCAACCAACAAGTCAATGATCCATGATGGTTTACCGGCTTTGATGATTCAATCCTCAGAAGTTTGATGATCCATCTTCAACCAAAACACGTTGAAGTTTGAAGATCCAACCCAAGAGCGGCGAACGTGGCTCCTGGGATGTCGATCTCGACGATCTCCGTGCACGTCCTCATGGTGTCCACCTTGTCCAGGGCGACAAAGACTTCATAACCTGAGAGAAACCAAGCAGCCGTAATCGCCTTGGCTAAAAGAGAAGCCAACCTGCTTGACCACCTGGTGAAAGGTGGTTTTAGCCACCTGCTTTCATAACCTTGAGAAAACCTGTTTGGGAGTCGCTTGATTTTACTTCAACGGCAAAACCACCTGTTTGGGAGCCGTTTGATTTGGACTGAAGGGCAACCGGCTAGTGTGGCAAGACCCCTGCGTTGGGGGTCGTATTTGCAAAGAAGTCGTGGCTCTGTTTGTTTACAGGTGGACAGCCAGCGTTCTCCAAAAGTTGACAGCCTTTTTGTGTCGGTTCTTGTTTAGAGGCCGGAAGCCAACATGCAAGTTACCCCTACTCCAAATACATGGTTTCTAGTTGAATATTCAGAACAAGCCATTTTTTCATGGGAAATACCTCCTTTCATAAGTCAGGGGTTGATATCACACCCTAGAACTCAATGTTGTCTCTTGTGATTGTGTTTGCTCCGATTGTCTTTTTTCCCAGAGAAGGGAAAACGTTTCCTCCCAGGGTGCTAAACAATTGCCAAAAGATACTCGTATGATCGTGACACAATTTGGTTTTGAAGTACCCCAACACCCCCACTCTAATTTTTTAGGCCCTCATAGTACTGGTTCCCTATATTCCCCCTTTTGGTGATTTCAGACATCACCTTTACGGTGCCAGTTTGGCGTATTTCTTCTTGGGGTGACTTTACATCCCATTGGGCTCTCCGAAGTCCTTTGAAGCCTTCAAGGGGCGTTGATCCGACAACCGGAGTAGTCCACTGGGGTCTTCTGAGTGGTTCTAGCCCAAACTGCCACCAATGATCTTGGCCGAACACCCCACGCCTGTTTCGGTGTCCTCGGATGGCTTTCTGGCGGGAATGCCCTGGCGCAGTTAGTGTGTTGCTTTCGTCCAGGTGGCAGCACCAGATGCGCGAGAAGACCACGGCCTGGCTCGAAAAGACAAAGAGACCTAGCCCTAGGGTTAAGCTTGAGCCAAGCAGTCAGGGCTAAGATGTGTCCCACTTGGGTCATGCTGGAAGAAAGTGGAACCGGAGTGCAAGACTGGTCCCAAGGAAAACCTAGCCCGACTCAAAATACCTTCTTGAATCGGGTAGGAATATGATAAGACCCCGTCAACAATTCAGTGCAAGGATCTACTGTAGAAAGGGGGGTCATTCCCAGGGTGCAAGTAGATGGCACAGTTCCCATAAGTTGGGTAAAGGGGATGGGGGAAAATCGCACCATCTACTTCCACCCAACTGCAACCCGCAGGAACGCCCAGGACCATAAACATGAACAGGACCAAACAACTACAAAACGCTGATTCCTAGAATGCCCTGGCCTAAAAAAGACGCTTCTTACAAAACACAAGACATGAACTACCGTGTCCTTACAGGACTCCTGGTAGCTCGTGAGCCCCCTCGGTAAAGGAACTGGATACCCCAGCTGAACCAAACCAACAAATGGGGGGTTGATCAGCTGGTCCTGTACATGGGATGACCACAGGTTGGAGAATATTTTTAAACAGCTGAAGTTGCCATTGGGAAAAGTTAGCCATGGTCAAAACTAGGGCCCCTTTAATGTTGACCCAGGATTAAGACACCCGTCCCATTATTAAGGGGGGTGTTCCCTCCAAAGCTGATGAATCCCCAGTAAAAGGGGACACTCCCCTATTAATCAACCATTGGTTTACCAATCCGGGGTTAACATTCAGGGAATCTTTTTCTCCACCCCCACTGCCCTTCCAACCGTCCCAAATGGGCCTTGGCGTCCACCACAGACAAGGCCCCGGATGCGAGATCCATGGCACGGCGGAAGGAGGACTCCCCGGGGTCGCGGGTGACCGCATTGTCCTGAGAGACTCGAAAGCAGCGCCTGAGGTCTCCGTTTGAGTCAGAATTCTAGGGGTGGCTTCCTAAGGGTAGCTCTAAAAGCACGGTTGTCTCCCAACTAATTAATTGAACCTCGAAGGCGTTCCTTCCCAAAAGGGGGGGGTGTAACCCAACTGATCACTTTTCCAGGGGTAGCTTCCCCCATTCTTTCCAGGGATCCGAATCTTTCTAGAAAACCTCCCGAAACCCGGGGGAAAATAGACTGGTTCTCGAAAGGAACGATGGTTGGAATCAACCCGAAAAGAACAATCAAAGCCCTATCGAAATGGTCCAAGCCCGGAGCCATGCTTCAAGAATATTTGAAGGCGGAATTCCGCAGCTATGTGGCTGTGGTTGTCAAAACCGTTTTGGGATCCCATTTTGGTTGGTTGGTGAATTCACCACCCATTTTGGGACCGATTTTTAGTGGGGATTGGGATGTTCACTCATACTACGGGCTTTTGACCCATGGCCATGTATGGTCGGGATTGTCACTTGCTAACCTTCATCTACCCGAGTTTTGATTGTGGCTCATTTGCCGAAGTCGACCCTGTCCATAACGCAGGTGTCGTTCTGTTTTCGTCTTTTTTTGGACCGTTTCAAGGAAACTAAAGGCAAACCAGGTTTTGCTGGACCCCGACATGGACGTTTGTTTGCCCTTCAAAACCCATCCAAAAAGGGTGCCCTCAAAAAAACAACCCCGCATATGTCCAAGCACCAGCACCCAACGACTGCTCTTTGGAGTTGACTTAGGCGGGGATGCTTTCCGTTTACCCACTTTCACTTTCCAGCTCGACAAAGTGTTTTCCTCTGGCAAATTCTTGGAGCTCCCCAACACATATGTCTAAAGCAGGGCTGCCCCGACGAGCCTACCACAGAGAGCCATAGGGCATCCGCCGTATGAATCCCCTAGTTGATGGGTTGAGTAATTGAGTATTGCTTGACAGCACCAAGTAGCCCGGGGCTATGAAGTGTTGGTCCACACAAAAACAAACAAATCTGCAACGTGGTTCCTCGGGGCTTTCAGCCGCATTTCAGTCTAGCTTCCTAAAGATGTAACACAACCCTTGAGGAATTTTTGGGTTTTCGTTTTGCCGATAGAAAGCCTTCTCCCAAAAGGTGGCTTCCTGTTGCTTCACATACCGATTCAGAGCCGCAGCCCAGTGACCAAGGTCGACCCGGATTAATCAACGTAGTGGATATCAGGGAGTGTCCCCCTCCCCCCAGCACAAAAACGAAAGTGAAGGATCCCCTCTCAAAACGGGGCATCCCCCTATTGATCGAGCGGGGGTGTGCGGGGGTGCATGCTGGTTCCCATTGGCTGTGTAGGGCCCAAATATGGCCTTGCTGCCTCAGGAAGGCACGCGTTGGGCTATCCAACTGTCCGCCCTTCCCGGCTTCCCATCCTCAGACCCCAGAAAAGACATCCCTATGAGAATTGTCACCTTAAGCCGCATGAGTTAGAAGCCCCGAGCCAAATCACGCCTCCACTTTCATGTAGAAGCTGAACTAAAAGGGCATGTCCGCGTGTGCATTTGCTGTACAACAGTAGATACATGAGCCAAGGGGACGGTATTACTTGCACTTGGTTCCATTGGGTAGGCCACCTATGATTTGTGAGAAAATAGGGGATATTGGGTAGGCCCCCCAGGCCCCCCACGTTCTCTCCAAATGAACAAAAGCCTACCAGTGATGCTGTCCGTTACGCATATGAGCTCCATACCTCAAGCATCCATACCCGATGGGCTGAACGGGACCTGCCTCAAGTGCCGTTTCAGTGGACAAAATCCGCGCGGATCGGCACCAGTTACTAGTTGGCTTATCAACCAGTATTCCACCGTACCATTGGAAGGCCTTAAATCAAAGACTCATTTCGCAGTTGAAGCGCCGAGTGTCCAGCTCCCACTGGTTGTTGGCATAGGCGCAGACCCAATAGTAATGCTCCGGGCCTCAGCGGTGCGATGTAGAGAAACATCGGCGCGCTTCTCTCGACCAAAGCTTGGCCCGCAGTTGGTTTGCACGGAAAAGACGATTCTCTGAGTAGTACAACATACCTGAAGTAGAACATCGTTTTTTGGAGGCGACCCCAGAACGTAGTTGAGTCCCGTCATGACAACTTTGTCACTTAGAGGGGATTCCCCAAGCAAGCGGCAACCTAAATCATCCTTCCACCCCGGCTTTTTCAATAGGATCCTCTTGCAAAGGGATGTCCGCGACGTTTCCACTTTAATCCAGGGGTCGACAATAGCACAATAACCTGGTTCTTTTTGAGGGCACCCGTGTTTGCTTCGATGAAGCACAACCCCGAAGGAAATGCTACTCTTTCTTGACTCAACTCTGCGAAACACCAAAAACCATCTGGTCTCAGGATGTCTTCAAATTCAGTCAACCTTCTGAGACATCTGAGGAGACATACAATCCCCAAAGAATCAAGCACATACCCCTTGTTCATACCGCTTCCCTGGATACCAACCTACTTTATCATGGGTACAATGAATCTCCTCAATATTGCAAGTAAGCCAACCATACCGCTTACTGCAAAACCACGGCAAATAGTATATTAGAGAGGGGTGTCCCTTTGCCCTTGCTTGCCATCTTCGGGGCATCCAGCAGGTTGAGATATGTTGGTTGTATCTCCCCCCCCCAAAAAAAGGGACCGTGTTCAAGGGGCCTAGCAAGGAGAGATGATGCTTGACTAGTCGGTCACCCTTTGGCATAACCACCAACCCTACTAGCCAGGGGAAAAAAACAATCCAAACCGCGCCGAACCTATTTTGTATCGTATCACTGCCAAACCAAAAAAATGACAAAGGGCAGGGGGGCAAAACAACTAGGTCCTCCAGTAGAGAGGTTAGAATAAGGGTACCCTTTCTTTAGTCTATTTTACTAGGGGAACCCTCCCCCCAAAAAATAAGTTGGTAAAAAGGGCACCTAGCTGGGGGACCTACACAACATCCAAAAAGCCCCGCGCCCTTGCCGCCTGCGCCACCATTCCCGGCACCGGCATCGGCCGCCCGATCCGCCAGCAGCCCGTGGTCGCGGGCGTGCTGCTCCACGCAGGCCACGAAGTCGCGGCAGCTCTCGCCCCACCAGTGGCTGACAAAGGTGGCCGCGGGCTGCTCCTCGCTGGCTCCGGCATGGAGTTGTTTAGTTTGTTGTTTTCTTGTTTTTGTGTTGTTGTTGTTTTTCTAATTGTTTGTTTGTTTATTTTTCTCCTGTTCTTTGTTTCTCCGACCGTGAAAAGCATATGGCCATGGGGCACAACCTATGGCTCCAGTTTGGGGTGGATGAACATCCATTTGCCACCTATTTTGATGCTCACCAGGGGTACAGGGTTTGCGCTGTGAGTCCAAAATGGGTACACAAAATGGGTTCCCCTAGTAAATGGAACCAAGGACTAAAACCTGTGGTCCCCTGGTGATTTAATTTTGACTCATACCTACATCTGCCTCGGCACTCTTTGGGTTGGGGATTGAAACTTTTCGTCGGACAAAAACAAAAACAAAAAAACACGACTCGGCACTCGTTGCTTGGTAGCCTGCCCAATATGATACAAAAGTCCCAGTAGTGATAGGGTGCCTTTAAACGCAGGTGAAAAGAAGAATTACCCTCTTTTTCGGCAAAAAGGCAAAAGGTCGATCACCTTCTGGCTTTTGGCGACCCAAACTGGGGCGGTCACCAAACACGGCTGATCAAAGGCCGGCCATTGGGTCCGCCAGCTTAAGCCGCAAAGCCATTTGTTTCCAACATGTCTCAGGGGGCTTTGGGGTTACACCAAAGACCAGCCTGGAGCAAAGGAGACTCGCTTTGTTGTCTTTTGGCGCGCTTTTTGCAACAACCGACTTCTGTTTGTCAGGCCTCGGCAAAATGGAAGTCGCAAAACAGGTTCGCGGTTGGAACCTGAACGGGTGGGGAAGTGGGATTACTTCTTTATGATAGTGACCCGCAAGTGGCAAGTCATACAACCAGAATACTCAAAAAGATAAAATAAAGCAACCTCCCAACTTCCTGACTTTTATGACCCCCAGAAACGCTCAGATTCATTGCCCCAGTTGACTGGGCCCAACACAAACTTAAAGAAAACCCACAGCCGTTGAGACGCCCCGCTGCGCTTCGATCTGACACCGAACAAATGTTCAAAAGCCGCGCCGGAGTCGGAGTCGGAGTCGGAGCCGCGCCGGAGCCGGCTCCTGGAAAGCCACCATCTCCACGTAGCTACACCTCTTGACCTAACCCACCGACGGGCCGACGGGCCGACGGGCCGTGGAGTTCCCAGGCCAGCCCGCGTATCAGAAAGGACCCTCCACAGGGGGCGACCGTTCGACCCGGATCTCCAGTGGAAGGTTTTGGACCCAAGATTGGCGTGGTAGCCTCCATTTGTGTCTTCGTCCCATGGAAACAAAGAGAAACATATGTCTGGTGATGGATTCGCGTTAAAACCAACACAGGAAAAGGAAACATCGAAGGCAGTTGGTTTTCAAGGGAAACCCCTCAGAAAGGAAGAAAGGCATCACTGGAGGTCTGGGCCAAAGTTGATTTATGACTTTGGTTGGGAATAAGTTGAACTATCAAAAGATGAACCTATGCACGATGTTGGTGAACATACCTATGAAACACGATGAACAAATGGAGACACGTAAACAATATGTTTGGGACCATCTCTCAACAGCGGCTCTGCCTTGTCCGGCATTGAACAAATGGCTTCTTTCAGCCAACTAAAGAGTTACCCCTCCATGGCTGTCCTCATTCCAGGAAAGCCAGTGCGATCCCAACAACTCTGGGATGAGGGAGACACCAGAAACATCGGAACTAAGCCCCTGCTCAGCCCCCGTGCTCACCAGACGTGTTCTGTTGAACCCGTGCAAGAACCCAACCCTTGAGGTGTGCTTCGATCCCAGGCTTTTAGTCTGGTAACCTTCACAACCCTTGGCAGCAACAAACCGTGGCTTTTTGCCGCCGCCCCCCCCCCCCCCACCGAAAAGGAACAGAACAAACACAGATTTAAAGAAAGAAGAAGAAAACAAAACTGAAAACATGCCATTAAAAGAAAAGTAACCCAATGCTCAAACAACAACTCATTGAGAATTCCCTTGCACGAGTGTCATGGGTTTAAGCTCGCACCGTCCAGCAATTTGCACATGCTTTCTCATCTCAGTGGCCCCATGGACGAACTGGGTCTGAGTTCCCCCTTGGTGATGCTGAGCGAAACATACAAGGAGCCTCCCATATCCGGGAAGCCGGGATTTTTTTGGGTGGCGTTTAGGGAAATCTCAAATCCATCTAATTTGGAATCCCTTAGGGCTTAGGGGGGTAGATGCAGGGGGCTTCTTCGGATTTCTTCAGGTTCTTTAGGGAGCCTTAGGCACCCCCCCCTTGCCCCCCCCTTGCACCACTCCCACCTAAGGGATCCCATCCAAGGTCGGCCTCGGTGAAGGGCTTGATCACAAAGCTGGTCACCTCATAGAGGTTCACCTTATCCGCCTCCAGCGCCTGCCAATGATTCGAACCACAGGGTGAGGACTCCCAAAGGAGTGAAAGTTGGGTAGGTTGGACCCCAAAGAGTCTCAATTTAGAGGACCAACAAAAACGGGAGATTGGACCCGCAGAACCTTGTTGAAAGTGGATGGGCCACAGTTCCCCTTTATGCGCCCCAGCTGGGTGTGGGTGGACTGATCCCTGAGACACCTGGAAGATGTTGCACGGCCATGAAAAACCCCTCGCGGGAAGTTCGGGGAAAATAGATTCTCCTGGGCTCATGGGTCTTTTTTGGAGGGTCCTCGTTGGGAGATGTCTTAACTGGCAACAAAAAGAAGAGACCACCAGTTGGGAGGTCTCCCATGTTCAAACACGCCTACACGTCCATACAATCATCCTTCGAGCTCCTTTGTACTTCCTTTGTGTTCCTGCGCTGTTCCCTTTGAACATCGCTTCCTGATTCTCACTACATCTCGCTACTCAAGTGCGTTTGCCAAACCGTCTTCACTTTTCGGTCACCACTCCAATTGATCTTTCCAAGCAATTTATACAGCTGGGGAAGTGTGTATTTCAGGACCCCGCTCCCCATTGTTCAATCTAGGAGCTCCCCATTGCTCAAGGCGTTTCAGTCGAATCTATTCCACCAATCACCTCTCTTTGCCAGCACACCCTTTCCACCCTTTCCACGCTGCTTGACCACTCTCCTTCGGCTTTCCCGAAATTGCAAAACAATGGTCTCGATGACCCCTAGAAACAAACGCCGTCACCCCTTGCTTCTTGGGTAACCCCATTGTTTAATGGTCAGAAGGAGACTCATGGTCATAGGCACCATCTGTATCCGCCGACAACAGGCGGCGTGTTGGAAATAAGAAATGCTCCTTACCATTTTACTTGTTACCCCTCCCCTTACCCCTCCCCAGGGGCACGGTTTCAGACTATTGCGGGGGGGGGGGTGGCCACATACCACGCGGTGATTCCAAGACGTTCCTCTAAACACAGTTGCGTAAAAACATTGGGGTCGATTTCCCCCGGGAAAGGGGGGCAAAGGAAGGGGGGCAAGGGGACAATTCCAAAGGGACGCAAATAAGAAAGCAGGCCTGTAGTGTCGGCGGCCTGAGCCGAAGGCGTTAAAATATACATATATATATATATATATATACACATGTGTGTCTATATTATATATATATACATACGTATATTCATATCTGCTCGAATTCCCCTCCCCCCACCCCGACTTCCCCCCAACCCCCCCGCCTCCCCGAAGCGCGTCCAGCCCTCCTCCGCGCACCGCCGCGCCGCGTGGCTCACCACGCGGCGGAGCTGCGGCAGGGCCATGGCGCGGTGCTCCTCCTGAAAAAACTCGGCGCTTCCTTCCATCGGAAGGGTTTTGGGCTTCGTTGAGGGGCCATGGGACCCCAAAAAATGGGTGCGGATTTATTTTGGGATTTTTTTTCGTTTTTTTTCGGGAATTTTTTTCGTTTTTCGTCCGGGCCAGCAAAATATCGTATTTTACAGCATTTTCTCGCGAAATTGACGCATTTCACTAGCTCGTCAACATCCCCAGCATCGTTTTCAACATCCCCCGCATGTCCGATCAACATCCCTAGCATCACCAACAAATGGTGGGTAACAAAATCCAAAAATGTAGCTGGCGGGTTGACGGGGTCAAAACAATAATGCTGCAAACAGGAGGGCATTTCAATCCAAGCAAAAAACAATACAAAAAACAATTAAGAAAAACAGAGCGGGGTAGTGATGATTCGAACAGGGGTGCAATTAAATCTCTGCAAAAAGTCTAAAAAGTAGCGGGGGGGTTGGGGGGGGCGGCAGCCCCCCCCATGATGTTCGAAGAATTTGTAGAGGGGGGGGCGGCAGCCCCCCCCACGATGTTGTTTGCAGAAGTGATGATTTGAATAGGGGTGCAATTAAATCTCTGCAAAAAGTCTAAAAAGTAGCGGGGGGGTTGGGGGGGGGGCGGCAGCCCCCCCCCATGATGTTCGAAGAATTGATGATTCAACTAGGGGTGCAATTAATTAAATCTCTGTAGAAAATCTAAACGTAGCGGGGGGGGTTGGGGGGGGCGGCAGCCCCCCCATGATGTCGGAAGAAGTGGTGATTCAAGTAGGGGTGCAATGATTCAAGAAAGGGTGTGATAGAATTTACAAGGCAGCGGGAGGGTTGGCGGGGGTGGCTTCCCCTATGATGTTCGAAGAAATGCATACATACAGACATACACGGACTACACAGATTACCTAAAATGTCGTATTTTGCAGCATTTTCTCGCGAAATTGGACGCTCGAAAAAGTGATGATTCAAACAGGGGTGCAATTCAATCTCTGCCGGGCCAGTAAAGTGTCGTATTTTACAGCATGTTCTCGCGAAATTGACGCATTTTACACTAGCCCGTCAACATCCCCCGCATGTCCCACCAACATCCCTAGCATCACCCACAAATCGTGTGACGGGGTCAAAGAAATGATGATTCAAGTAGGAGGGCATGTCAATCCCTGTAAAAAATATAAAAAGTAGCGGGGGGGTTGGGGGGGGCGGCAGCCCCCCCCACGATGTTGTTTGCAGAAGTGATGATTTGAATAGGGGTGCAATTAAATCTCTGCAAAAAGTCTAAAAAGTAGCGGGGGGGTTGGGGGGGGCGGCAGCCCCCCCCCATGATGGTCGAAGAATTGATGATTCAACTAGGGGTGCAACCCCCCCATGATGTTCGAAGAATTGATGACTCAACTAGGGGTGCAACTGATTAAATCTCTGCAGAAAATCTAAAACGTAGCGGGGGGGTTGGGGGGGCCGGCAGCCCCATGATGTCGGAAAAACGCCACCTGCCGAAGAGGAACTGGGAATGCAGAGGATGCGAAAAGCCAAAAAGCCACCAAAAGCCGCATAAACCAGCAATAAGCCGAAAAGCCTAGAAGCCCAGAAGCCGAGAAGCCGAGAAGCCAAGAAGCCGAAAAGCCAAGAAGCCAAGAAGCCAAGAAGCCAAGAAGCCCAGAAGCCGAGAAGCCGAGAAGCCAAGAAGCCAAGAAGCCGAAAAGCCAAGAAGCCAAGAAGCCGAGAAGCCAAGAAGCCAAGAAGCCAAGAAGCCAAGAAGCCAAAAGCGAAAAAAAATCCCAAAAAAAAACTAAAAAAAATCCTAAAATAAATACCCCTCCAGAACCATGGGACCCCAAAAAATCAGGTCGCATGTGTTGTGCATGTTGTCTCAAGCTTTGTCGCAACATAGGATGTGGAACGCCCCAAATGATTAAGGTTTGTTTGGCTAGCCTTTAAACTGACCCTGAAAAGGGTGCCCTCCAAAAAAGAAGACACACCCAGCTACCACCATTAGAACAATTACGGCCGTCACAACAAGAAGCGGCAAGAGTGGGAGAGTGGTCCAGGGCTGCCCATGAAGCTGAGCCCCACATAAAGCAACAAGTCATCACTTACCCTGCAAGAGTTTCATCACTCAAATTGAACCCTTGCCGTTCTTCCCATGGGAATCGGCTGAATAGGGCACGGGCATTTCTTGGGCCGCTCTTGTATGGAACCAAGACTGGGATGCCGACCCCTGGGATGGACCCATTTCAGCGGTCTATCAGAAGAAGAAAAAAAGAAAAAGGAAAAACACGGGGTCATCATACCCAAAGCAAACAGCAGGGTATTCTTTCCAACTTTCCAACCCTTGGCGTGGCAACGACTGCGCTTTCCTGCAGCCCCCCAAAGATGAACAGAACCACGGTGAAGTATTGGAGTTGGAGTGAAGCAGGATTTGTTTGCGGTTGTGGGTTGCCTACAGGCAGGAAACGCCTGGGCTCTACGGGTGAAGTATAGAATACCTTGGACACCCGGTACTTGCAAGCTCGGTGGAGTTGCCCAGCTGGTCGGATTGTCATCGACGTCAATTCATCTGCGGAATCCCTCAGGGCCCTGACGAGTCGAGCTTGCCAAAACTCGTGGTATATGGAAGACGAGCCAGGGAACCTGTTTATGTACCACGAAAATGATACAAACCCAAAAAGTGACTAAAGTCCGAAACGGAACTCAGGGGCTGAGAACACCGGCGTTCCCACCGAAAAGAAAAGGAAGAAGAAGAAGAAGAAAAACGACAACGCCGCCTGCGGAATCTCGCAGTACGCGCCGGGCTCGGCCAGGTCCGAGAAGTCTGGGGCCATCACGTTCATTGCCGCAGCGGAGCGCGCCGGATGTGTCCTTAAGCATCAGACCCCGAAAATGGCGTCGGCTTCCCTTGGAGTTTTGGCCTTTACCGAACAAAAAAAAGTGGAGAGCCTCAAAAAAAACATATATATATATATATATGTATATCCTGCTGGATTGCAGCCAGGCGCTTCGAATGTCCTGCTGCCCCTCTCGGTCCACCGTGATGCCAGGTCTTGTGGCCACTGATCAAGCAGGACAAGCCGGCTCTGCAGCGGCTCTCAGGCTGAGTACCTCCCTGTGTCTGGCAGGATGAACTCCCCTGAGACTTTAACCTGCATGCGGTATCCCATGAACATATGAGCGCTGCCTGACATCGCTCGCCTACTCCGATCTGTGAGCCTGAAGTGATGTTGCATACTATCACAAGTTGTCAAGTCATCGAGCCCACATGCTGCACATGCAAAGCTTCGAAGAAGCTGAAGTGAGCTCAGGGCCAATCTGGGTTGGCCTTTTGTTGGCTGGGTGCTAAGGGTCTGGAAAAGCCAATAACACACCCATCCCCTTCTGGTTTCCGGGCTTGAAGAAAGCGATGTGCGATATCAGGCTTGTGAACCTCGAAGCGGCGGTGTGGTAACCAATTCCACATGTGTCCGGTGCCTTTTGGGGTTTGCTTTGGAGTAAGAGCGAGGAGAAGCCACCCTTGGGTGGAGAGATAGGTGTACTGTATGTATGCATATATATATATATGTAGATATATACATATGTATGTGTGTCAAATGTGACCCAAGAAGCGCAAATGGGGTGGTGACCAACCTGTTTGACGGTAGAAAACCAGCCAGTCACCCCAAATATGGGGTTTAGAGTTTAGATCTTTTTGCCTGGGCTTAAGAGGACACCAAAAGGAAACCAACCACCTGAAAGAGCCCTTAAATTAAGAAACACCCATATGGTGCCGGTGACGCCTCTACATGGAGAATTCTTAAAATGGTGGTTCCCTCTTCGCAATTTAAAGGGAACTCAAACCTGGATTTTGCCCGCTAGTTTCCGCTCGGAAACAAACCTCGAGAGGATAATGAAAACACGGCCAACTTGGTTGCAACCCAATGAAGCTAGAAGAAACACATGGAGCCATCTCAGCCAGCTTCTAATGGGGTAATGTTGACCCAGGATTAATAAAACCCGTCCCACAAGTGATGAATCCCCACCAAAAGGGACACCCCCATATTGATCAACAGGGGTGTATTAATCCGGGGTCAACATTCCTGGGGAACCAAAGAGAGGATTTAGAGGGTGCCACCGAACCAAAACACCCTCCCAAACATTTCTACGGCCCCGTCCCTACACCTAAAGAATCCAAACTTCGAAACGGGTGCTTCCCTTTGCTCGCGAGAACCAGGCACATCTTTTGTCTCGTCTCCGTGATCCAGCTGGCTTCACTTTGCCAGAATCGCCTCGCTCTCGCCAGGCCTCGGAGCCGCGCCAAGTCCCATCGCTTGGGAACACCTCTTAAGCTGGAAGTATAGCCGCACCGCACCCCACGAAGCTTAACGCTTTTTGGACCTGGACGAAATGGTGAAGATGAAAACCCCAATGCAAAGAGGTCGATTCACGGACAGCTGACCCATTGCATGCAAAACACTTCAAGACATGTACAATTCGTATGTGCAATGGCATGGCCAAAATGGGCTGAAGGTGGAGCACAAACTCTTTTGTCTACGGTCAAGTTGCGCCAAATGCGAAAGTTGGCCACGGACAAAGCTGACCTACATCGAATCCCCCAGCAGCCCAACCCGAACCCACCCTGCTGCAACAATTAGCAGATGAAAGCAAGGCGCTAATCAAGTGGCAAAGGGGGGGCGGGCAACATCACAGAATCCAACAAATCTGCTCATCAACCTTTCTTCCCCCCCCCGATGTTGGAACAAACATGATTCGTTCTTTGATCAAAATTGGTGGGCACCCATCTTACCAAGAACTGGAGGGTCAATTGATCAGCCTTGTTTTACCTCTTGGCCTCTTGGGAAACCAAAGGGGCTCACTTCCAAAGGCTTCTTTTGTCTCCCAGGGGTTCACAACTAAACTCTTTGACGCTCGCCCAACCTAGTAAGTGGTTAGCCAACGCGCTAATATCAGAGCTAATTTCACTTAGGGGGACTTACGAGTGGGGTATAACTTGCTTATCAACAACCTACCAACTTGGCCGAGCACCTAAGTCGTGGCTGTGTGCACAAAAAATCACGTTGCTGTTGGTCGACTTTTCTCAGATCCCTCGAAAAGCAGATTGAACTTTCCTGAGTGGATTGGCCAACAAAAGTGACCAAACTTGTTGTTTACAAGTAGAATGGTCCAGTCAACTAAAATCCAGGAGCTTCGGCAGTGAGACAAACATGGAAGCCTCGGATTGAGTTTAAAGTCCACCAACTGGAGAATTGAGTGAACAAAGCGTCTGTTGGTCGACTGTTGACGCTTCAACCGATTCGAACAGGGATGCCTTTCAAAAAGTGGGTGCGTCTTTCTCAGAGGCTCGGCCCCCCTTGTTTGGGGGGTTTAAAGGGAAACCAACAGATTAAACACAATCCATCTTGGGGGTCCAACCTCAAACTGGCAGCCAGGTGAGCCATGATCAAAACTTCTTATGCGGGTCATGGTTACCTTAGGAACCCTTACCATGGTTGTCTTAACCTTCAGTTGAGGGGCACATGAGCATCCCTACCAACCCCAAGCCAGTGTGCTTTGACAATTGCCTGGGTGGGGCACCAGGCAAGCGACTGTCAGGTCCAACTCTGCCATGTCGCTTGCATCTGAGCCCGTGGGAGCCTTCCGGCGGCTCATCGGTGGGAATTGCACGCTCGATCCGGTGGTGGCACTTCACCATCTCTAGCATCTGGATCCCGGAGGCAGCGTGATCGACCTCCCGGCGCTCTACTCCATATTCGCCGCGCCGGTCAGGCGCGCTGCAAGGTGCTAGTTTCCATTGCTGGTGTAAACTGTGTCGGCATGGTCCGAAATCCAGTTGAGAAACACTCATATGACTCATAGTGTTGCCGTGTCATTGTGGTCCGTAGTTGGTGAACATTGAAACCTAAAAACAAGAGAACAACAAAAGAGATCACAGCGGATGCAGTTCATTTTGGCAACCAAAGGGTTACCTCTAGGTCTTACGTGATCGTTTCCCCTGATGACCTTCTTTGGGCTGACTGGAAGTCCACACAACAGAGATCCCAGTCACAGGCAGCAATGCTAACTTTCGGACTAATAAGCAGGACTGTACTAATCAAAAGTGGAAAACTCCATGATCATTTCTAGGGTTCTTCTGGATTCATCTGAAGCTAAACGTGAGAGGTCCTCTTAATGGGGGTACCCCTTTGGGATTGCTTTAGAAGAAGAACCAAAGAAAACCGGCCATCTTCCTCCATTTGCTGTCTTTTCTCCAGAAAAAGAAGAAGCAATTATTTCCAGTGGTGATAGATTCCCTTTAAAACCAACAGATATAACTATACTGCTTCATTCCAGAAAGGCGCAAATGGAAGTCTTGAAGTTCCCCTATCGGATAGGCCCTATCGGAATCCTCAAGCGTCTCGACTCTTGAAGTCTTGGGGTCCGGGCGTGAGCCTCTTGGCCCCCCAGACGCCCAGCGACAAACTGGCGTGCCCAGCCCCGGAATTGGGGCCAACTGTTCAAATTATGGTTGACCCCGGATTAATAAACCCGTCCCATTATTAGGGGGTCTTCCCTCCAAAAGTGATGAATCCCCACTAAAAGGGGACAACCCCCTATTAATCAACCAGGGGTTTATTAATCTGGGGTCAACATTATGGTTGAAACACTTAGCCTGCTGCACACATTGCACGGGGCATACTCTTGAGTAAGATGGAAGCCCCAAAACGGGGTCCCCATCTTGGGGTTCTCCACAATGTTGCGAACCTTGGTCCACAATCTCAGGCGAAGTCTAGCCTGAGATGTAACGCAATTTTGGGGAAGACCCCAGAAAGAATGGTGCTTTTGAAATCCAGGTCCATTTGCAGGGGAGGCCTCATTGGTGATGCTGTGTTCCTTTCAAACGATCTGGCGAAATCGAATCAGGTGCGCGGATCTTCGGCCATCTTCTGAGCCCCTGACCCTGTGAGGAAAAACTAGAGCTTCAATCTCTCAAAATAGGTCGAACCGTGAGAATCGGGCTTCTCGAAAACAAAAAAAGAAAGCTTGGTTTCCCACAACAAAGGATTTCCCCAAGGGGGGGGCAGGGTCCGGGTCCCAAAGAAGGGTTCCTTTGACACCAACCTAAAAAAGTGTGTTCTTCAAGAAACTTATGTTCTGAAATCCAACACAACAAACCAGCCTCTCAGAGTGCAAATCGATCGACCCTCTTGCCCTTCAAACAAGGGTGAGCACGCAAAATGATATGTTCATATTTGTCATCTGTCCCCAAACCCCAAAAAGCACATTGTTTTGGAATCGGAGACCCCAGAGTGTTGACTACCCCCGGTTAAACCTCAACCCCCAAAAGCCCCGCCCATGTTTAGATTGGACATGGAGGCTTCCGTTCATCTGTGAGTGGTTGGGCTCAGCTTCGAGCTTCTCAAAGCCCGCCTCAGGGCGAAGAGCAGGGTCGCCCCCGCGATGCAAAGCGCGGCCTGCGGCTTGCGGCTTGGCGCCGCTTGGCAGGTGTGGACGTCTTTCTCTTTGGGGACCCCAGGCTTCCATTTGCTTAAGGCCGCTGGAAAAAGTAGAAATATGGTCAGCAGTGATAGATTCCCTTTAAAGCCCACAAGGGACAAATAGACAAACATCTTAAACAAATGGGAACCCCAAAATGGTGTTTGTTCTTTTGGATTCCCTTCAAAGCCACAGAAAACGTACCCCAATAAAAGTCTACACCCACGTAAGTCACAATCAAAACCAGGTATTGACATGGTCTGCCCAGAACCATGTAAAGAATTAGAAAGGCGGCTGGGACTGTCCCTTATTGACCTTCATCTACCCGAGCTTTGATTGTGGCTCATGTGGGCATGAATCTGGATTGGGACCCTTTGCTGGATCAACATTCGCATAAGGATTCTTGAAGAGGTTCCTGAGTGAATCTGTAGCCAAGTATCAGATGGGGGTAAACCTTAAGACTGAAACCCATTTCGACACCTCAAAGGCTATCCGTTCTGTCCAGCTGCAAGTCCCCATTCCTGATGCGGCGCCTGACCCTTGGATTCGGACAGAGCCCTGCATTCACAGCTTGGCCAAGTAGCTTCGCAACCAACGCTTGCCCCGATCCTTCTTGGACCATCCTCTTGCATTCGTCTTGGGTAGTGGACGCCATCTTCGCTAAGAGGCTGCGAAATGCACTTTGCGGTCACCTGGTGTGGCATCGCACGGCAAAGACATGCAGGTGACTGACAATGCCCGGTGAGAATGTTGCTCGTGGTCAGTACAATTCTTCGAGTTTCACATTCTTAGAGACAGAGAGAGCCTCTCATCCCTTGGGACATGTGGCTTTGTACCAAAGTGCTGGTGTCCCTTTCGTTTCCCTTTGCATCAAGGTGAAACTCTCCAAACAGTGGAGGTATTTTCCATGAAAAAACTGCGGTTTTGCCCAGACATACCAAACAAAGCGAGTATTTGGAGCAGGGATTAACGCCTTGGCCCCTTGGCCCCTGGGCCTCGTTGTCATAGGTGTCCTGCATCTTGAGAAACTGCTCCTTGGTGACCCACCTGCCGAAAAAGCACAACGCCCGATCGGCGAAAGAAATACAAAGGGCCTGGACAAGAAAAACAAAGATGCAAGGTACAGTTGCTCCCCTGCAAATGAACATGGAACTCGGAAGGGGGGGTCCTCCGAAAGGCAGTTCCTCCACAAAGGATTGCGTTGTTGGTTTCCATTTTAATCAGTTGCTGAGGGAGTCGGAGTAGCTTAGGCAAGCTCGCTCAACCCCGGGATGATTAAACCCTTGCCCGCGCATCTCTAGCACTCTATTTAGGAACCCTGGGCCATTGTCGTTTTGATCAAAAGCTTCCTTTGTCTACCTAAACCAAAGAAATGGAATCACCATGTGCGACGAATCGTGACATTAATCTTCCCATTGCTCTGAATCACTTCCTGAGCGGATTGGCCTTCTGGCGAAAGTTCAAACGGTCAAAAACTCCAAGAAGCAGGGCCGTGGGAAATGGAATCCACGAATCTGTGATACAACAGAAAGGGCGTCCCAAAGACTGACCCCCCACAGAAGTGGTTGGATAAAATTCGAGTGATCCCACTGCTAAGAAGTGGCCAAAGTCCAGAATCCAGGACGTGAGTCAAATTCCGGTTGCTTTCTGCTCCCCTAAAAGTGAACAACTTTCAGCGGTTGAAAAATGGAAAACCCATATCAGTTGGCAAAAAAGTTCTCAAGTCCTAACATCCCTTAACAACATGCACCAAAGAAAAACCCCGGCCATCCCTCGGATCCGACCCCAACCGACCCCATCCGGCCCCGCTCACTCGGATTGCCTCAGGAACACCGGAGTCTCCGCGTCCGAGCTGCGCAGCTCGTGCGTGGCCACCGCCTTCCTGCGGACGAGTGACGGCGATAAGGATGGTGGGTGTGAGAACGCCTTGGATGAGGCGGTGGGTCAAAAAAATGTGCCCAAAATGGAACCCTGGTAAGTGGGAACATAGACCAAAACCTGCCTAAACCCCTGTTGGTTTAATTTTGACCCACACCCATGAGATGAATTGGAGATGATTAGGGGATTTGTGTCCAACGATTTTAGAGGAACCTCCTGTTGAAATTCACACCCATATCCAGGGATTTTGGTTCGTCTACCCCAAAATGAAAAACTGTTTTGGAGGAGGCCCCAGGAATTATCACGTGCTGATAAACAGTGAATGATTGATAAACCAAACTTATCAATTGTCATGATTTGCGCGTGTATTTCCTTCAGCCCCAGCCCCCCTGCTCTCCGCCTCGCCCTTTTCCTCCTCCACTTCCACAGACATCCCTTGCAAAATCCCTACACCTCGACCATACCCTCCATCTCTCCCGTCTGGTGCACCCTCAGCGCCTATGTGACAACCACCTTCTTTATGGTCATTAAGCTCTACAAGCAACTTCTTAGAGGGTCAAACCTGCCCCATTTGGCCGTGGCTCAAAAACCCGGTACCAAAATGGAACCCTGGCAAGTGGACACATGGCTCAAAACCTGCGTAACCTAACCCCCTGTTGAATTTTGAGCCACACCCATTTTGTGCCCAGAACGCCTGCGCCCTCCCCCTCCCCCTCTCCCCCTCGCTCGGCGAGTCCTGCGCGCATCCTCCAGGTGCTCCCGTAAGCGACCTCCCCCGAAGGGCGCGTCAAACATCACGAGGCCGTGACCTGCGGGGCGATCGACACTCCAACTTCTCAGATGCCCACGTTGGACAACATAAACAGAGTGACCACCTGGGCTACGAAACCTGGGAACCCACAAAGGGGGGAAGCTAAAAGTCAAAAGGTCGCGACCTTCTCGCTTTGGGGCATAGAAGATTGTTTTTGTTTTTTCATTTTGGGCTACCGGCAAAAGTGGAGACTCAAAGGCCAAAAGATCGATTCGTTTTGGGCAAGGGAGGGATTCATAAAGAGGGGTCCAGGATAGTCACCTGCCAGCCTACAAACAAGTCGAGCCCATTGGCGGATCCCCGTTTTGGATCAGCTACCGGATCTGTGACACTTTGACGGGGATACATGTGCTTGTGTGTGTGTGCGCGTGTGAGGCGCTGTACTTGTTCTCGGCCGTGCATGCACCATACCCAGTGCTTCCAGGCAAGCCACCATGTGCAAGAAGGCATTCCAACTGGCACCTGTGATAGTCGCGTGCCTGGGAGCGAAATTAGTGGGGGAGGGATGTGGGAGGCCTAACTCAACTTTGGGATTTCAGCCGTGAAAGAATGCCCGATGAACCCTCCGTCCCTTTGCGGGGATAGGTTCAAGCCCAAACCCCTTGATACTGAGAAGCAAGTTGCTCAAGAGCCCCAGCATTTCAGTGCCGCACACAACCTGGAGACAGGGCTTGACCAAACAGCTTCAAACCCAAGTGCACATATTTGACATTCCCAGAGTAATGTGTTGGGCACATATCGTAGGCTTCTGCAAACAAGAACCTCTTTGAAAGCCCAGCAATTGTCAGGTGGATTCAGTTTTCAGGTTCCAGAGCCCCAGTCCAAATTCCTCTGCTTTTTAAAGGGTATCACATCAACCCGTGACTGGAAATATATCTTTAAACAAGAGGGAATTTGAGGTAGGGGGTACCCTTAATATTGTACCCCGCTGACAATGTGTGGGTCTTTTCGGAGCTGGTCTTATGGTGCAAACTTCAGGGTACCAGGGTGCGACTCCAAACCCCATGAACCAAAATAATTCGCCAACCACATCAGAAATCCCTTTCAGGTAACCTTCATGAGGTCGAGTATACGACCCTCAGGCGCGATCTCTGAACCCTCGCGCTCCCAGTTTATCCCCAAAGCACGTCTGCGCCCCATTCGAGCGCGGGGTGAAGCTGGCACCCCAGCGGTTCTTCGGGTGTGTCTCAAGAGGAATCCTGCCGGGTCAAACCTGAAAAAAGTCGAAATGTTGTTTCTAAACTGGTAATTTATTATTCAGGAACAGCCCAGAAAGGCACTCGCTGGTAATTTATAATTCTAGGAACTCCGCGTTTGTGACCCTAAGTCCTGCTTTGCCGTGACACGCACACACACACACAGCATCCACACCGGATGCCCGTTATCCACGCCCGATGGTGCCACTGTTTGCGGCACGAGTTCACACGGGCGTAACACTTGCTGGTTCTTATCGTAGAAACCAGCAACAGGAATTTCCACCGAAAAATGGAGGTCCAATCAACCACCAAAGACGGGTTGATTTCCTGTAGAATGTCCTGCCGGTTTTTGAGACAGGGAATGACCTTGGATGGGAATGAACATTTTGCGGGGATAGGAAACTACCATTGCATGATTTTTGTCTGGGTCATTGGTCATTCCCTGCCTATCGAAGCATTCAAATGCAAGGCAGGGCCCGAGGAAGGCTCCTACTGGCCACCTGCTCGTGTTTGGGGTTGCATCTTCTTGGAGGTTTCCATGGTTTTACGGGGAACCGATTCCTTTCTTGAGACGTTTGATCACCTTTTTGGACCTTGGGCGTGTCTTTTCATTTTGTTGTTTCTTTTGGGCGGGTACTCTTTCTCGTGGTGGCTCTCAACATGGACCCAAATGAGTCTATGTTGGTCATTTCAGGTCGATCCGTTTTGAACAACTGAGGTCCGATTCTGAAATATGACAAATGGGTATGTGTCAAAAGCGGGGGACCTATGGGTGTGACTTTTATGTCCACCAACCAGTTGGGAGGGTATTCCTGATTGAAACTCCTAGCCATATCTTTGGGATCTCTGCACACAAGAGCGAAACCAAAGGAAGCCACTTATGCCATGCAGGAGCTACCCCTGGCATGTCACTGGACATCCCAAACATATGGCTTACTGAGTCCTACAGCTAATGCCTTCTGTGCGGCACCCCTCTCATGATCTTGGCGGCCTTGCTAGACGCACCGAAATATGAATGCATCAGAATGGGGTGGGGTGCCTGTTTTCTGAAAAGCAAACTTTGTCATGAGACATGATAAGAACTTTTTGCAGCAATTCATGGTAGACAAGAATCGGCCAGTGCCACCTCGCGGGGAAGCTCGCCTGGCCTTTTCGACCATGCACTTGAGGCAAGGATCGTGGAATGTTATGCAGACAAGGTGCTTGGGGAAGAATCACATTTGTGGCTCATTGAGGCTCGCTAGCCTTTGAGTGGGTTTCGGGTTGAAAACCCCAGTGAAAACCAACATATTGAGGAAGGAGCTCTCATAAGATATATCCTCGGGGTTCAACCGCCAGAGAAAGAACGGTTGAGCCAACCTAGATGATGGCAATCTTTGGCTCAAAACGGTGGTAATACTAAGCCCCATGGTTTTCACGCTGGTCAGCGATGCCAGCATTTGGGACTCGCCACGGTTTGTGATCGGTCAAGGAAATCCCTGGGTGCCAAGGTCATTGGCATGGGAACCCCTGTAAGGAGCCAATAAAACCCGGAAGCCATGTATTGGCTATTTGTGTAGGTGGTTCTACCACTTGGCCTCAGCAATGCTTATTGAACCTCGACACTGTCCACATGGGCACTGAGCATATCGGAAGCTCAGGACCGGAGAGCCAGCGTGTGTCAAATGTGCACCGGGACCTGGGATTCCCTGATCTTCCGCTTCGCGGTGAAGCGACCCACGAAACAACTTTCAAAGGTAATACCTCCGTTTGCTGAAGGCCCCTGAGAAAAAATCCGTAGTGTAGGGGAAAATACCAAATAGATTAATCAAGAATGTAATAACATGTTTCAGTTCCTGCTTTTGGCCTACTGTACAGACCAATATGGAACGTCAGATTTAGAGTTGGGGGACCCCCTTTTTGGTTCCATGCTAATTAGCACGAGAGTGCCAGGGGTACAGGGGTCACTGGATTTCCCCCTAAGGTTGCAATTTACCGGTGGTTTCCCTTAAACCTGCCTCACAAAAAAGGGAAACGAAGAAAACCCTTCAATACCCCAAGATGCATCTTCTCTGCTGAGGGGAAGTTGTGGGGTCTCACCTTCCACACGTTTCGAGCATCCCGGGCGCTTTTTCTTGGCCGCGGGCCAAATGCGTTATTTAGCTCCTGGGAAAGGCAAACGAGAGATGGGCTTCTGGGTTTCACACGCGCGTGGGCAGCAAAGGGAGGGAATTCACACGCGGAATCTTTGGTGGACATCATTTCAGTATTCACTTCCATTTGCCAATATTGCCAAAATCAACAAAAAATAGTAGGTATATTGCCGATACATTGCCATTTAGGGATTCACTTTCATTTGCTTAAGTGCCCCCGAAACAAACCTATTGCCAATATTGATTGATAGATCCGCTTTAAAACAATGGAGGAAACTGACAAATACTATTGAGCAAATGGAATAGGAGCATTTGGATGCGCATCATCAGGTTGGGATTCATGCTCACCAAGCCCTTTGGTGGCGGTTCCCTATCAAAACTTATAGCCAGACAACCAGTTGGTTTTGTACTTGTTTGAGGCTCGGTACCTGTTTCGCCTTGGCTTAAAGGGAAGCCAAAAAGGAACCCCCTATTTTGACACAAACCTAGTTCGGTGCTTCGGCTGTAAGTCCCAGAGAGAAACACGGTAGCAGTATCCCTACATCATGGGTGAGCTCACAACAGTGGTTGCTCTCCGATTGATTTGTGTGGTTCCAAAACCTACTTGCTGTTTCAAATTACTCTTTAAGGGCACCCTGTTAGAACTGCTTTCAATGGGACCTTGAGTAAAATCCAATTTGGGGATACGGTTTTCCCATTTGTTGCTCACCCCCGGAACCTCCAAAGATCGGGGGGGGCACATTTTGAAAACTTGGTTCTTTGTTTTCAGTCAGGGGTTGACATCATAGCCAAAAAGAGTGTATTTGGGTGTGTCTCACAATGGGGGAGACCCCAAAATGTTCGTTCTCTTCTTGATTTCCCTTTTGAACCACGAAAAAGGCGGGGGTACCCTTAAAAAGAGACAGACCCCTTTGGAGTCGAGGCCCATTTTTTCCAACATGTCAAAACAGGTTCTCCACATCAAATCACTGTGGACCAAGGCAACCATTGAGCCAACCCGACGGATCGTGGCCTTGCAGTGTTGCTTCGAGATTTCAAGGAACCCGATTCAAATTGAGTTGCTCTTTGGCCCATAGCAGAAGCTCGATCACCTTTTGTCGGTTTAGTGGAAAGCCAGTTGTTTCCAAAAGGTCTAAGAGGCATCCAAAAAGTCATCATCATGAGAGTCAAATTCGGGGAATGTGGACCCCACATTTATAAACCAGTTCTATGCATAGTTGTGTTCCCTTCCAGCACTCAAAGGGCACACCGCCGCCTCAAAATCAACCGGGACTTCTACTAAGATCCTGGGCGCCCATTCCCAAACACTCCAATTTTTACCCTAATGGGTCAAATGTTGGAATAACATGCATATATATATATACTTATTACATGGACCGTGTCGGAATTGTTCAAGCCCCCCCCTCCCAGCACTCAGCCGCACGGCTTCTCCCTCGACTTCGCCTCTTGTCGATCGAATCCGATGGCGCGCCTCAGGCGAGGTGCATCTCCCGCCCCGACTCCTGCAGCACCTGACGCCCGAGTCCACGAGGATCGCGGAAATCGGAGGGCCCAACGCCGTAGATGACTCCGGAGATTTTTTTCCAAAGCAACGGTGAGGCATCAGACATGGCCAAAAACCATAAACTACCCCAGGAGTTGCTCCAAAAATGCCTTGAACAATGCGAGGACTTGGAGGAGGGTTGACTTTTGGCTCTGGCAAGATGACCATAAAGGTTGGTATAGGCCTTACTATCGCCAGACGTGGGACCTCCGGCTGGCAGAACCCTCTTGACACCTGTTGGTGTTGTTACTGGCAGCCTCAACCTGTGCCTGTGGGTTGAGGAGCAAGAATCAAGAACCTTCTTGGAAAGCATGTGAGAACCTTTCGGCGTACGCCGAATGTCGAGCACCCCCGGGTTTGAAGGCCAAAGTTCGGAATGTCCAACCGGCACCCCATGTCACCTCCTGAGTTGATTGCCCAAGACAAGCAACCAAACCTTCTGGTTTACCACTAAAATGGTGCCTCGGCCCCCCAAAAGCGACTAAAGCAACCGAAACGGAACTCAGGAAGTTGAGCCCTTGAAAAACCCCCACCATGTGACGAAAGCCCACACCGAAGCTCCGGACAACTCGACGCCGGCCGCCCGCAAAATTTACCCGCCATGCGGCGCGCGCGCCTTGTAAAGCCGGGACTCCAAGTCCCGACGGCTCAGCAGCGGCGGCAGGACCTCGGAGGTGCTGTGGATGGGTCCGCGACATCCGCTTCTTCCACCGAAGAAACCCTGGAATGATTCGATTCCCCTGTAAATACCAACAATGGTTTCCAATACTTGTTCAAAGTGGTGCGAACGGATTTCGTCCATCCACAGGAGGTCTCAAAAAGGCAGGGAACCGCCAAAATAGTTGGAAGCCCATTTGGGTGTGTCTAACCCCATGGAGCCAAGCACGAACCCACCCCAAGGCTCCAATCCCATTGTTTTTTGGACCTCAGAGTAAGCCTTTGACTAAGCAATGGATGGGAGTTCCCTGCCGTTTTGTCGGAGGGAGCAAATTGGAGTCCTTCATGCCACAAACATATCCTGAAGTATGTTGGTCTTACCTCGCCATCTGCGGCGACCACTGCGGCCGACCGAAATACTGAAGTGCTTGGCCCGACAAATCTGTAGCTTTCATCATCCGTTCCTTGAAGGAGCCACAAAGAGTTTTCTGGGTTTCTGAACAGAAGTATCCCTGAGACAAGCTCTGGGCCACTTGTTGTAATCCCCCAGCAAGGGATCTTCATCCCGATGAGCTCGTGATAATTTGTGACGTCAGGCCTAGGTGTCCTCACTTGAGTGGAGTGTGTAAAACAAATCTAAAGTTTTGTTGGCACCAAAATGGTCCAACCCCAAGAAATAGACAGTCCATGAACTTGTCCCTTCGAAACAGAAACATGACTAGAAACAATGTGAAACCAGTGGAGTCCGTCATTTCTTTCAGCCACAGTGAGCCAAAAGGACCTGCAATTTCTAACCGCTGGATCCATTAAGGTGACTTCCTCAAAACTACCCGGGTGGTAGCAAGGCAAACCACCCAGTAATTTGTCGCAGATTCGTTGCAAAGAACCTCCAATTCAATTCGCGCCGGGGCGCTAGAAGGTTGGTGCAGGTGTGAGCGGATGGCAAAGCCTCGCAGGCAGCAATCCTAACTTGGTGCAAATCTTCACCAAACTCATCTAAGGAATATCTAGATAACAGGGTTGCCTCCAAAAACCCTGGGTACATCGCAAAACAAACATATTCAGATTCCTCTTCATATGTAGTCAGCCGCACAACATACAAAATATTCTCTGAGGAGACCCCAGCTACAAGCCAGCAGCCAGCCCTAAACCAATCCCAAACAGACCAATTCACCCCACTGCTTCGGACCGGGCCAAGGCTCAAAACCATGTTGCCATGTTTCTTGTTGGAGATCATGTTCACTTTGGATTAATCCGGAGATTTTTTGTCAGAGGAACCGCAAAGAATCCATCATTTCCTTACCAAACGGCATCTTACCTTGCAGGTAGAAGATCATAAGTTTTCTTGCTCATGGGAAAATCCTTGATTTGCACAAACTGCCAAAAGGGCGGGGTATCAAACTACTTCGGATTGATTCATTTGCACCTCGGCAAACAAGTGATGAAATCGCAAAATAATTTTCGCTCACGCCCAAGGGAATCTGTGTTGCAGTGACTCAGTCATCCCGCAAAAAGCACGTCTTCTGTAAAAACCTGCAAGGAAGCTCTGGATCAGGCGTGTTCCATGAAAACACAGCATAACGTCTTGGCAGTGCTCGCAAACGAATTTAGCTGATAGTGCCGGCTAAAAGAACTTCGATTGGCCCACAAATTGTTCACACTTTCTAGGTTGCCCCTAAAATTGTCTTCCCAAAACAGATTTAGTCCAGGAACTCAGAGAGTAAGCCAGTGAACCAGTAGGGTCGAGTCATAGTTCATATTTCTGCTTTGCGGTATGGTCTGGGTGCCTGAGGGGAACAACTCAGTACAATCTGCGAGCAGGTTGGTCTTGCGCAGCTTGACGCAAATCAAGCACGCTGCGTGCCAGCCTGACTTGAGCTGCAAAACCTCAGAGTCCTCGGCCCTTGTCACAGGATTGGGATACGTCCTCTCGGCAGAACGTGTGGCCCCATGCCGGGGACTGCGCTCGATCCGGCATTGTTGGCTTTGGCTGCGGTCAAGGAAAAGACCGCGGCCGTGCCAAATTAGATGCAACACCTGGCAGATCCAAGCCAGAAGCATTTATACATAATATGATATATAATATTATAAAAAATGTATGTATATATATATATATATATTATTGTTGATATTGCACATGCACATACATATCACATGTCTTTTTGCATACGTGCTTTATACTATCTCTCTAGACATAGGGTGACATATGCACTTACATACATACCGCTCGTTTGACTGCATGCCCCCCAATTCAGGCTGGTTTCCCTTTGGAATCCCTTTGACAACTCCAAAAAAGGATACCCTCAAGAGCAGACACAACATTTCCTAGCCGCCAGCGAAAACATTTTCCAGGACCAAATGCCCAGGAAATCAGAAGCAGTCCCATAGTACCTTTCTCTTGAGCGGATAAGCGAACCCATTTTGTGGGGTGCCTGATGGCGCCGTGGAAACCAAACAAGCCTCTAGGTGGATCAACCAGTTGCAAGCCACTCTCCGGAAAATTGGTATGGAACCCAAACAACCCTCGTTTGTACGTAGAGGTAATGGACACCCCTTGCTTACAATGGTAGATGCGATCGGTGTTCTCCCTTGTTTCTGTTGCAGTGGCCAAACTCCCAGCTCTGAAATGCCAAACCAATGGTCCTTGTCATCTTCGTTTTCTTCATTTTGGCTCAGGCGGGCCGACACCCACACCTCTCCCCGCTTGCGCCTCTGGATTGCCCTCCACTTGCACACGGAAAGGCTGGTATCTCCCTGGCGGGGCCGGAGGCGAGAGCAAGCGGGGCCCAGAAAACGACTCGGGTCGTAGCAAGCAAGAAGTGCGGTCTGGTAGTAAACCCGCAAGTGTAGATTTAGGTGTACCCTTTTGGGATTATTTCAAGGGGCAACCAAAAGATTGCCAATTACCAATCATTGTTGGGGGGTCCCCTTGCTTTTTTGTGGGCAAGCGGCAAGCGAGTTAGGTCTCAATCCCTGCCTGATTTTAAGCACAAGGACTATCTGCAGCCCCGCAACCTCCCCAAAGCGGCAGAGCCTTCCCAGACCCTATAGCTGTAGCTGTGGAGACAAAAAAGGTACCTCTTCCGCCCTCCATGGCCACCATTGTCCTTACAATGGAAAAGTATAGTGATGTGAAGGGGCGGGTTGCGGACCCGCCCCCCCCCCCCCGTTCATGCTTTGCGTTCGAGCAAGCGCAACCTGCGCATATGTACACGAGCCACCAACTAAATGTCCTGTTTACTATGTCACATTGTATTTGATCTGGCTTTGGACTTGGTTTGACTTGTTTTACATCGAGCGCGTCAAATCAATGTTTTTTTCTTTTGCTTTGCAGCACCTTCTGTCAGGTTTTACAAAAAACGTAGGGACGGTTGCCCTCTGCCTTACTTCCTTGCTTGCCCAAAGGACCTGGACATAAAGGGCAATCACCTTTAAGAATCTTCACTGAAAGTCGACCAACACAGGCAAATCATGGCAAATCAACAGGCTAGAAAATTGGCCAGAAAAAAACAACACCTATTTTTGTTGCTTAACAAAAAACTATCATACTGAAATGGTTCTCCCAAGTGTCTCAAGTCCAGGAACTCAGGGAGTGAGGTCTTACTTGGGTGGCTTTTTTAGGAAGCGGACCCCCCCAAAATGGGGGAGCGGCTTTCCCTTTGGGCGCTCCATTAAAACGTTTCAAAGGGGGGGGTACCAACTCCAGACCTGTTTTCCATTAAGCCGCTCCCCCCCCTCCTCCTCCCCCCCCAAAAAAAATGAAACTCCAAAAAAACTCCAAACAACTCAAAAGAAAACTCCAAAGAACCAAAAAAGCTACGGCCAGCTGGCTGTGATTCCTCTTGGCCGCGCCTTGGGGGTCCCGCAGCCCTTGCCATCCGCATGGCAACACCTCGGTGCCATCGGAAGGGGCGAAAGGCGTTCGGCGAAAGGCGCAGCCCGGAAGCCTTCCGCATGGAGACGTGGCCAGACTTGGACCCCCAGAAAGTCGTTGGTGACCAGCGCTTTGCTGGCAGTGAACAACTTTTGCTGGCTTGTTGCTGGTAGTGAACAACTTGTTGCTGGTTGAAAGGTAAAATGATGGAAAATTAGAAAGGGAACCAGTTACAAAGGCAAGTTAAGTCGGGCAATGGAGAGAAGGCAGTAAATGGATATCTCTACAGGGGGGCCAACCACGATAGGTGTTTCCAAAATGTTCCCTCAACAGAAACAGTCACAGCCATTTCTGATCGAAACACTGTGGTTGCTGCCTTGACACGGCAGTTGCTTGACAGAAGCCGTGCCTTTTTGTTGAGGGTATCTCGTTTTGGTGGGCAAACCAAAGCCATTTGGGGGTACCCTCAAAAAGCCGAGCGAGCCTCTTGAAAGAGGTTGGCCCAAACCTCCGTGTCCTGACGGGAACGGGAACTGGGCTGAGTTGAAAAGGAGAGGCTTGGGTTTCCGTCGCAACAGTCAATGGAAGCTGACAGGGTGTTGCCATGTCGAATCAATGGTCGCATGACTGCCGAACCCGGCAAGGTTCCAATGCAACGGTCCCACCAGATGTTGCATCAACTGCAAATGTCTTGATGGGTCGACTCCAGAGGGCAAACCCTCTGGGCCGTACTGTCCCTTCCTGCTCGCACCGCCGCCCGTTCCGCCCTGTTTGCTCTTGACGGTTCTCTTTTGCCTTTGGGCTGGTCATTCGAGGGGCGTCAGCCCCCGGGTACCAAAATACAGTACCAAATTTCACTTGGCTGTGGTTGTCAAAACCGTGTTGGGATCCCATTTTGGTTGGTAGGTAAATTCACTTTAGAACCTATTTTAGCGGTTGGATTGAATCGGATGTGCCCAGAGCAACCCCAGAGACGCTCAGCATCATGCATGGTGGATGCCTCTCATATTTCAAGTGAACAAACCCACGGTTCTACTTTTGGACTACCCCAGGGTAGACTTAAACCGTGTGGTTCATTCCCCCCAAAAGGAGAACCCCTGGGTCTAAATCTATCTTGGAGTAGCCAAAAAGTGGAACCCTGAACAAACCATACTCCACCACAAAACCATGGAACAGTATAGAGGGTGGTCTTAGTCTTGTGCCCTTGCAATACTTAGGACATCCACCAAAGCTTTGCAATGATCAAGAACTTGTGATTGTCTCCGAATGGCGGACCCGCCACAATGCTTCCTTTCGCTTTCCGTTTAAGGCAACCCAAACAGGGTACACCGAACGCCCGCGGAACTCTGCACCATGGGGAGAATGTGGTTCCTTTGGCTTCAATGTAAGCCACTCCCCACAAGATCTCCCAGATGGGTGAATCAAATTCTGGCATTTTGGGCTCTACCCAAAACCCATGGTGATTGGTGATGTTTCCCTCACTTGTCTATATAAGGGCGTTGTCCCCTACAAACCTTGAGCTGTAGGTGTTAGGGTATGATTTGCAAACACCACGGAAAAAAGCTGATTATTCAAAATACACCCTGAAACAAGTGGGTATTTGGAGTAGGCGTTGATGGTGGATGACCTCCCCCCCAAAAAAAGAAAAAATACAAAAAGAGCTGTGTTTGTTGGTTCTGCCAACATCGTTGTGAAGGTTTTGTGTTGCCTTACCATAACCTCATGTTGAAGGGGTGCTCAATGGCATGGCAATGTTGACACGGGTTAATGATCAGGGAGGTGCCCCCAAAAAGAGATGGGACACCCCTCGATCAACAACCAAAAGTGTGTTAATCCAGTATTGAAAAGGCACAATTTCAGCAAAATTCCCCAAGCAAAATCAGAAAAGATGGATCCCCTGGTAACGGTTAGTAACGAACCCTCATGATGGCGAAGTCGCTCGAGTCGCCCCCGAATCGGTGGAATCGTCGGCACCCCATGCAATACGGCTCCCAACCCAAGGGCCAACTGCCCATGTCCCTCAATGGCCCTCCATGGCCCTTGGTCACCAATAGTTCTGACCAAACCTCATGTATCTGGGGATCTGAAACCAACTCCTCCGCAGTTCACATCAACCACTAGCTTGGTTATCTGATACATTCTTGGTTACTTTGGATTTTCAACCCACCAGTGGCCTAATCTTTGGTTTCCTTCTGGTTTTCATGCTGCCAGCTGGGTCTCCCGGGCGCTAGAGCCGGTCGCGAAGGCCAGAATCTTGGAACGGGAGACCTGGGACCTCAGCGCTTCCGGGGGTCGCTCCGTCCGAGTCCCGGTCCCACCCGAAAAAGAAAAAACACGTCTCAAGATGCTGAAGGAATCCGAACTTTTGAAAGGGAAACCTGGAGTTAGTGGGGGTGAAGCCGATGTTGAAGGAGTTCAAGAAGGGGAAAGCAGATGTTGAAGTTGAAAGGGAGGAAAACAAGGAGCGAACGATGCTGGAAGAGTTGAACAGGAGAAAAAAGGGCAGTCAACACAGGGTAAACCCAATAGAGGAGGTAAATTGGCATTCTCCAATTTAGGAAGATGCCCTACTACTGGGAAGAAAGGCTTGAGACGATGTTTCAGGCTTTTCGAGAAGGCTCCGCCTGTTCCGGCCACTTTTCTGCAAGAATCCTTCACTCTTGTGGGTGACCTCCCTCTATTGCCAGGATGTTTTTTTTTTTTTTTTTTTTTTTTTTTTTATATATATATATATATATATATATTTTTATTTATTTTTAAATCCGTTGGGTTCCACCTCAAGAGGATCATGTTGGAGCAGGGCAAAACGCCGTCCAAGTGCCTTGATTCCAAAATGGCCGACACAACGAGGTCAACTGAGCTCTGCCTCATGGAGTTCCAATTCGCTAAGCGTTGAGTGGGGATAGGACCGGATAGGAACCATTTCACGGCACAAGCTGTTCAACAAATCGCCTGGCAGGATGAAACGTGGCCAACAAACGTAGTGTCAGCTTGTTCGAGCTGGTGTTTGCTCGCTCTCCATGTATCAACATGTTGGGTCTTTTGTTTTCGGTTTTGCAGCGTGGGTAAAATACGCTTCCTCCAGCCCTACCACCCTCTCCACAATCTGAGTAGTTTCACTTATGCTTGGTTTGGAGTTGGGTAACTCGGGTTTGTTTTGACTTGCTTTGGGAGTGGCTCCGGGTTGGTGCCGGTTGATGCAGGGTTGGGTCGGTTTAGCCTGGACCGTTGATCACTTGGCCCCTGACAAAAGTGCGACCTTTGTGGGTCCTGTCGTCCTTTGAATGCCAGCAAAAAAAAACAACAATCAAACAACGAAACAGGCAAGGGACGCCAAAGCCTATATTTTTTGGCACCCACCTGTGACAATGGTCCAGGACATGCGGAAGTTGTGCGTTCTGACTCAACAGCAAGCCTCTCCCGTCAACATGAGTTAAACATTGTGTGTGTGTGTTTTCATCTTACTGGGCCCAGCGTGTTACATTTTTTGAAACACCAAATCATTGAGATCTGCAATGCTCACTTCCTGGGTGGATTGGCCAACAAAGTCCCAAACAATGGTTAACATCCAGAAACATAGGGAGTAAGATCATGACAGCTGTAAATAATAGAAATGTGATGTGATTCGGAACAAGCTACAGTTTTTTAATTTGTGGCACTCAAACACCAAGCTCGCAGCTCCCAATCAAAAGCTACTAAAACGTCTACTTAAATCGTGTACAAAAAAGGTCCATGAAAGGAAATAAACTGGCGGATACCTGCACCTACAGCTGCGATTGTCCCTTAACCTGAAACGGGCTTTGATAGGGGCTCATCTTGTTGTGCCCTCGTCGTCCCACCCTCTCCAAATACACGCCTTGTTGGTTGGCATATTTGGAAAAACCTCTTATTGCAAGGTCAATACCTCTTTTTCTAGTCCAGGGTTAGCATCGTACCCCTAAAAACAGTCGGGTATTTGGAGGTTGCCTGTTGCCCCGTGAACCGTTGAGCCCCCCTGCTGCTTTCGCAACCAGTCGAAGAACCACTCAATCACCTGGCAAGGACCGCCGGGCGCCCTCATCTTGGGCCGTCAAAAAGGGCCTTGTTGAATCTCGTCCCCTCTTCCAAAGCACAAGCACATGGCTGCGGGTCAAAGATAGGGACCCAAAATGGAACCTTCTCAAATGGAGTCATGGACTAAAACCTGCGGTCCATATCCGAGTGGTTTAATTTTGACCCACACCCACATGTATCCCAAACAGGATATGCACAAATTGGGTTGGCCCCCCCCGCCCGGCCGGTTTTGCGTGGGAACTTGGTCACCTGAAGCATCTTGGGCCCTCAAAAAAACCATCCGTTTCATGAGGTCCAAAACCTCCCAACGGAGAACCCATTTTTGTCCCTTCAATTTGAGGGTGCTTTCTGATGCCTAGGGCAATGGTATTGTCAGCTGCATTGCCAAGCATCGAGGAATGCTTTCATGGGTCGTTGTCCTCCCCCTCAGCCCAAAGGCCAAGACAAAGGAGTGATCAGAACCACCACGAGTTCGAGTGGACCGGCAGACAGCGAAGCTTTCGGCGTCGACCTTTGGCCTCGAGCTTGGTTCAGACGTGGAAGCAAAACTCTCCTCTTCCGCTCTTCCGCAAGTCGCCTTCGACCTTCCTCAAGGCCTCGTTCCCGTCTCGTGTCTTTACAAGGTCGTATGAGGAGAAGGGGTACTCAGATAGCCAGCCGCGGCCCGAGTTCTTGTTGAAGTTGTTGTCGGCCAAGTGGCTCCCGGCCCCCCTCACTTACTATGAAACACCCACCGACTGGTGCAGAGTTGCTGTCCATCCACTGTTTACTTGACCAAAAAAGGCAAGAGGGCACTACGGACCGACCTTCACATGGCTCCCCTTGCTGCGGTTCTCCAGCAGTATTGGAGCGTTGGCAGCCACAAAGGCAAACCAAGGCCACCAAAAGAGGAAGCATACACTGAGCTGATGATCCAGATAGTGCAAGTAAACCAACCACAACCACTACAATTCAGGATAAATCTGTGAAGTTTACCTTGTTCTTGACTTGAATCCGTAAATGGAGTGCTTTTGCAAATAGACCGCATTGCTGACTTCCACGCGTCAATGGCGTCTGGCTGCCAAATGCATTCCATTGTAGTATCTTGCATTCGTATGCACCCTTACCAGACGGACCCTGGACTGATAGATCTGGCAAATTCGTCAAACTGGCTCTTGCCCTCCGGGTGAGCCCTGTGATCTCACCTGAAATGGGACACCCAAAATAAAACTAACCAGGGGTCATGCTGATTTTGCCAAGGATTCTTCGAATAGGAGCAGAACAACTTACTTAGGGTTTTCAATATGTTTGCACTGTTCCGGATTGTTCTTTACGTGTTTGACTTTCTGCTGTTTCTAGGTCCAGGGTTTTTATGCGGTCGTTTGGGCTCCAAACCCCATCCCTTTATTCCGTATTCAAGTTACGTAATATATGGGAGACTCGCAAAGCAACTGGGCCAGATGTGGCCTTTACAACGAGTGATTTAGTTGTCCGGTTTTGTTGATAGACAGAGGCACCCTTTTTCGGGTTGACTATCTCCAAACAAAACGGAGCTCTTAAGGTTCAGGGTGCCACTGAACGCCTAGATTGTTTTGCTGGAACCTCTAAGAAAAAGCAACACTGGGGTACGCTAAAAAGCATATTTTTCAGACTATGTTGCACATTTTGCCAGCCTTAAGACACGAATAGAGATGGACGTTGGCAAAACTTGTGGATTTGCGAGCAATATTTTCAAGGAGGCAACAAGTATTGGTAACCCTGGCTTGGACAATGTTCAAAATACTGCCCTACACATTCCAAAAGCCCGCGATTCTTGGAGGAACTTCCTTGGAAATGGACCCCCCTTGTGCTGTCAATTTGCAAATTCGGGTGTGTCATTTTAAAGGGACCCCCCAAATTGTGATTGTCTCGGTTGGCTTCCGTTTTAAAACCAAAAAGGCCCCTCACCAGCTGTTCTGAGACACAAAGCCTGGCCCCACGGGTCGGCGCCTGGGGCGACCCTTCCAGCACCGCGTGGCTTTGCCACTCGTCCACGTCCAGCTCCGCCGTGCCACCTCAACCCAACTTCCGGGAGGTCCGACGGGCGCAAGCTCAGGTTTGGGGCTCCACTTGGCCATCGGTTGGAAGAATCTTGACCCTCATCTGGGGTACCTCAAAATGAGCGGGGCCAGTGAGGATGATTAGGAATAAGATGAGGGGCGCTCAATCATGACACACATGACTTGACCATGGGAAAATAGGTTCTAAAATGGGTGGTGCACCTATCCCAAAGTCGGATCCCATTGGTTTTGACCCAGAGCCATTTGAGTCACGTCCTCCAAACCCGGGTGATTGGAGGGAAGCAAGGGACAATCCCAGCCATATACTTTGAATGGGTGCGGCCGCCTTGGTAATTCTTCACATGGTTCTGGGCTGGGATACCGGGGTTTGATTGTGACTCCTTTGGGTTTTGTTGGCATGTGTGTTTCTGAGGTGGCTACAAAGGGAGATCAAAAAAAAAAACTGCCGTTTTAGGAGTGCCCAGTTCCTATTCTGGCACACCCACTGTTAAAGCACCCAGCGCTAGGCTTGAAACCCGGGGGTTGCCGCTTTGCGTGGCGTCAACTGTCCCCTGGCTAATGGTCCCCTGGCTAATGGTCCGTCCGAATGTTGGTCTAAGCCCAAAACACTTCAGCGTATCCGGATGGAAGTGATACTTACGATTGGAATCATACCACAGTGGCGGGCACAGTGGCATGCATGCATGCATGCATGCATGTAGGTACGTACGTATGTATGCATGCATGTATGTATGTATGTATGTATGTATGTGTGTGTAGGTAGGTAGGTAGGTAGGTAGGTAGGTAGGTAGGTAGGTAGGTAGGTAGGTCAGGTCAGGTCAGGTTAGGTTAGGTTAGGTTAGGTTAGGTTAGGTTAGGTTAGGTTAGGTTAGGTAGGTAGGTAGGTAGGTATGTAGGTAGGTAGGTATGTCTGTATGTATGTATGTCTGTCTGTCTGTCTGTCTGTCTGTCTGTCTGTCTGTCTGTCTGTATGTCTGTATGTAGGTGTGTAGGTGTGTAGGTGTGTAGGTGTGTAGGTGTGTAGGTGTGCAGGTGTGTAGGTGTGTAGGTGTGTAGGTGTGTAGGTGTGTAGGTGTGTAGGTGTGTAGGTATGTAGGTATGTAGGTGTGTAGGTATGTAGGTGTGTAGGTATGTAGGTATGTAGGTGTGTAGGTCTGTAGGTATGTAGGTATGTAGGTATGTAGGTATGTAGGTATGTAGGTATGTAGGTATGTAGGTATGTAGGTATGTAGGTATGTAGGTACGTAGGTACGTAGGTATGTAGGTATGTATGTATGTATGTAGGTATGTAGGTATGTAGGTGTGTATGTATGTATGTATGTATGTATGTATGTATGTATGTATGTATGTATGTATGTATGTATGTATGTATGTATGTATGTATGTATGTATGTATGTATGTATGTATGTATGTATGTATGTATGTGCATGCATGCATGCATGTATGTATGTATGTATGTATGCATGTATGTATGTATGTATGTATGTATGTATGTATGTATGTATGTATGTATGTATGTATGTATGTATGTATGTATGTATGTATGTATGTATGTATGTATGTATGTATGTATGTACTTGCATATTTTACATATTCCCTCGTTTAGTCACCAAACAACTTCGGCAGATGTTCAATAATATGCTTGTATTGTTTTAGCACTAGCAAACCTCGGTGCCAAATAGAGGGTCTGGAAAAAGCATGCCCTGCTGGTTTCCCAGAGAGGAACTACACAATAATGTGCTATTTAGCGCGTCTACCTCTGAGTATCCTACCTCCCCCCCAAAAAAAAAAACAAACAAACATGGAACCCCAAAAAGAAGAGTTGGGCTCCATGTCATTTTCTGCGGAGGGTAACGTGCGCGTCCATTGGACTGGGCGCCGAGGCAAATCAGCATCCTGAGCTGCTCGGCCTCGGGAAAAATCGGTGGGGTCGGTCGTAACCTGCGCTTTTTGAGTGGGAGGACTTTTTTTGCGGGAAAACCCTCCTTTTTTAGTCAAGGGTTAACATCATACCCAAGAAAAACACTCAAACAGGCAGGTGTTGGCTATACGGGGTGGGGTGTTGGATGTGGATTGCGGCTGCCACCGTCAAGCTAGAACCCCCGAGAAATGCAACCAGTCCGTTTGGGGAACGAGATGGCATGGCACAAAACCAAACTGAAAGAACACCTGGGCCTGTCTTCTCTAGGGGACGTGGCTTTCCCTTTAAACCAACGCTGAAAAGGGGGGAACCTACACCCCAACTGACACTGAGCAACAACTACGGGCATGAAAACAATAAGTTGTCATCGTTCGCCCGCGGGCTTCATTGGTCGTGAGGAAGTTTCCCATCACAAAGCGCAGCCAAAGATAGGTGGGCAGTCTCCGGCCAGAGCGGATATTGCCAAAGACTTGCTAGACGGATCTTGAATGACCCAGGCCAACATTCAATGATCCTGAGCGATTCATATCCACCAACCTCCTCACTTGCCCAAAGAACCCAGAAATAAACGGTTAGAGTAACCCCACAAAAAACGGGAACTGAAGAAGGGGACACGAAACGGTCAGATCCGGTCGACTCGGGGGCTCAAACTCTTAAAACTTGTGAAACTCAGTCTGAGTCTGATCAACACACTAATGAAACCTATGGCTACTCCTCCGGCTCAGCCAGAGCCGAGAAAAACACTGCCCCTAAAGACCCGGCCCGTGGCATCCATTCAGGCCTGAGTTTTCCTTATCTGGAATCTGGCCCAAATGAGCTCTTCCCCTTGTCCAATAGTGTGCATATATGATTAATAAAGGGCCTCAAATAAAGTTGCGCGAGTGTTGGGCTCGTCGTGTTTGCTTCTTGTGTTTGTGTTTTGCTTCTTGCTGTTTTGTTGGTTTCTTTCTCCTTTTTTTTTTTTTGGGGGGGGGGGGGGGGCGGGAATACTAATTTAGTGTTGGGCCAAGAGCTTTTGCATTTTGGTGAAACAATGGCAGTTTAGCCTGATAGCCAAGCAAGAAGGAGCCATGAGAATTCATGACCCTGCATGATCAATGGCTTCCCAATGTGCTAGTCCCAAATAGTCACCAGCTTGTAATGGATGCCCTCATGGCTCCACATGGGTGACCTTGTCACATCTGCCTTCCAACCCCCCACTCCCGACCTTCCCCCCCCTACCATTGATAGTGGCGCAACAAACTAAAGGAGCAGCAACACTTCTTAGGCTCGTTTGTGGTTGCCACCAACATGGTCCAACCCCCAAAAAGTGACCGAAGTTTCAGTAACTCAAGCGGTGAGGAACCCAGGCTGGCACACCTTCGCATCTCTTTGGGTCTGCGGGAGGCCAAGGTAAGCCCTGCACGTCGAAATTGGTGGCCGACAGCAGGTCCTGGCGAGCCAAGCGCACCCAGCTGCCAGAAAAGCATCCGCATGCTACAGCAAGCCAAAGGGAAATCCAGAAAAGCAAAAGTGGAAAGTCCCAGGGGAAGAGGAAATCCAGGTCCCCAAAGCTTCTCAAGGGCAACCAATTACTCAGCTTGTTCCAGAATCACGTGGTACTTATATGGTACATCAAGCGATTCTGCAGGGCGGTTCACTCCAGATGTTTCCTGTATGTCCAAATTCTGAACAGAAAAAGGACTATCATCATGATGGAAAATGGGGCACCCAAAAAGAGTCAGCCCCGCATGATGCACACGTACGAGTGCACACAGTTTTGAGCAGCGACCAAACCCATTTACGCTTGGTTCTTCCAACACGTTTATGGTGCATTCGGGCCTTACTATAATCCGTATTGAGCCAGGTGGAACCGCCTACTAAACTTGCCGATGTGAGACTTCTTTGCCCAAAGGACCTGGAAATCACAGGTTCACCTTTTGGGGCCATGACAACACGACCAAACCGAGAAAGCCCCTTCGGTCATTTCAGGTCGAGTCGCTTTGGAGTGAGCCCCAAGCCCCAGCCCCGGCGCTGGGCTCCTCTGGCACAAGCTCTTGAAAGCCCAGCACCAGACCTGAGACAAGTTCGTTGGCGTGGCGTTAAAGGGAAACCCAAAGGAACCAACACCACCTTGGAGTTTGGGGGTCCCAAAAAAAAAGACATACCCGAATGGCTTCCAGCAAGCAGGTGCGTGCATGCTTGTTCTTGACACCTAGATGGAACGGTTCTCAGTAGGGAATGACAAGAGGTGTTGGGAATGAATCGTTTGAGATCCCCTGAAAGAAAACTACATAGAGGTTCACTTTGGGGCCCTCTACACACGGACCCCGCTTTTGGGTTCCATGGTCATTTGCAGGGGAATAAGCATTTCTGCCTGGGCCCTCCCAAAATGTTTGGCTTCCTTGTTTCGCCCAAGACCGTCCAGTCTCCACAAATGGGTGGCTTTCGTTTTGTTTACCTGTTACACAACCCCGAAAAGGCCCCCCCAACAAAACAAAAGAAAAGGGGGGGAAGGAAACGACGCACCCAAATCCTTATTTTCCCCCGCGAGAAGGGAATGTGACAAAATAAAGGGGACTCGGAAAAATAATGTTTTCTTTTGAGCCAAGGTGAAAAAAGGGTAATTACCGAAAAAAGAAAACGACAAGTCTGATCGGGACTGTCGATCTGAGCATGCTGCAGCCCAACTCAGTTCGGATGGGGCCGATCAGGAAGTCTTCGCACAAAAGCTGCGCGTACTCCTGGCACTCCGAGCAGAGTGAGATGGGGGTGTCGAATAAAATAGGGGACCACCAAAACGGGCTTGGTATTGTCCATGCTTCTTGCAACCCAAACAGATTCCCTCGAAAAAAGAAAACACACCCATATGTTCAGGCTGCGAGCGATCCTTTAAAAGGGGATTTGCGACCTCGAAAATCTCTGAGTTTGCTCGCCCCACAAAGAAGGGTACACCTACCTTGAAAAAAACACATCATTTGGGATCGGAGACCACGGCTCGAGGCTCAATCAGCCCTTAGGCTCCCAGCGTAGGCCTTTGGATTCTACCCCGCTCAGCCGGACCCTTCGAACGGGAGGGGTTGACCGACAGGGCGCTGTAGCTGTAAGCCTTTGGGTAGGTAAGCAATGGACCCCTCCGAAAGCTTAAAGGAAAATTGAGGGTTAACTCGTGTTTTGCCCTGCCACACCGGAACCAGGATCCTGTGTCAGGATAGCTTCCCAAAGTGCAGTCTGGCGGTCGAACCATGACAAGGTTGCTCAAACTGGGCGTTTCTCAAATTTTGGGACACCGTCAGGTGGCTAGTTTCTTTTTGGCAACTAGAGATCTTGATGAATGAGCCGGTGCTACCTCAGTGAGCTCGCCATCAGCACCAAAAAGTGATGGTTGCAAGTAATGTAGATGTTTCCCAGAAATTCGCATACCGGTTGACCTGAGTGCCTGGACCATCAAATAGCCCTTAAACAAGGGAAGCCGCCACAGAATTGTGGGCAATCACCCTTTTCCATGGGTAGTTGCGCCTTTTCCGTGGTGAACCCCCTTATCTGGGGTTGCCTTGAAGCCAAGAGAACACAAGTCCCATAACCGGTCGGGTTGGGGCCACTAGAAACCAAAGGGCAAACCAAAAGCTCCGTCCGGTCGATTCGCTTTGGGCCAGTGAGTACTAGGTGGATCGGGAATTTTGCCTGAAGGTTCCGCCAGCCCCTTGGGGGTGGCTTTGGAGGCCAGTGAGAACGGCTGTCCGTTGCGAGCAATGGAACCCTCCAAAACTCGAAGGAACATGGATGGTTTACCTAGCGGCCTGCCCAAAATTCCACTGGCTGTTTGTCAGGATACGTTTTGGGTTGCAAAGTTGAATCATGAGTCATGAATGGCCGTCGAACCCTGACAACTGACTTGCTGCAGCCAGTCTCACCTTTTTAGCTGATTGATCTGCACGAATTACTATACTTCACCAAGCTGAATTCAGGGATTGGGGTCCCGCAGTTGAAGACCATCATGGTTGAGCTGGTGTTACCCGAGTGAGGCAAATAAACGATAGTTGCAAGTGATGTTGATGTTTCCCAGAATTTTGCGCGTGCAATTGACATGAGGCGTCCTTTTGTTGGGTGGGAAACCCGGAACCCCTACCTGGGGTTGCTTTGAAGGCCACGGTCGGTTCTCGCGGGCTAATCGTTGGTTCCAGACGTCCGTTTGGGAATGAATTGGACATGGGTGGCTCGTGCTTTTTGAGGGTGCCCCTTGTTTGGTGGTTTTAATGGGAAACCAAAAAGAAAAACAAAATCCAGTTTGGGGGTTCCCAGAAAAAACAGACACCCACCTGGACCCTCTGCACATCACAAAAACATTCTAAGGGTCGATGCCCCATCGCTCTCTTTAGAAAGCACACATTGTCCGAAAACAAGTTGGACAAGTGTTTGCAGAGAAGGATCCATGAAGAGAAATGAGAAGGTACGGCTAGGGCAAAACATTGTGAGTGTCCATTCTCCAACCTGGGCATACATGTTCATTGATTGCTTGGACCCTGCGGGTGGCCATCATCTAATCTATGTGTGTTGTTGACATCGGTCTACACGCCTACATTTGGGAGTTGTTCCAACCAGTAAAGTTCATAGCCATTTCCGGAACCCCCCAAGGTGGACTGAGCCTCCCTTTTGTTTCTCACGTTTGGGTCAAAAGGCAAACGAAGATCTTTGAGCCAATGGAAGTCTACCAAAAACCAAAAAACTCTACAAAGACTCAAAAGGACGGATTCCCAAAGGCTGGGTCTGTCCCTTGCCCTTCACTATTCTCTTGCCGGGGTGTCAATTGTGACTCGACTAAGCAGCTTCTCCATGGAGCTGGCGCCTCCTTGTTCTCCTCGGTCACCTCTATCGACGCGCCCCCTTCCTTCAACCTTGGTCGAGTGCGCTCCAGCTCTGCGTGCCGGTAGCGGTAGCCACTGTTGGGGAATCCGGAAATCACCCGTTGCGAAGTGAAGTCGGAAAGACCAACTAGTAACCTGTAAGATGGCAACTTGCCACAGAGTCCATAAGGCAGATCCAAATTGCAGGATGCCCTCCTTTCCCCCCCCGCCCCAGCTGAGCATGATACGTTTGATTCTGTTCTCCATGCTTAGCGGGCCTCCAACGGCAAGTGTCAAAAGAGATCCCAGATATCTCGCCACAGTGATTCGCCAACAACCTGCAATAGGGTTCCGGACCCCAGGAAGGGAACCTTCATGGGCGAAGTCGCCGCATTTTCTCTCGCGCTCCCCGGTGTACGCTTGACTATGTTACCGGCAGCGCTATTGGCTAAGGCAGGCCGCAGTTGCCCATTGACAGTGACACTGCGGCAGTGTACAGTTGACCATGTCATTGATTGCGAGGCAATGATATCGATGGGTGTCCTTTTATTGCGGGTTCCTTTGTGGTGGGCCTTATATAAAGGGATACCAAAAGGAAAACACCACCACTTGGGGAGGGTGGGGTTCCCCAAGGCAAGCACCAACAACTGGTGGCAACAGTCAACATAGCGCCCAAAAAGGCCGAGATATATCACCCACCTAAGGTGTTTGTCTGAAAATAGAAATGGGAACCCCCATCTCCCCGAAAGGGACTGGTGTTGCCCCCTGTGGTTTTCCCCGAAACTCCAAACCAGTCGGCTCAAGGGCGCGGCTCTCGTGTCCCATCCGCGGACACGAAAGCCAGAGGGTCCATGCCTCCGCGTGGCAGGACGCTTTCTACTCCAAGCGATTTGGGTGTGTCGTACAAAAAGGGGACCCCAAAACGGGCGGTGTTCTAATGGTTTCTTAACACCACTCCAAAATCAGGCTTGGACTGGTGGGTTGGTGGTTTTGTGGAGGGGTGTCCCATCTCTACTAAAGCCAGGTGTTCAAACCCCAAAACTACTACTCCAAACCACCAATTAGGGGTTCCCTGCATAGAATGCCACTTCTTTCAGGCGATTGCCCCCACCCCCCCCCGTCCTGTACAAAGTGCCTAACCTTTGGTGGGCGGGGAAACGTGCTTGGGGGGTTGACCAAATTTAGATGCTGAAACTCCTGAACGGTAAACAATGGTGGTTAATTGTATTGTCCTCCGTTGTTTCAATAGCGGTTTGAATTTCAGGGGGTAGCTCTTCCAAAGTGTTCCATTTCTCCTCGAGAGCGTCGTAGTTTTCCAAAAAATACCAATGGTCCATGAGAACCCCCATGGCCCGAATAAGCGAGTGTCTCAAAACGGAGGACTCCCTGTGGACGCTCCATTTTCAACCTGACAAGCAACCTGAAAATTAAACCTCCGGTGCCCGGAGGGAGATACGCACAACTGAGTCATCAAAACCCGGAACCAAAAAGGCGAAGCCATGTAAAGTCTTAGCAAGGCGATTTTTCCGGCAAGACGCCTGTCCCTTCGCCTTCAGCCCAACTTGGAGGACGTGGCTCAGCTTTGGCTTTGACCTAACCCCTCCAAAAGGAGAAAAAAGGCCTGGGCCACCCCGGAACTTGGCACGAACCAAAACCATCCCGAGAGAAAGTGATCAAGTTTCGAGACCTCAGACAAAAAGGGGGAACAGCTGTGCGTTTCTGTGCTAAACATTTTCCAAAAGAAGGTGAACCGTTCCCTGCACAAAGCTCCGCGCCCCATTCGCGGAGGTCCTGTTGACGCTCCTGCAGCTTGTGCCATCTCTTCGGCTGATTGCAGTCCAAGCGGGTTTGTCTTTTGACGGTGCTTGTTTGGGTTGGTTTGAAGTGAAGCTAAAGGAAAACCAACGTCTCTGTTTGTTTTTTTTTTCCTGATTTTTTTTGGGGGGGGAGGGTCCCCATTTGGAGATAAGCCCATATGTGCTTCTAGCTGTACGCACCCCATTCTGTTCGGGGATCCTTCTTGTTAACCAATGCAACACCTTCGACTAAAGGGTGTTTTCGGACCGATGAGATGAAACCTTTGAAATATGTGTGTATATATATATATCTACGTATATATCCCAACAAGTGCTGTTTGGCAAAAACAACACTGTGTGTTTGGCTTGGCAACAAACAGAAAAAGGCTTGGCAACAAAACTGTGTTCTTTGCAGTCCCCCACTTACAACAACAAACCGACGGAGGCAAAGAACAAACAAAAGCAATTCCCTTGGTATCACAAGTGGTTCAACAGCCGGGCTGTCCAAAATGTTATTTGGTTGGCCTGTCCTAGTTTCTACAATACGGGGAAACCAGCCCGAGAGAAGAATTGAGAACTGCTGAAATGAATAGTCTGAAAAACCAACGAACGTACAGCCGTGTGGGGGGGTCCGATCTTGATGGTGCCGGGTGGCTTAATCAACAGTTTATCAAATTCGGGTTGTCTCCCTGGGTGAAATGTGGGGAAGCAGACCACTTTTGGAGGGGAGCACCCTCCCCGAATTATTGACAAACTGGAGGCGACTAAAAAACAACAACATGAAACCATGGGTTTGCCGTCATCTTGCTGGTGCGATAGGCAGGGAATGAGTTGGAATGACCCCGATAAACCGTCCCCTATGGTTTCCTTTGAGGGGATCCCCAGGTTCGTTCCCTCATTCCCTGCCGAGCACCAGCAAGTCATTTTGATGGTAAATCCACCCAGTTGGTTATTCTTCATGGTAAAACCACCATGTCAATGGGTAAATCAATGGTTTGCCATCATTTGGTATCGACCAAACGTGGTGGGTCAAGAATATGGACCCTTGTTGGACTTGTTCTAAAGGCGGGTCCCACATATGGCCCAAAAAGGGACTCATTCTTGACACCCCCCCGTGTGTGTTCTTTTTGTACCAATTTCACCTTGGATCGAAGGGAAAGCAAGAGGAAGAGCGAAGCCATCTTGGGGCTCCAAATCGCTTCTTTTGGCACATACCCATATTCCCTTGCCTTGCAGAAGGCTCCTGTAACCTAAAAGTTCCACTTGAAGGAACGTGGAAAATGCTTGCTGGGCACAACTACTTTTTGCTAGGGAGTGAAAACCCACACGTGTTCCCCAAACGTGAAAGGTTAAAGGTGCCACCCAACAGCAGTTAAGAAGTTCGAGGGGATTCCCTTGGTTGCATAGAAAATTGCCCGAAAACCACATGTTCCACAAGCACGATCAGGTGTTATGGTAGCGTGGGAGAAACCAAGCCACCCTCGACAAAAACCCACACACACACACACAAAAACCTGATCCTGGTGGTGCTGCGTGCCTTGATTAATGTGGGGTCAACATTGCCCAACTTCGGATTTACCCATCGTCCAAACGTCCCGACTCTCTCCTTCGCGCCGCCCGGGCGCAGCACAGGCCTCACCTGCCGCTGTGGGGGGAGAAAAAAAAGCGGACCAGCGCAAGACGCGACTCGTTGGAAAGATACGAGGAGTTGTTTACATATGGGTATGGGTCAAAATCAAACCACCAGGGGACCGCAGGTTTTAGTCCATGTTTCCATTTACCAGGGCCCCATTTTGGGGTACCTATTTTTGACCCACACCCATATGATAACTACAAACATCACTCCAGCATGTGCTATGTGTTGCTTGTTTTTTTAATAATCGGAGTTACTCAAATGAGATATATAATTGGAAATGCATCACGGAAGGAACTTGTGGTTTCCCTGGGCTGGCAAAAGAAAGCGTACCACACTTGTTGGTTGCCACAAAATGGTCCAACCCCGCAAAAGTGCCTAAAGTCCAGGAACCCAGGGAGTGCGTTTTGAAACCACCATGTAAAGTTTGGTTGGTGCCGTTTCTCGTTCTCTGCCGAGAACGAACCGACTTGGATTCCAGTCATGGGAAAAAATCCGAGTCTCGGGTGTCACGTTAAAACTCTCAAGGGGTCTTTGAGAAACACCAAAATCGCCCCTTCTGGGATGGTTTCCATCTGAAACCCAGAGGAAACCTTCTCACCTGGGTACCAAGCGCCAGTGTCTGGTTGACCCGGGAACAAGGGCACCACTGAACAACTGCAGAGCTTGCCCGTAATGTTGACTCCTGATCAATGCTGCCGGAGTTCTTAATCAAGGGGTTTGCCTGAAAGAAAGGAGTCTCCACCAAAACAGGGGGCCCCCCAAATAAGAAGCAGGGGGGTTCAACCCTGGCTGATTTATGGGGGGATGCCCCTGGGTTTAGTGGGGAATCGTTACTGTTGGAGCGGAACACGCCCAATTGATAGGACAAGTTTATGAGTCCGGGGTCTTCAGTACTTAGAACAAGCAAACCTACCAGGGTCTGGATCAATTCAGTAGGTCCTGCGTTTCGGCAGATCGTGGCAAAGACTAACTGAAACGGGGATCAACGATTAAACTGCAAGAGCCGTGAAACGCAAACCTTCCCACATGTTATCATGTTTTGCACTTCAGTCTGCGGCACACCACGAAGCGAGATCGTTGCCTGAACCAAACCTTTCTTGGTGGTTCTTCCCCCTGCACAAAAAGTCACATAGGTTAAAGACCCAACCCAATCCTTTCCAATCTCTGGCATCTGAGAAAAGAACTTGCTTTTCCCGCCCACTACAACATGAACAGAACCAACAACCCCCCCCCCCCAAAAAAAAAAAAAACACGATAAAGCGCCAAGATTTCCGGCTCCGCATAGCCAAGACTTCCGGCGCAGTCCCCGGAACTCCGCGGAAATATCCGCGGCTGGGCGTCCGGGCCCGGTGGTTCCAGAAGTCCGGGTCCAGCCTCGAGTTTGGCTCCGGGCAAAAAATGGAAAACCTCACTTCCCATCGAGTGGACGGGCCAAAGGTCCCAACTTTACCACCAAAATGGGCCTGTCCAAACTTTATCACCAAAATGGTCGCAACTCAGGGAAACTCACCTTGGGCTCATACCACCAAAATATGGCCTTCCCAAAAGTCGGACTTGCAACTCAGGGAGTGGGAAACTCACCTTGGGCTCAAAAGGTAACACACCATGGACAAGGTTTCAAGCATAGCAGGGATTGGAATTGTGCCAACCCAAGTGCAAATCCAAATCTCCAACGTCCTACATACCCCAAATGGACATATCCCACCTCTAAGCCTTAAACAAAGGGATAGACGTTTGGGGTATGTGCCCTGAGTGGTCGCTGTGCTCATTCACAACCACTGATTTGGGGGATATGTTCACTTGAGGTATGTTTCTAGTTGTAGGCCAAAAGTATGTCCAAGCATTAGCTGCGTCTAAGACAGACTCGGAGCTCGCAAAGGAAAGGGAAATGAAGGGAAAGGCGAAACATAGGGAGCCCTGCTTCCTCGTCTTCCTCTTGTGATCCGCTCGGCTTCTGTTGAGTTGCGACCCTGCAAATAGCCCGTAAGCATGGCACTTGACGTGTGTCGATGTTTTTGGAAACCCCCTTTCCGGTTGGTTTGAAGAGAAACCAAAAGCAAAGCCTTCATGTTGGGAAGTTTCAGTGGATCCCATTCATATACACCACTCACTTCTTAGGTGGCTGCAACATTTCAAAATCATGGCCGTATGGGCGTGCCTTTTTGCAGCCTTTTTTGGAGGTTACCCGGGCACCCCTTTTAGGGGTGGTTCTAAAAGAAAACCCAAAGGAACACCACCATTTTTGGGGGTGCCCATTGAAGACAAGCCCATAGTATTTACGTACCCAGCCATCTTCTTTTTACTTATTACAGGGTGGTTCCCTTGGCTACCTGCTAAGGGAAATGGAACCACAAAACGAAAACAGGTCAAGCATAGAAGTAAGCATACCGCAGGGTTACCTATATACAGTGGTAACAAAAGTTCAGAAGTGATCAAGTCAGGAAAGAGTCTGGGCAAATGAGTCATGCTCCAAACCCTGCAATCATCAAACAAATGGTCGATCCCCAGCACCATGTAAATAATGAAGGCGGAGATCAGCGATCTTTTATGGTTGGAGTTGTCAGCTACTAACATAAAACCCGGGTTCTGAGCAAGACCGGTTAGTACCTGACAATTCCTAACGTATGGTTGGAATTGTCAAGTTTTATGGTTGATCAAATCTACCCGGGTTTTTTGAGCAAGTGGCTCAAATGAGTCCCCGTTTTCGGTCGGCCGGGTGGCCTTCTGGAGCTTGTTTTTTGGCCGGATCGGACCAGCCGGACAGCGACCCCCATTTGTGCACATGGCTTGGGCGTTCTTTGAGCCTTACAGTGGATTGAGGGCTGTTCAACCACCAGAATCCACCAAACCAAACCAAACCACAGCAACAAACACCCAACACACGTACACCCAACACACGTACACACACACACACAAACAATCAAGCAAAGACATCAAGCCAAAGAAAGCCATTCAGAAACAAAGCAGCACCCAACCAAGCAACCCAATCGATCGGTTCGGCTGAAACGCATCCGTGCTGCTGCCGCACATCCCCAGGACGCAGCGGCACGCCTGGCTCGAACGTCAACACAACCCCTGTCACTATGTGAGGCTTCCCCTGCAAGAGAGGAATCCCCACCACGTCTATTTAAAATGTGCTCCGGCAGATGTTCCATGTCCTTGAACACTGACTAAAACTCGAGAGTCTCAACCCCTCCTTTCATTCTTAGGCTCGGCTCCGCCTACTTGGCCTGCAAACAAGGGCACTCCCAAAAAAGACGCTCCTACTTGGCCTGAAAGGGTACTCCAAAAAGAAATGGTCAGATTTTGCTTCATATCCAGTCGACCCTAAAATCTCAACGGCTGGAGAAGACCCCAGCCTAGGATGCACTTGAAAACCAGCAGCGAGAGCTGGATGGGGCCTCAGCCACTTCGACAGACACGAGGCTGGGGCCATTGAAGCTAGGGAATCAGACCGGGAACACTATTAATAAACTGGGGTTGATGAATATGGGGTGAACATTACTCCAAGTACTCCAGTGTTTTTTGGGGGGGTGATGTCAACCTCTGGTTAGTTATTATGTAAAAACCGGGGTTGGCCAATCGCCGCCTTTTTTGTATGACTTGTCATCCCCGGACAAAACGTGGACGTGGGATCTTCCGTGAAGAAATGATATTTTTCCCTATAGACCAACAAAAAAGGTATGTGGAGCTGTCGGGTGTTTATGTTCAACCCAGTGGATCTAGTTGCCACTAGCACTAACCAGAACTTGCCGATGGTTTCCCTTGGTTACTTTTACGTCGAGGTACCCGAGGTGGACAGGTGGGACAAAACCGAATCGCTCACAGCAACGGGATGCCGCCAACGGGTTTTGCACACGCGACTAAACCAAACATGAGCAGAGGCCATACCTCCAGGAACCCAAGCAGGTCCAAGCAAGTCCTTAGCTTCGAGTCTTGGGGGGCATCCCAAAAGACAACTCACTTTGAAATTAGCAACCAAAGTGTTTACAGATACATCAGTCACGGTCGAAATACCTGTCAGTCTCTGGACACAGGACATCGCGTAAGCTCCCTTGGTGTTTGTGAGAAATTTAGAGACTCCCCTGTCCTTCCCACATGGAACCGGACCTCAATTGGCAGTGGGGTTCACTCATTCCCCAGGGCCTTGTGAGGAATTGGTAGACCGGGCATTCACAAATGATCGGATTGACCAGGGTCCAGATTGTTGCCAGGGAGACTCATGACGTGCTGCCCTAAAAAGATGTTACGTTGTGCAATCTTTATTTTGGACCTGAGAAAAAGCCGTTGTTGGGGGTGCTGGTATGGGCTTGTGTTTTGTTGAGGGTACCCTTGGTGCCGGACCCACCGAAGGCAGGTTGAGCTGCCAAGACGAGCTCCCCACAGGGACAGCGGTACAGGAAAGCCAGGGCCAGCAAGCGGCCCAAGGCCTTGTGACGCGTGCGAAGGTGAAAGTAGATGGCGCCATTCCAGGTAGGGCAAGTAAAAGGGATGACCGAGCCAAAATGTTGAGTTGTTGCTGGTCCAAGGCAATGGTGCCATCTACTCCACACGTGGTATAAAACGTGTATCCACCCATGTATTTAGCTTGGGTGCCCTTGGCGGAGACGGCCAGGAGGGAGTCCTGCTTCAGGTCCAAAAGTGGTCAATCACCACCAAAAACAGGCTCAGAAGAGGCTCCTCGCGGGCAGCAAATCTCCATGCCAAAATCAAGGCCCTCTTGGATGGGCCGACTTTGTTGGAAGCCTTCGAAATAAGTGGACAACAGGCCTTTCTGTGGTACCAATGGAACTCCTATCCCCTATACTGTAGTGGTATCACAGAAAATTGTCTTAAAACCCTATTTCCGACAACCATTTAAAACTTTTGGAAGTCTAAGCTTATTTAGCTTGTTTCACAAAGGGCCTCCCATCGCCGCGCGCCGACAAATATTTCCGACCAAGGTGCCCAAAGGTAGCCTCTGTCATCCTGCCGAGCGGAAAGTGACCAAAGGTTGCTCAGCCCCTCCAAATACCCGGGCTTCTTTGGGGTATGATTTGTCAACGCCTGACTACAACAGCAGGTGTTGAGAATGAAAACCCAGGCTGTTGCAGATGTACCCCCGAAACGAGCGGGCATTTTGGAGGGCGGTGACCATTGTATCTGTGGCTCGCATTGGTCTGGGACTTGGGGTCGGGGCTAGGAACCATTTCAGCTCTCTCGCAGATCCATTTGGCCAAGACTGGTTTCCTACTATAGACTATCGACTCTTGTGGTGACTCGGATACGGTGCCCGTGGCGGTCTCGGTTTGGGAAATTGAACATGCCCGCAAGGGGTTGGAGGTTGGACACGCTTTCCGGTCCCTGAAATATTTTTAAACTTGAAGTAAAGCAGCAACCAACAGTGGCCGTTGGTTCTAACGTGGTCTCAAACTTGTTCATTGGCTTCTCGATAAACCTCCTGAAACCGGGTAGAGCCTCCTACTCAAATGGCAAGTATGCTTTCTTTTGGCGCAGAGGAAGTGTCATAAACCTCTCGTTTCCCCCTGAGCGCGCGAAGCGCAATCGAGCAGCTATGTTCCGCAGAGGTTTGTGCTCACTTGCTGAGCGGACTGGCCAAGGAAAGCCCAAACTTCTTGTTTGCCACTAACATGGTCTTCCCAAGAAGCTTAAAGTCCATGCACTCTGGGAGTGAGGCTCATGCTAGTAACCCACCTGATTGATTCTAACCTGCTCCCACCCCACCCCTCACCAAGACTGCTGTTCATTTCAGAGAAGGTTGCAAAATGTAGCCACCCATGTCTTGTTGATTAGTGCTAACCTTTCCCCGCCCCTCAGGAAGTCCAGAAACATGAACAATACAATTCTAAATTACACAAGCTATTGCAAATACATCCAATACTGCATTATTTCTGGTCACTTGTCTCTTTCAGTATCTCATTCGCTCCTCTCTTTCTCTCCAGCCAATCAATGCCTTGCATTTCAATATTGCATGGGAATTTCCACCAAAAAGCACAAACGACCCAAATAGAACGGGCTAAACGTTGCAAACACACGTGCACACAGCTTATTTCCCTATAATCAGAACTAATTGAATCTGAAGAGTCAGACAAGCACAACCAACATGAATGCGTGAAACTTCAACATTGTGTAAGCTCATGGAGGGAATGAACAATCGGGAAAACCCCACTTCTGGTAGCAGGCAATCTCCTTTCTTGGTCAGGGTTGACATCATACTCTGAAAAACTGTATTTGGAGTGGCATCTGTTTTAACCTTCCCTTTCAGCAATGGGCCATTACCTCCCCTTCAAAGGATTCGCCATTTGTGGTGTGAATTTTATCTGGGGACCCTCTGCTGAACATACATTGAAGTTGAGATCCGGCCACGAAGCATGTGAGCAGCGCAAAAAAAAGAGACTGCTGGTTCTGCTTAAGTTGGCTATAAAGGCTGATATAGGTCTTGCTACCACCACCATAAGACCAAAAAGCGAACCACCTGCTAAACGCTTTCAACAGCTATCGGCTTTTGGGCGCTGGGTGTGTGCCAAATAGGGGAATTCCCCAACATGGATTTTGGCTTTACTGTTGGTTCACCATTTAAACCAACCTGAAAAAGGAGTACCATTCGCTTAATAGACACATTTGGTGGTTGGCCCCGCCTCATCGCAGGGAACAGGTCGCCAAGTGCTGTCTGCGCCCAAGCCTGGCTCGAAGTGTCCCGGAGTCTCAAACGAAACGCCACCTGAAATCAAAACTCGGTATTAAAATGGTTGACCCAGAACCATGTAAGGAAATACAAAGGTGGCTGGGATTGTCCCTAACCTTCATCTACCCATTATTTGATTGTGGCTCACCTGTGCGGCTTCCGCCTGTTCGTTGTTTGCTTAGGGATAGCTTCAACAGGGACGAGTTGTATTTTTCCCAGACCCCGCAGGCTTTGGCCGAAAACGTCAGGTGTCCCCCTACTTGCTGGAGCTCAGTGCTTTAGGGCCAGCTTCCCATTGATCTTTCTTGAGCCGGCGCAAAGCCCCAAGCCACCAAGCCAAACTGGCCCATCCGCCCACAAAACACTTCGCTTCACTTATTGCAAGTTGAAAGCTAAAATGATGGAACACCAAACAGGCACCAAGGTTAGTAAAAAGGCAAGCCTTCTGGCAATGCGGATTCCATGGTCAAAACTCGAGCGTTTGCAATCACCTCAAACATGGCACTTTGCTTGGATTCCGGGCACCATGTTTGGTGAACTTTGAACAATTGTAACATTATGTCGTTTGCGAGGCGCATCATATTTAGCGAACCCACCAACTGCAGCATCATGGTGCAATCCCGATGAGCTCGCCTGTCCCTTCAAACCAAGGCGAAAAGGGCGCTGGGCCTCGGAAAAGCAAACACGCTGTTTGATTTCTCGCTCGGAGCTGGGTGCATATCTCCCTCCCAAACATCCAAGCGAAACCAAAAGATAGTCCAAAAGGTGATGCTGAAAGCGACTCAAGCTGTCTGCCCCAAAAGGATGAATTATTTTTGGTAGATCAGATATGGAACAGAATCTGCAACATATCATTTTCTGTGTACCCCTTTTATTGTGTGCCCAGCAACAGGGGCAGAAACATGGGTATGTGAGAGCTGCCAACCGTTTGTTCTGGGGCTTTCGATTTTCTCTTGAAAAGGCCAACCCTTAACCGGCCACCTTTCGCCTCAAAACGACGAGCCGCATTCGGCGCCTAAGAGGCTGAGGCGCTCCACCAAGGACAACGGAGAGCCCCCCTGTCCGGGGAAACCGAAACGAGATCGAAACGAGTGGCGTGCTGGATGGGATGCTCGCAAAAGGAAACTCGGTGGTGGGGGTATGTTATCTTTAAATACCCGAAGCCGCATGAACTGTTGGACCCATGGAACGCCTGGATCTGCATTGGAGGGTGGACCTCAAAATGCCAAGAGTCTTGGGCCTTGGGGTGCATCAGAATTCGGTGGGTCACGATTCATGTCCACCACTGTTGAGGTGGGCCCCTGCTAAAAATTGCAGTCATTTGGGGCAACATTCGGAAGAGATAGGAATCGGGGAATCGGTTTCCCAGAAAAGAAGGCCAGGGTTTCCTTTGGTCTCCCTTTACATACCAAAGGGTGTTTTTCCCACGGAGGGGTTTGTTCGCCCCTAAGGTGCCGGGAGGGAAGTGGGTGCTTTGGCCGCGGCTTGCCGCAGGATTGGTTGTTTCTCTTTCTCTGTTCTTGCTCTTTCTTCCACCATGTTGAGAAACTGTTCGTGGATGTCCATGGCTTGAAAGAAATGGTACCTCATACCATTAAAAAACAACAAAAACAGAGGGCAGCCCAATTTTCCCGTGTCCTCTAAGGGAAACAAGTAATTGTCTCAACTCGCCACCAAAGTATTTTTTTTCGTGGGCGGTTAAATTCTGCAAGGTTCGCAAAAGGATTTGGCGCAGGTTTCGCCAAAGGGGATTCTGGACTGCATGGGCGAGTTCACTAAAATCACTCATTTGGTTGCTGTACTCCAAAAACAATTATATGATTCTGTTTCATGTTTAGTCTATCCTAAAATATGACATACTTGGGCGTCAAGGCTCACAACGTTCCCCGTTCCAGTGACTCAATCCGCTGGAAGTTGATTTGGCTTGCTTTTCTAGATGGTTCTCTCTGTGGGTTTGTGTGGATAACTCTAAAGTTAGAGCTTAAAGAAACTTAACCAAAGTGCCCACTAACCAAACCTTCTCCCCATTCCCGCCCTTAGAAAAACAAAACGGGCGCCTCCTCCCGCGTCAAAGCTTCTGCAAAGCAATCCATGAAGTCCTTGCCTCGAAATGGATCGAAGTACCCATCCGGATGACTGTCACAGGCGTTCCGCTTTGAAAGTTGATCAATTCACTGGCGGCGTCGTTTGAAACTGCCACTTTTTGGGGTTCCCAAAAAAAGGAAAGGGGGGAACCCTGGACGATGTGGACGGGGGAAAAGGGTGGTTTACGAACAGGGCCATCGTGAAAGATAGAAAGATTGAGGGTTGCGCAGCCCCGAATTGTTTACCTCAAGGTTTGACATGGAGTCCATGTTTCTTTGGGTTGTCAACTCTTCTAGCCTGGAACTGGGGGGTGTTCTTGCAAACATGGATTCCCATAGCGAGCTCGGCTTTCCACGGTCCCAGCTACCCAAAGCTAATATATCGTTGGATGTTTCATCTTCAGCCTACCCTAAGACGAAAATAGCTCGGAGGACACCCCCAAATACTTGCCGCGGGCTGTCCGGGGTTGGCCTAAGAGCGCCTCGGGCAAAGAGCGTGGAGATTGGGATCTGCTTCCAATGCGTGAATCTGGTTGTTGGGCATTCACGACGCCGCTGAGACCACCTTCGAGACGCCACCTGCCTCAGCTGAAGTGCGCCGCCGCAACTGCTTATACAAGCCAGTGCTCTGCTCTGCCAGGCTTTCATCGTGCGCCTTTGCTTCGCCTTGCGGCTTGGCGCGCGGCCGAAACACGAGCTGGGCGCGCAAGAGCATCTGCAAGTTCTTTGCGCCTGTGTCGTCGACTGCCCTTCCAGCTCCAAGCCTGAAACCAGCCGCCCCACAGCTTTCAAGTTGTTTTCCAAGTGCCGGAGCTGCTTCTTTATGGGGCCTCAAAATGGCAGACCGGCTTTGGATGGTCGGCTTCTCTATGCAAATACTTTTACAGGGGATTGCCAACTACAAGGGATCCTTTTGTGGGCAAGCGCTTCCAGTCCCGCAGCAGCACGACCCATCTGATCTCAGTAGAAACTTCCAAAGCATCTCTGTTTGGTTCAAACCCATGTCGAGTGTGCTTCCTCTATGGAACCACAAAAAACTCATACTTACGGGGTTCGAGTAATGGACAACCATTCCGTTCAATGTCAAAAAGGGGAGTATCTCTACCCTGGGATACCCGTATGAATCGACCCGGAGCCAACATCATGGAATCCTTGGGGAAAACATCAAATGGAGACCGACATCAAGCCAACCGTCTTGGAACCAACCATCTAGTGCCGGTCTCGACTGGTCTTTGGCCTGAGGCTTCAAGGCTATTTCGCTGGAAGCACGAAGGCTGCGTTTCTCCGACCGAGGCGCCTCGCCCGACCTGCCAACCCATTTGAGGCACCCACGCACGCCGCCCATGTCGACCCCATCCTCGCCCATAAAGTGGATGCCTCGATTTGCGAAGCGTGGCATCGGAGCCGATCTTTAGGGTTCAACCCCCTACTAAAAGAATTGCGGACCCAATTTCCCCCGTACCTCATTCCCTGGTACACATCATCCTTTTTAGTAGAGGGCTGACATGATACCCTTAAACGACCCGGGTATCTGAAGTAGGGGAAATGGTTGACCCAATTTAAACGGCAAACAATGGTCGATAGAGCCCAGTTGCAATCTCTGAGGAGTCGCCAAACAGACTGTGACCAAATGCGGGAAGGAAAAAAAAAGAGAAAAAAAAAGGGGAAAAATAAGAAAAAACGCCTGCAAAGTACAATCCAAACACCCTGAGAACCGGGGCTACCGCAGTGCAGCAGCCTACGTTCTGCGACACCCAGTCGGGGAACTGATTTCGGGCGCCTTTGTCAGGATTGCTCCAAGGAGAAGATCGGCACAAGAGAACAACACTTGGTCAGCAAATGGAAGCCCCTTCACTTCTGATAGAGGCTCGGAGCAGGCGTGTTTATGTTAGTAGCGCAACCGTTTATTTGAAGTGGCCCTAAGCAGGTTGTTTGGATGAAATTCAAAGCGGCTCCAGGAAATTGTACAGGAAACCTGGCTTTGATGGTCCTTTGCAAACTTGGCTTGTGATAGTGTCAGCCGGCTTCTATGATTCCATGGTCCAATTTTCTTAATTAGTTGGGTTCTTGATTCCTTTTGCTAAACGTTGACATTTTAGTGGGATATTGGGTCTTTCTCAACATGGATCTCAGACCCCTTTTCGTTGGTTGTTAAAAGGGAAACCAAAAGGAAACCAATGATGGTTTGAGAATGTCGCAAATCCGCCTACACTCTAAAGGTCTAAAAGTCCAAGGAACCTGGGAGCTATCGAGCTTTGACGTGTCTGAATCATTCGGGGCCCGCACGCAAGCCCAGGAGCTGGTTCAGCTCGGTCTCCTCAGGTTCAAACAACCCATCATATCGCCTTTGCGGAAGGAATTTCAATTTTGCCGAAGGTCGGGTTTCACTCCTTGCGTTAACATACGCGAATTGGGCATTGTTAGTATTGGTGCAACGCTTGCTGTCCCCCAACCAAGGCTTGGGCATTTTTAGTTTCAACACGAGACCCTGCTTGCCTTAGGGAAACCAACGCAAGAGTTACTACGTGTCAAAGCCTCCTAGAATCCATTGGCGGTTGGTTCTACAGTTGGTTCCATGAACATTGCAAATAGGCACCAAAATAAACTTGCAAATGTCCCAAAACAGTTTGGCGCATTTCTCAAACTAATCCCCACTACCTGGTGTGCCCTGAGAATTCTGCTTCATGTTTTGCCTGCCCTCAAATAGGCAACGGTTTGGGAGACCCAGAGATGATCAATCTCTATACGCCAGGCAATGCCAGGTCAGGTTGCGGGATCCCTACTCAGAGAGCCGATCCTAGTTCGCTGCAAGGAAACCAACTGGGGAGTTTTGATAGCAGAAGCGAAGCTACATGTTGCGTCAACGGGCGGGTTAGCCGGGAACATCACAGATTTGTGTCTTTTTCAGTGATCAACATCTTGATTGTTGGCGTGGGGGGGGGGGTGGGAGGGGGGGGGGTGGGGGGGATGTTTCCGTGAGTTGTGAACTGCTTTCGTATTGTAGAGTTCTCACGCAGTCCGCCGGGCTCATGCGGACCCTTACCGGGAGGGCATTCGCATCCATATGCTTCATATTGCTGCTGCGCTTGGCTGGGCAACCCTGCGTTTCATCTTGTCTGCAAGACCACTGGCTAATTGATCCCTGGTATTTAGACAGTTTGCTGGTAGTGGCTTCACAGACTCTCACAGGCGATCCCACTGCGGCTGTCGTGCTTGAGATTTCATTGCAGCCTGATCGTTGGCCATTGAATTTTGATTTGTTGAACACCGAGCACGATCTTCTTCACGCGACTTGGTTTTCTTACTGGGAAGCAAACAGATGCTCAAGCGAACATGTACACGAACTTGGAATGGCTGAAGCTGTGAAGAAAGATGCGAGCAAGCAGAAGATGTAGGCCTGTCAAATTCCCGGCTACCCCCTCCCCCCGTGGACCCTACATGTTGAACGATTTATATTTTTTCTAGAAGTTCAAAAGATGGTCTAGAACTGTTTTCTATGATTTCAATCATCATAATTTGAGATATGTGTTTTACATAGGACCTATATCAAGGGTGGCGTGGGAGTGGTGGACCCTAGACCAGACCAAGCACGGTGTCAACCCTGACTTAAGGAGGAGGGGTTGACCATTAAAAGCCGTGCTCTTTTCCAAATATACCACGGAAGAAAAAAAAAGCAGGGGTATTCGGAGCAGGGTGTATCCGCCTTGGTTTTCCTGTTGAAACCAACCAAAAAGGGGCTTCCAGGGGAACAAACACAACCCCAAACAAGCCCCGCACATGGTTATTTAACTTGACTATACCTCAGTAACCTCAGAATACCAACGCTGTGGTGAGGGCATCATGTCAAGCCTCTACTAAAAACAGGGGCATTTCACATGGACAATGAATTTTCCGAAGATAAACAAAGAGTGGGTATTTGGACTAGGGAGTAACCCAATTAAACCCGATAGCAGAGCAATCTAGCAAAATGGCCAATAGGAATCGGTTTCGGGTGCTGCTCATGTTGCCCTCATGTTGCTTCTGGAGTGCGCGCGTGGCGAGCTATATTGTTTTGCTCGTCGTGAATCCTGTCTGCTTTTGTTGTTTGGAAGAGGTTGTTTCTGTGTATGTGCTCAAATAGGGGGACCTCAAATTGGTAGTTTCACTCAAAATAAAGAGTACCGCAAAAAAAAAAAAAACACCCCAAGTCCCTTGATGTTGGCGTTCCTTTAAACAACCAAAAAGGGTACCCACAAAAAACAAGACACCACGGATATCCGGACCGTACAAAAAAACGGGGTGGTGCCCCCTTGTGAGGAAGTGATAGTCTGGTCCTGGGGGCTCCAACGTGAAAACATGTCCCACACACACGCACACACACAACGGTCATCTTCCATTTGCTTTTCGTCCCAGGAAATGACATGAACTCATATTTCCAGTGCTTCCAAATTTGCCTTGCACACCAACAGGGAAAATAAAACGTCTCCTGAACACAAATTCAAGCCATGACGTGCGTTTCCATGATCTGGTGGTTCCATGCGACTGGATGTGCAACAGATTCTCCCACAGACAAGCCCCAGCAAGGGCAGCAAAATTTGCTGCAAAATCGCGGGCAGCAGGCAAATGTTGCTTGGACATGCACATGCTTCCAAGTCCTGTCCCCGAACTTAAATGAAAAAGAACATGCTGGCTCAAAGGAAGGTCAAACTGGATGAAGCCTTGCACTCACCCTTGCGCCTTCTTTTTGGTCCCCAACCTAAATTGGCCCTAGCCGACATGGACAAGGGAACAACGGCACCTGCACGCCGTTGCTGTGGAGCGGTCATACTTGGCGTAGCATGACAAGTTGGTCTGGGCCGTACTGTAGCAGCATTGGTTTCTCACCTGAATTTCTTTTGCGGGGCTGTGCTCCATGCCCAATATTTTTGGAGATCGACCCTAAGGCCCCACTATTCGAAGCAAGTAAGTGCAAGAGCCGTAGCATTACAAATTTCATCTCGGACAAAGTGCAAATCGCGGGTACAGAAATCATCTCCTCCCAATCCCCAGGTGGTTTTGTAAATGCGTTGTACGAACCTCCTCAAATTGACAGCTTTAGCCAGACTTGTTGTGGTCTCCACGGCACGGCCGTAGAAGAAGCACCGGTGGTACCGCAAAAGAACGGCTTTCATCGGACGAAGCCCAGCAGGGATCCTTACATTATACACCTGAATATTGCCTTATGAATGGTGGTGTCCCTTTATTCTGGTGGAAAAAGCTGTATTTCAAATGGGCAAAATGTATCTGTTAAGGAGCCCTGCCAGGGTCTTCCCCCTTTTCGCCGGGTCCTGGAGTCCGGGGAAGTGCAGCGAGGTGACCCCTAGCAGCAGATCTTCCACCTGAGCTGCGAGCGGTCGCGCGAGTTCATTGACGGAATGTATCCCCTATGCCAAAGACCGCTGGTTTTGTTTTGTGTGTTGTTGTTAGTTTTTTGTTTGTTGGTTTTCTCTTTGTTTCTCCTTTTTCTGTTTTTTTTTGGGGGGGGCATCTTTGTTGAAAAACCTAGCTTTCCAGGGCACATGCCACCTTGTTAGTCAAGGGGCAACATCATACGTGGGTGTGGGCGGTACGAGTCCATAAAACAACCCATCGCAATAACACACGGACTTGCACAAAGTCTGCTCTGTCTGATTGCGGTCTGTGTGTTGCATGTCAGTGACACTATCCTTTTGTCTGTCTGTTTGTTTGCGCACCAGCCTGTTTGGTGTTTCTCCTTCCTATTGCTTGCACTTGCGGTTCAAAATTGTGTTCTGCAGACAAGTAACACCGATCCAGACAGACACTTGCACACACGCCACCCACATATACACAGCGCAAAGCCCAAACACACTGTTCCAAGAGCACAACCCTTGACTGTGTTAGCCAGTCGCCAGGCATAGCCAGCTCCGCCAAGTGATCCGCGCACCTTCGTGCTTTGGCGACTTTGCCACCGCTAGGCGCTGCTGAGTGATAGGTACTCCTTCGCCGACTGCGAGCCTTGACAAAGACTCACTGCCAAGCCTGTATAAACCCAATTAAATTAAAGAGTAAAACAGAATGGCGGCCCAATGACTGAAGGCTTGCAGGATGGCAGGATTGGCAGGTATGAGCCCATGGGTTTGTGGCTCGTCACTCGCTTCGGACAGCCCTTTTCGGGTGTTTAAAGGGATGAAACCACCACAAAAGGGGCACCCCGCCCCCAAAACAAGAAAACACACAAAAACGGACAGACCCATGTCGCACCCTAGAAACAAACTAGGTCCTCCAGTAGAGAGGTTAGAATAAGGGTACCCTCTTTTCTGTAGTCCATTTTGGTAGGGGAACCCTCCCCCAAACAAGGGGAAAAGGGGCAATACTGGGGGACCTAGCAGACACCCCCTCCCCATCTTGTGGCCCTTCGCCCAAACTCGCTGGGGGCCAAGGCGGGGCGCTCCGCAATCTGCGTCAGGGCGGAGCGGACCATATCGCTGCCTCGGATCAAACCCAGCGTCAAACAGGTGGCTCGTCATTGTTTGAGGGTGCTCGTTTTTTTGTAGTTTTAATGGAAACCGAAAGGAACACCACCCTCTTTCTTGGTTTTGTTTTTGTGGGGGGGGCTTAAGAGACACACTTCCAGGTGGTTCCTGTCGGTTTCCCTTTAAACCAACCCAAAGACCATACTTATGGGATCCATGAGTGGGTTCGTTTAGTGGAAAGAGGAGCCCAACGGATGGGCAAGCTCTGGTTCCGCAACCCCCCCCGCCGGCCCGCCCGCCGGCAATAGCAACTGCATCACCTGCTGGGTGAGACTGATTATCAAGGTCTATATTCACTTCCTGAGTGGATTGGCTTGGAAAGTCCAGACTTTTTGTTTACCGCCAAAAATCCGCCGACAACAGGCGGCGTGTTGGACATAAGAAATGCTCCTTGCCTCTTTACCTGTTTCCCCTCCCCTTACCCCTCCCCAGGGGCACGGTTTCAGACTAGTGGGGCGGAGTTCCACGTACCACGCGGTGATTCCAAGACGTTCCACTAAATCCTTTCTTTTGGGGGCTGTGCGGAACAGTTGCGTAAAAACATGGGGGTGGTCGATTCCCCCCGGTCCGTTTTTTCATCCTTAGCACCTCCTGGGCAACATCGCCAGCAACACCTGCATCATCCGCATCAGCGCCTGCCAAGGATGCGGATGATGCAAGTGATGCTGGGGAGGCTGCACATGCTGGTGAAGGAACCTTCTGGAAATGATGGAAAATGCATGGACATGAATGACATGAACTGAAATGAAAGAAAGGGAACAAAAACTGATATAAAGGGACATGAAATAAAGATTTTCGGGGGAAATAGGAAAGATATTTTAGAAGGGGAACTGGGGAGAAGATAGGGGGGGGGGGAAAGGAAAGATCTTGGGGGACAAAGGCCTCGGGGGGAAAGGGGAGAAAGGATCTCAACTGGAAAAGGGGGGAAGAAGATCTCAGAAGGAAAAGGCCTTAGGGGGGAAAGGGGGAAAGGGGGGAAAGGGGGGAAAGGGGGGAAAGGATCTCAACCGGAAAAGAGGGGAAGGATCTTAGGGAGGAAACGGGAGAAGATCTCAGGGGGAAAGGCCTTAGGAGGGAAAGGGGGGAAAGGATCTCAAAAGGGAAAGATGGGAGAAGATCTTGGGGAGGAAAAGGGAGAAGATCTCAGGGGGGGAAAGGCCTTAGGGGGGAAAGGGGGTGGGAGGAAAAGGCCTTAGAAAAGAGAGGGGGGAAATGATCTCAACGGAAAAGATCTTAGGGAGGAAAGGGAGAAGATCTGGGAGGCAAAAAAGGCCAACAGGGAAAGGGGGGAAAGATCTTAGGGAGGAAAAGGGAGAAGCTCTCAGGGGGGGGGGAAAGGCCTTACGGGTGGAAAGGGGGGAAAGGATCTCAACAGGGAAAGGGGGGAACAGATCATAGGGAGGAAAAGGGAGAAGATCTGGAAAGGCTTTAGGGGGAAGGGGGGAAAGGATCTCAACAGGGAAAGGGGGCAACGGATCTTAGGGAGGAAAAGGGGGAAGATCTCAGCGGCGGGAAGGCCTTAGGGGGGAAAGGGGGGAACGGATTTTAACAGGACAAGGAGGGGAAAGATCTAGGGAGGAAAGGGAGAAGATGAGGGGTAAAAAGGCCTTAGGGGGGAAAGGGGGGAAATGATCTCAACGGAAAAGATCTTAGGGAGGAAAGGGAGAAGATCTGGGAGGCAAAAAAGGGCAACAGGGAAAGGGCGGCAAAGATCTTAGGCAGGAGAAGGGAGAAGATCTTAGGGGGGAAAGGGGGGAAATGATCTCAACGGAAAAGATCTTAGGGAGGAAAGGGAGAAGATCTGGGAGGCAAAAAAGGCCAACAGGGAAAGGGCGGCAAAGATCTTAGGCAGGAGAGAGAAGATCTTGGGGGAAAAAGGCCTTAGGGGGGAAACGGGGGAAAGGATCGGGGGCAGGGAGGAAAAGGGAGAAGATCTCAGGGTGGGAAAAGGCCTTCCGGGGGACAGGGGGGAAAGGATCTCAATAGGGAAAGGTGGCAAAAGATCTTACGGAAAAAAGGGAGAAGATCTCAGGGGGGACAAGGCCTTAGGGGGGAAAAGGGGGGAAAGGATCTCAACAGGGAAAGGGGGAAACATCTTCGGGAGGAAAACGGAGAAGATCTCGGGGGGAAAAGGCCTTAGGGGGGATCTCAACAGGGAAAGGGGGGCAAAGATCTTAGAGGGGAAGGGGGGCAAGGGGACAATTCCAAAGGGACGCAAATAAGAAAGCAGGCCTGTAATGTCGGCGGCCTGAGCCGGAGGCGTTAAAATATATTTTCCACAAACTCAGAGAGGGAGGCAAAAGTCATTGCACACCTTGTTCCCCTATCATGGCAAACTATGGGTTCTAAGTACCCCAGCCCCCCTCCCCCCCCTTTCTGGGATGGCAAAATTCCTACTTCAAATTGGACAAATCAGCTTATTTGAAAGACAAGGGGTGTGAGTGAGCATATGTACGCAAGAAGTGTGCTGTTGTTGCATAGTTTGTGTGGGTGACAAGTCTGTTGAGTAACAACAGCGAAGAGTTTTTAAACTTTCAGGAAAGTTTAAAAGCTATGTCAAGGGTTTGACGGTTTCCCTGCAACAAGGCAACACCTGGGCACCTGGGAGGAGGTTGAGAAGTCTGGCGCATGGAAAAGGACGAGGGAACAAAGTTGGTTGAGTCACACCTCACTCCTAACACTTCCAACCACGGCCCCCCCCCCTCCCAAGATTTCCCCCCCCCTGTCCAAGGATACCAAGACCATGAAGACTTCCCAGGGTGTTGCCTTGTTGCAGGAAAACGCCAAACACTCAACAAGGTTTATAAACTTTCCTACAAGTTTATAAACCTTGTGTAGGCTTAATGCGTAGCAAATGGATACTGTTGTTTGGGGCAAATGTTGCTTGGGAAAAGGAACAATTTTCGGCCCAAGGGAACACAATCTGAGCAACTTCTGCAAGACACTATGTTTTACAGCTTTTTTGGAGCTCTAATCCCTTGACATTTCCATTTCGGAACACCTAAAACCTAGAATCTGGAGATCAGAATCCTCGAAATGTCTAATGTTGGATTCTCCAAGCCTCAAAATTTGGAGCTGGGAGTCCTCCAACATGAATTCCTGTCCAAAAAGGATTTTACTCCGAATTGACTTGGAATGTTGAAGGGGGCAAATGTTGTTTGGGAAATGAACAATCTTCGGCCCAAGGAAACACAATCTGAGCAATTTCTGCAAAACACTATGTTTTACAGCATTCTGTTGGACCTGCAATCCCTTAAAATGTCTATGGTGAAGCACCTAAAACCCAGAATCCAGAGATCAGAATCCTCGAGATGTCGAATGTTGGGTTCTCCACGCCTCATAATTTGGAGCTGGGAGTTCTCCAACATTCTTAAATCTCGATTCCTTTCCAAATACTGCGAATTGAACTGGAATGTTGAAGGGAAAACTGTTGTTTGGGGAAAAACAACCCTCGGTCCAAGGGAACAAAATCTGAGAAATTTCTGCAAAACACTGCTTTACAGTGTTTTGACATTTCCATTTCGGAACACCTAAAACCTAGAATCTGGAGATCAGAATCCTCGAAATGTCTAATGTTGGATTCTCCAAGCCTCACAAATACACATTCCTTTCCAAACCGATTTTGCTCCGAATTGAATTTGCATATTGAATGTACTTTAGTAAGCACATAGTTCACCACCATTCATAATTCACCATAATGTCTATATTTGATCAGAATTTGAACAGGAATACCTTTCCAAATAAGAGAAATACGAATCCATCCTCAAATATAACTTGAATTGGAATAGAGCTTATTCTGGAAAGAAATCACTTGGCCTTTGCAAACAAATTTTGATAGTAACTCATTCCCAAATATGATTTAGCTTAAATGTGGCTAAACAAATAAAGGGCACACATCCCCAGACTCCCAACTTGTTTGGCATGTGCAGGTCTCAGAGCTTTCATTTTCAGGATATTTTGTGCTTTTGGGTCTGTGCAGGCTGCAGAGCACAAAGCTGCAAAAAACATCATGTGTTCAATGTGTTTTCCCTGGTGTACTCAAAACCACTGTAAAAGCCAGTGTTTTCAAACAAAGCCAGACTCGAATCTGAAAACGGAATCCGTTTCGCTTTGTTGCCTTTCAAGCTGAAACAAAGCAAACATTTGCTGTCATATTGAAGGTAAAACACCAACATAAACACTGTATTTTACAGTGTTTTCAGGCATCTGCAAGAAGGAGGCACATGGAGTAGAGTTGACACCTTCAACTAGAAGAGAGGAAAGGTAGGCCCTGGGGGGGTGACCCTATATATATATATATACGTATATAGTGGCTACGTAGTTGTGTTGTATGTCCCATTGGCACACCTGGGGGGCGGGTCTTTTTGGCAACAGCTTCGCGTCTGGAAGATGAACACGTAAGTTGGTCAGTTGGCGCGAAAGGGCGCTTTCGAGTGGTTCGGAGGTTTGATCTGGAGATGAGTTGGACCCCTGAAGGAGACTCCAGCTATCTGAGGCTGAGAACAAGAAACCCAAACTATTGCCTCCCTCTTGAACCACTTGAACCCACCTTTCGGCCACGCTCATAAGCCGAGCCCCTTCAAAGGAAACTCATTCCTTACACTCCCGACGACCATGGAAGCTCCCAGAAGGCCTCTGTAAATGGAGCCAAGCCTTCCACTGTTCGGGAGCTTCCGTGGAATCGCCGGAGAAAGGGGGTCCTTCGGAACACCCCGATGAGCTGTCCTCAGATCCCCCGCTAAAAGTTTCAGGTTTAGTGGGTGAAATGGAAAGCCCACCACCAAACGCAAAAAAAAAAAAAACACTAAAAGATCTAAAAAGCTAACAAGCTAGGGGAATGGAAACCAACCACTAAACGCTAAAAAGATCCAAAAAGCAAAGGAACCGGATGGCTGGGAGCCACCATTGGCTTCACCCGTCGGGCGCCCCGGCGCCGCACCGAGATGGGCGCCGTCGCCGCCTCAAAGACTTGGAGCCTGAGACTGCCGTCCGCTTGGATACCCGTAAAGATGTGCCCCGCTCTCAATGGGCCCAAAAAAAGAGACAACAGGAACCTGTTGCTTGCCACTAAAATGGACCAAGCTTAATGACCGAGCTGGTTGCTTGCCACTGAAACGGTCCAAACTCCAAAAGTGACTCAAGTCCAGCACCTCTGGCGTGTGCGAGTGACTTAAATGTATCAAGTCCAGGACCTCAGGGAGTGAGCTCTGGGCGTGTGGGAATCCGATGTTCAAACTGGGAGACCATCACAAATTCCTTGGCGTTCGGCGCTCAGCATCTTGGCACCTGGAAAACCACCCAATGGAGACCCTTTACCTCCTAGGGTCGCATGATGCGTAGGGAAAAACCACCTTCTTCACAAGGGCTTGGCTCCTTTACGTCAGCAGGTGGTGATTTGTTGACTGGCCCTTATCCTTTTTCCGAAACCCTAGGCAAAGACGGGAAAACAACAAAAATGAGGGTTTCACTTTTCGCTTACCTTCGTTTCGTTTGGTTTCAAAAGGTTTTGTGTCGTGGTATGTCACTTTAAAAGCGTCGACCCATGGCAACCAAAAACTCCAAGTCTCAGATTCTCCAGTCCACTTGAACATTCAACCCCCCCCCCCCCCCCCCACAAAATGGAGCTTCCCATGATTGCTGGTTCTCTCTGGTTGGAAGAATCTTGACCCTCATCTGGGGTTTCTCAAATTGAGCGGAGCCAGTGAGGATGACCAGGAGTAAAATAAGGGGCAAACTCATTGTTTATGAGACCAATCTTCCACTGCCACTGTCGAATGGAAGCAACCCTGTATGGTTTATCCTCCATAGTAGCCAATGCCAATCATTATGGTAGCCAAGTGAAGTCATCATGTAAAGCCTAGAAGTGAAAATACCTGGTTGTCTATCGTGGCCTGCCTGGACGGAGGCACGGGGTTCTAGTCTCACTTGGTCGGTGACCAGCAAAAACATGTGTACACTTTTGGGGCCATCACTAAACTGAAGGAGACGCCACCAAGAAATTCTGTAAGGTGAGCCCACTGGCTCGCTGTGTAGTACTTGTTAAGATGGTCTGCCCCTTTTTGCTCCACTGCCAGGTGCAGCGAAGGAACACGCTCTGCTCCTTGACGATGCCATCCTCCTGGACAAACAATTCCGCAGCTTCCACCGAGTCGTTCTGCTAACATGGTTACAAAGGCTTTGCACCCAATTTAAATGAGAATCAGGTAGGAATTGAACCACCTACTAAATTCCCAACAGGGATATTCAGGTTTATCTGGGGGTGAATGCTTAATTGGGGACCCTTTGGTGGGCATCATTTCGGTTGGGATTTGTGTCCACCAGGTTCCCAAAGGAAATTCATAGCCATATGAGTAGGGGGCGAAACCCACTGACTGTTGCCTCTGCCTGGATGGTCCTGGAGGATAAGGGCTACCTGTATGAAGGCAGGTAGGAACCGCACCACCTACTAGAATGAACCGCACCACCTGATAGAATGGCCCGTTTGTACTCGGCTTCGCGCTCTGTCCTATCGTACTACCTTTTTTCAGGTTGGTTTTCGTGGGGAACCAAAAAGAAAACTGAAATCCACCCTATTTTGAGGTTTTTTCTTGAGAACCAAAAGGAAAACCGAAATCCATGTTGTGGGTTCCCCCTATTTGGACGAGCCACACCCAGGTAGGCGCTACTACCCCAACCAAACCTGGTAGGACCGAAGCCGCGGCTCCTGCAAGAGAGCCTTCATGTCCTGGCGGGAGACAAAAGATCGGCGGTTGGGTGAGTTGTTGGTTTTATGTGTTGTTTTGTTTTGTTTCTTGGTAGGTAGGTAGGTAGGTAGGTAGGTAGGTAGGTAGGTAGGTAAATAGGCTGGCTGGCTGGCTGGCTGGCTGGCTGGCTGGCTGGCTGGCTGGCTGGTGAGTGGGTGGATTGTTGGTTGGTTGATTGGTTGGTTGATTGTTGGTTGGTTGATTGGTTTGTTGGTTGGCTGGTCGGTCGCTCACTCGGTTGGTTGGTTGGTTGGTTGGTTGGTTGGTTGGTTGGTTGGTTGGGCAGAAGCCTCACTTGCACGATGAACAGTTGGGAGTTGCCGTGACTGGGGCAAAACAAACACCCAAAAAACCGTTTTGTACCCCAGTAAAAATCGTTGTGCCTCACAGAATCACTTGATTCACCTCAGACTGAAACCAGGGGTGCTTTCTTTCCCCGACAGGAGACCCCCTAGCTTTGACTGGGCATAAGCTTTAGTTGGGTCCTTTATGCAGGGAAACTACTAAAGCATCTAGGGAACGCCCAAAACAGCGGTTTCCTTTTGGTTTCCCTTTAAACCAACCCTAAACAAGGGTACCAACTCCAAAAACGACGTACCCAACTCTGCCTTAAAACACCCCGGGCTCACCAGCTTGTCGGGGCCCGCGCCTCCCCTCTGCGTGCCGCCAGCTGCAGAAGCAGCTCATCCAGCTGATCCTGAGCCTTGCCGTTTCGGCACAGCCCCCCTGACCACTCAGGGCCCCCCTTGGATCCCCCGCCCGCCGCCCCCCAATCCCAAGAAAGATGCGAAAACGTGACGAAGAAAATGGGGTTGTCTCAAATTCATGAACCGCCAAACTGGTTGGTTTCCTTGTGGCTTCGCTTTGAAACAAAAAAGGGGTGCCTTCAAAAAAGACGGGCCCAGAAGGCCTTAGGGGGGATGGACAAATTCCGCAAAACGCGACAGTGGGATTTCGGTGATTCATCCCGGTAATTACCACGCCGATCGGTGTGGGATTTCCTATCGGGTGCTGCTTTTCCGAGAAACCCCAAGGCCCATCTTGTTTATGGCTCGTAGGGAATTGGACCCGTGCGGGCTTCTTTTTGGTTTCCCTAAGGCAATCTGAAAAGGCTAGTCACAAAAACACGACAATGGGTAAAAGCAGATGCCAGAAAGGAAGCTTTGCTTAGGGCGTGGGGCCACATCACTTTTTGGAATAGGTCTCCTTGGGTAACGTTTAAGGGAAAAAAACACGGGAACCCCGAGGCCCCGATTCGAAATGTTTCATCCACGTAGCACTTGCTATTTCCCGGAAAGTCGAGCCATGGAACTCCAAGACCCATACGAGGGGCTACCACCTCAGAAGCCTCAAGGGCTTAGCCTTGGCTTCAGCTTGTCCAAAGAAAATGTCGTAGCCACAACCTTGGTTGACGTTGGAAGGGGAGCAACAATTTAAATTTTAGCAGTTCAGTGGGGATTCCCACTAAACCACAATAAGCAAAAATGTAAAATGTTTCCCAACAACAACCATGCAACGGGAGGTCCATGAGCATTCACTCGGACCACTGCACTCGGACTATCTGAGCTGGGGCGCATGTCTGAGCGCTACGTGTTGCTAACGGGAAACCTTCAGAAGCCACCATTTGGGAGGTCCCCTCAAAAAGACACACACACAAAATAAATAAATAAATAAATACATAAATAGATAGATAAAAAGAAAAAAAAAAAAAAACATGAGGTTGTGGACTTCCCGTGGCTTGAAGCCAAGCTCACGCAATACTGAGCCCGGGGCCATGGCTGAGTCTCGCGGACCTCACGTCGCGGTCGACCCGAAAAATGGGGCTGCCCTGGGATTCAAGTACCACCGTTGAAACACCGTTGGAATTTAACGATGGTTGGGTTAACCCAACCTTGTATCGACCCAAATTGAAAATGGCGACGGTGGTTGTGTTGCCCTGGAATTGCAAGGGATTGGTGGCGAAAAATGCAACCGTTTGCCTGAGCGCGATCATCTAACTTGATATCCCACGTGTTTTTGCTTCAAAAGGTCTCGGTTGAACCCTACGCGATATGCGGGACCCTTCTAATACCGTGTTAGACCTCATCCGAGGAAGCCCACCTCAAATCGGCCTTTTGCTCACCAATCTTCAGCTTCCGTTCGTAGTTGGGAGCCCTTGTTCGGAGGCGCTCCGGTGGCTTCCGTTTCAAGAACCAGTTCAAGGCCAGACCCAAACCAGCAATGGAGACACCTAGGGTGGGGGTGGGGGTCCCTTACTCTTCCTCTCTTTTTTTTTTTTTTGGGGGGTGGGGAAAAATGCAAATTACATTTTAAGACGTGCCCCCCCCCCCCCATGTTCGGGCCCTGATGGGGTGGGGAATTCAAGACCAGGCCGAAACCAGCAACAAAGGGGTTACCCGAAATCTGGTCCAGAGCGCCGTGACTAAAGCCCAGAGATGGAGATGGACCGGCGATCGGTGCGGAGAGATGCGGGTCCGGGCCCCGAGGTTCATTCCCACATTCCCTACCTGTCGCACCAGGTGATGGAATTGGCCAAGAGAAGTCTGGACTTCTTGAATGCAATTTGAAGGGCCCAAACCGAAGAAGTATTCAGCTCAGAAACTCAGGAAGACAGGGAGAGAGGAACATAGCGGCCCGATGCGATTCGAGTTCAGCTCGGGTTTGCACATGCGTCATCAACTGTGTGCAACACGTCCAGTCAGTGACATGTATAAAGTGCGGCTCATGGTCCAGACTAAGCAAAGAATCAGTCGAGTCGTTTAGCCCCTCAAAAAATGGGGACCCCACTGGCAATGAGTTTGGCGCTGCCAGCCATAAGCAAACCCTCATCTCGGCGTCCTTTCAGTGTTCACCCTGGATGAATCGACGTGGCGTTTCAGCTACGAGCTTTCAAATCCAATCCGGGGGTGTACTATTCAAAGAAATTCCATGGGGCTTACCCAAAACCCGCGACAAGCAGAAAGACTTACGTGCGGATGTCTGTGGACGGACTGCCACCCGCCAGACTCAAACAGGGGTGTTCAAGACTGGGCTCCCAGTGAAAGCAAAGCCAAGATCAAACTGCCCAACTCCCATTTTCGGGGCTCCAATTCCCATTTCAGGAACTAATTCACTCCTTTGCTCCGGAAGCAAACAACTGGCTTCTCGAAGGGGAAACCGTGGCACGTCTTTAACCAAGTTGAAGACAAACCAAAAGGACCCTGGTCTTTCAAGGAAATCCTCCAAGGACGCAGGTGTTTCCAAAACACAAATACATGCTGTTGTTATTTTTTTCGAGTGGTTTCTTGCCTGGTTTTGAAGGGAAGCCAACAGGAAGTCCACCGTTTTTGGGAGGAGTCCCCCTCAAAAAACACCGCCGGCCACGTCCGCGCGGAGAGGAAAAAACGAAAAACGGGAGGAGTTCCCCAGGCCCCCCGGCACAGAGTCCCGATGGAGAGATCCAGGGGCGTCGACCGCAAAAGCCTCCGATCAATCCCGCGCGCCCGTCCCGAAGGGAGCGGGGATCTTGGGGGAGCTCCAACTTGGAATCCGCCCATTTCCCATCAACTTCAAGTCCAGGCGCATTTAAAAGGAATCCTCCCGTATGTTTGGTTCCCCCTGTATCCCTGGTTGGTTTCCCTCAAGAAAGGACTCACCGGCCCAAAGGACCTGGAAGAGGCGATCGCCTTGAACCGATGGACGCAATACTGTGGATGGTTGCGAAATCCGAGACCGCACCACCACCTAAGAAACCATGGGAAGCCATTCTTTGTTGGTATTTACGTAGGAATCATCAGAAACCAGGGGTTCCCAAGTGTGCAGGATTTTGTTCACCCACAGTATGGACCAAACCGGGGGAAATCAACAGGTTGAAGGTCGGCGTTGGGCAAGTGAGAATTAGAAGTGGCTTAGTCATGACTAAGTGAGTAAAGGAAGTCACTAACCTAACATGGGGGAATTGTGCCATGTACTTCGCCCAAAGTATAGGAAGCTAACCGAACTTGGATGTTTAGCCTACGTTTGGTGCTTTGCAACCATGGTTGTAACCGATTGGTTGTTGCGTTTCCCATATAATACAAGGGGAGAAACATTCAACACATGTCTCTCCACACCCGCATCCCAATTGTTCAAGCATGACTACTGCTAAGGCTGTGCTGTGAAACATACCCTTCCTCAAACCAAAATAGAATCCTCCAAGAGGTCACTGTAGAGGAAGGACGGTCACAGAAGCTGGCTCTGAACTCCCATTTTCTCCCACAGAATCACCCACTTTGGGGGAAGTTGGTGGGAAGAGAAAAGCTAGTCATATGATGTAAACCGAAGTGCATACGCCTACAGCATGCCAATGCTCAAATGTCTAACCCCCCCCCAAAAAAAAAAACAATGAAAACATGTCTCTTGGCCTGTCAGACAAAAGTTCGCGTATTTGAAATGCTGGCAGTCCCGGAGTTGGCATGGAATTCGCCAGGCTCAAATGACATTCCTGCTGCCCTAAGTCAGTTTGGAACATTTTTGGTAGCCAGCCGTACTAGCTCAGCGTGTGCCACGGCAAAGCAACCCTCGGTGTCTTTTTTCGGAGCCATTTCCTACCCAGTGCTTCCAGCTACAATGGTCGCTAACCGAAACCATCATTGATGATCATGTCAAACCTAGAGGCCACATGCCTGGTTGCCTAAGCCATATGTGGCAATGATTCATTGGGGGAGAGCTCAGTCATTACAAGCAACAAACAATCACTTCATGAGCCACGAAACATAAGCTTGCCGCCTTACAGATTTGTAATTGCTGAGCTGTCCTCAGATGCGCCGCTAAAAGTTGTTCACCGTTCGTGGGCCAAGTGGAAAAAAAAACTACAGTATCACCACTCGAAAGCTCAGAAGTTCCTTAGGGTCCTTCGGAACCGGATGGCTGGGAGCCCACAATTGGTGAAATTTGTAGGTGACCACCCTGTATCTTCCTGACACTGATTCCCTATGCAACCTACAATTCTCACCTCGAAAACCCAGCCCGACAGTGGCCGCCGGCAAAAAAAAACTCACCCTATCACAACCCCGGGCCTCTGCGTCCCGCGGGCGGCGCGAACCTGAGCTCGACGGGAGGGCCCGCCCTCCCCAGATCCACGAGTCCACGAGAAAAGATGCGGGGGACCCAACCAATCGTTTGCTTTATGTTGGTTTGTCTTTAAAAAAAAAGCCCAAAGGGTACCTTCCAGAAGAAAAAAAAAACGCATATTATTTGGAAAGGTGAGTTTTGATTGGGGACCAACAATGGTGGACGTCAAAATTCGGTGGGGGTTCATGTCCAGCAACCACTTTTGATGTGGCTAGCTCTATTATATTAAACTTAATTGCTATAGTACGTTGCCGTTTTGTCTGATGCTGATTCAATTTTTGCCAGTCTACCCTGAACTATAACATCACCTTGGAGACCCCAGAAACATAGAAGTGCACAAACCTCTTTTTGAGGCCTACTTTAGCAAGCGGTACGGTGAATGCCCTAAACCCTGCCGTCAAAACCATGCATAGGTAAACCAAAGTAAACCAAAGTAAACCAAAGTAAACCAAAGTCAACCAATGCAAACCAAAGTAAACCAAGGTAAAGACGCCCTGAGTAAACCAACCCCATCGCCTTTGAGACAAAGCTGCCTCCATCGAGAGATTGCAACTTCTCCCCCGAGCTTTTGGAGGCCTGAGGAATCCCCTACTCGGCGTGTGGTTTGAATTGGGTACCCCGTTCTCGTTTGATTGAAAACCCGCCGTTTTGAGGGGTTTTGGGCCCAAAGCATGGAACAAACAAAAAAAGAACCACACCCAATTGGTGGTTGGCTTTACGGAAGCCTTCCGTTACTCTTTTCGACATCCTCCAGTGACCCCCGGGCTGCCTGAATGGCATGCAGTTGCTCGAGAAAAAAACTGAACGACCGGGAAAGCTTCGCTCGCGGGAAGCCACTTTGCCATGGAGAAACCCAGCTGGGAGCAGGGGCTGTTCTGCCCATTTCGGGGGGAAAAAAACACATCATTTGAAAGGCCGCATGACTGTGTCTCATGAAATCCCTAAAATGCCGGCGTTTTGTTGGCTTCCCTTTGCACCAACATCAAAAAGGGAACCAACTCGACAAAGAACACACTCATATGAGCAACGGACAACGTGAGGTATCAAGTATCCGTTTTGCAAGTTGGTGTGTGTCGATTTTGGGTAGGCTCCTCTGGGTTTCTGATAGGAATCATGTCGGTCACTCATAAAATTACTTGTTTCCCCAAAAGGATATGGGAAAAATCGCGAGTTCCCGGGCTGTGGGAAATTCGTTCAGTTTCCCAATGTGGTTGCCTGCATATGGTCGGAACCCAAAAAGGGGGAACCAGCCAAACAACATCCCGAACGGTGCTAATTATTTTTAAACAGGGATCCTTACATTATACACCTGAACCTTGCCTTGTAAATGGAGGTGTCCCTTTATTTTGGTGGAAAGAGCCATGTTTCAAATGGGCAAAATGTATCTTTTAAGGTGCCCTGTTAAACCACCGAAGCAGGGGCAAACACTCGAGAAATGGAAACCGCCACCTCGCCGCTTTTGAGCCCCCCCCTCCCCCCCCCCGCGCCCCCTGGCGCCCCCCGGCGCCCCCACCAACCCTTCGCTGGGCTGTCAGACCCGCCACCAGAGCGACGAGATCTCCATGCTCGCAAAGAACTCCGCCGCGCCTCGGAATGAGAAGGCACGACCGACCCAAGGCACAACCAAGTAGTCAATGCCCAAAAAGTCAATCAGGTATTCCTACGCAAGCCATGTAAGTAACATATACCAACACATGTTATCCCTATTTGGAGGGTAAATGTGGCTACATATGGCACACATGGAGTGCAAAAAGGTTTATATAGGCTACACTATATCCGGTTGAACCTCTGCCAAAATGGCCAATTCAGGTCTTGGGCGCTCATGTGGAGCCCTGTCAAAACGTGCTGCACCTCTCTACCCCCTACTCCAAATACCCTCGTTGTTTGTGGAAGTATTTCTTGAACAACCATGGTAAATACCTCCTTTCCCAGTGGAGGATTGACATGATCCTTAAAAACAATGGTATTTGGAGTAGGGGGTATGGACATGGATAAACTAGAGAGTTGTCTGTTCGCCTTGGAAAGTTTGACCGCGCATGCGAACCCGATCAACGGAGAAGACCCTCCCCGTAGAAACAAGGCTCCGAACTATTTCCCGTTGAACATCGCCCCAGGAGGAGACACAGCAGCCACAATTGGTCCAAAAGTGATGTTTAAACTGACTGAATACGGAATATGGGTCTCCTCTCTTTTTCTCGCTCTCGCTCTCCTTGGATCCTGTATTTGTGTCATAATTTCTTGGAACCAAAAGCATGCTTATGGTTTTCGTTGTTAAGCTCTCCCCGAAAAGCACTCTCAAAAAAAGGCGCGCACATATAGGTTTTGTTTGGTATCCCAAGAAGGGAACCCGCGAGTGTAGCTCTCCTTTTGGCTTGCCTTGAAAACCCGCCCCGATCTCTAAGTTCAAACACAAAACGAGAAACCAGAGATCTGGCATTGTCAACACCTTCTTGGGTTCCCCCTTCAAACACCTCGAAACCTCCCCATTTGGCTGTGGCTCAAAAAGCCGGAATTCCAAAATGGGTTGCCCTGGTATGTGGAAACATGGACCAAAACCTGCGGTTTGCCCCTCTTGTTTCATTTTGAGCCGCACTCATATATATATATATACATAAATATAAATGTATATATAGCAATACCCAATACACAGACACCTCCCCATTTGGAGAAGGAACAAGCCTCGGAACCTCGGCCCCGCACGCTGCGGTGCCTCTGCCAGCTCCGTATGGCCCCGCTGGGACCTCACACTGCCGGACGAAAACAGCGGCTCTGGTGGCGTCCGCTTGTTTTTGGAGAAGTCTCGCAGTTACTTTTCTTGTTTGAGAGATCATATGGTGCTTGTTTGAAGCTTGTGCATTGTTCTTTGGATTTTTATTTGGTGGTTGTTGATTTTTGAACCCAATATCAGCGTGTGTGCTTTTCTTCGGAGTGTGTATTTCTTGCTTTGTGATTGCATTCCGTTGTTTCTGCTATTGCTGTTCCGGGTCCTTTGCGGGTCCCAGAGTTACCTTTGGGTCTCAAACAAAACGGAGGTTGCCTCTATTTCTCCTGCGGTGAAATGATGCGAATGAGTCAAGCGCCGATATCCTACAAGGATAGCACCGTGCATAAGCTCCAACAAAACAGCTGGCTTTGTCCTCTTGGGGATCCTTTGTTTGCAACCGCATGCACAGTCCCTTGAAGGATACACTGGGTCCAACTAGAAATCATCTTTAACAGCTGATGTAGAGGATCCCCTTTTATACTGGGTGGTTTTTGGATGTAACCCTTGCGAAACCCTAACGCGCTCTTGAAGCGCCAGGATCGGGCGCCCCGTTCTTTAGAGACAAACCCACAACGCATCTCGGAAATGGGGACTACCAATGTATTCTCCTGCAGGTCAACCTGATACGAAGAAACCATATCGGTTTTCGCCGCGTTTTCTTTGACTGCAACCCCCTAGTGCAACCTATGATGCGCATTTAGAGTGGGGGGGTAAGGTTGTCACAGCCAGAGAGCCAAAGACTGTGGTGTTTCTTAATCGGGCCTGACTTTGATCATGGTGAGATGTAATGTGTAAAAGGGGGGGAGGCATACAGGGCCCAGCAGAAGCACTGTGTTGCCGGTGTTTTTCTCGCTATGCCTGCCCTAAAGTCAGTTTGAGGGTTGTGAAGCAAGATGGTATGTGTAGCCTGTCCCTATCAAAGTTTGTACTACACCCAATTTACTAAGATACAATTTGGGCCCGTTTCAAATGGTGAGTGCATTGGTTTTGGGGGAGCTGATCTGACCCCTAATTAAACTGTTAACAAATAAACGAAGACAATTTAAAACAAATAAACGCAAAAAGCATATACACACACATGTCCGGTGAAGCGCGCTTTCTTTGAGGTCGCTCAGGCTATGGCTGCCGCAGGTCATGGGACACTCGGCACAGGGCCGCCTGGCAAGCTGGCGCTCGGCTGGCCGGTTGCCTGGATCCCTTCTCTGTTGGTGTTCCCGTAAGACCGCTCCAAAAATCGTGCCCCCCCAAAAAAGAAAACATATCTTGAGCAGAGGGTACCCTCCAAAAAGTTGGATACCCTAAGAATCTTGTGCCCTCAAAAAGGCCCTTGAAATGAGGTCCGAAACCGTCCCATGGAGATCCGGCTCGACCACGGAGGGTCAGCTCCGAACCGCTCGCCTTCTGAGCCACGATGGGGTCGGGGCCAAAGTAGCGCTCCACCAGCCACTTGCAAGGCACCACCTGGGCGTACTGGTTCTCAAGTCAGCTTATATACTGGCTTGGTGGATTTCGTGGTTGTTTGGTGGATTTCATGGATTTGGTGGTTTTTTGTGGTTCTGTTGTTGTGGATTTGGTGTGGTTTGATGGATTTGATGTTGGTGGTTTGGTACTTCCCCATTTTCGCAGGGTTCCTCATGTCCAACCAAAGCATCACCCATCAAACAGAATCTCGCGCGACATGTTCCTTGAGGTCCAGCGGACAAGCTCAAGTCAGCTTTCCATCGAGTGTCTGGAGAAATGTGGAAGACATCATCCCTCTATCCCCCTTGATGAAATCCAAGTGACGTGCTAAGAGCGCTCCCAGCTGCTCATCATTGCCGGATTTTGGAAGGCGGTTTAGAGGCCCGCTTCGATGAGGGAGTGGCAGTCCCAAAAGCGATTACCAAAGGGTTCAGACAAAAGGACGCACCTCAGGTGGGCGCGGGTCTATTTGGTAACCACCTTCTTGTGCATTCATGGGGTTGGGCCTGCAAAGCGGGTCTCTAAGTGCTGAAAGAATCTGCCGAGTTCTGATTGAAGGGTTCTGGTGACCTTTCTGGGGAGGGGGGGGCATCATCTGTCAGGACCACACTTACTCTACTGATTGAACTGCACACATTCCTGGAGCTCACCAACCTGAACAGAGAAATCCCCACAGCACCTTCATCAAGGCGCGTGCAAAGGCGGTGCCTTTTCTGGCGCGGGCGCTGCTTGTTGCAACTCCGGCGAAACGCACACTGAGCTTCTAAGCCAGGCGCGCTCTGAGCAATCTCTATCGAGACTCTTGGCAGTTCGAGTTTCTCGAAGCATGTGGCTCAATTCTTGGCCCACATCTGGGCTATGTAAGAAAAGCATATCTTCCGATTCTGTTTCGTGCCAAACATGTAACACAGCTTGGAGGAGACCCCAGAATTCTCTCTAGGCTCAACTGCTTCCCTTCAATACCAGAAGTCGCCTCGCCGGCCCGTGATGATGTCGTACTTCACCCCTGAGGCTTCGACCCTGGACATGTGTTAACTTTTCAGTTCGATAGGCAGGGAGTGAGGCAATCAATCACCCCCCACACAAACCATCCCTTGTGGTTTCCTTTAGGGGATCCCTGGGTGTATCCCACCATTGTGTTCCCTTCATCATCTAAATTGGGTCTCCGATTGGCCATTATTTTCATGGAAATCGGTTGAACCCTCGGGAAAAGAGCCTAACATGGGCCAGTGAGGATTGCGGCCAGATCTGGAATACACTCTCGCACGTCAACACAGAACCAAACAAAACATCATGTTTAGACAAATCTCCGTTGAGGGACCCCTTTAGTGGGTTCCATGTGTTCCGTGTTAATTTGTAGGGGAGTATCAAAAAACGGGCATAACAACTAACGTTGTGTTTTTTCCCCAACGAGTGTGGGGATTCGAGGCAAGCCCCGTTGCATATCACAGTGTGAGGAAACCAGAGCTAGCTTCCCATTTGACATGAGCCTGGAGTAGTATTACTCACATCTACCAGTGGTCAGAAAAATAATGGGCAACTAAATGCCATTTCTTTGTGGTATTTTGGTGAGTGTACCCCATGTAATCCCCACAGTTTCAAAATCATGGCCAGCAGTCCAAATCCGCCGACCCCTTTGCAAAAGCCAAGTTAGTCTCTGTAAAGGGGCGAGGCGTGTTCTAAGTGGTGGTTAGGGGGAGTCTGAGGGGGGAGGGGGGGTCTCGCGGCGGATTTTTGAAACGCCTAACCTCTAACCCTAACCTCTAACCCTAACCTCTAACCCTAACCTCTAACCCTAATAACTCTAACCTCTAACCCTAACCTCTAACTCTAACCTCTAACCCTACCCTCTAACCCTAACCTCTAACCATAACCTCTAACCCTAACCTCAAACCCTAACCTCTAACCCTAACCTAACCCTAACCTCTAACCCTAACCTCTAACCCTAACCTCTAGCCCTAACCTCTAACCCTAACCTCTAGCCCTAACCTCTAACCCTAACCTAACCTTAACCTCTAACCGTGAGGCTGGATGATGATGATGATGAAAGACTACGGGAAGATGACGGAAGACTACGGGAAGATGACGGGACAGAAGCCTACGGGAAGATGCCGGAAGACTGCGGGAGACGACGGAAGACTATGGGAAGCTGCCGGGAAGATGACGGAAGAGAGATGACGGAAGACTACGGGAAGATGACGGAAGACTACACGAAGATGACGAAAGACTACGGGAAAATGACGGAAGCGGAAGACTGCGGGAAGATGTACGGGAAGCTGACGGGAAGATGACGGAAGACTGCGGGAAGATGCCGGAAGACTACGGTAAGATGACGGAAGACTGCGGGAAGATGACGGAAGACTACGGGAAGATGACGGAAGACTACACCAAGATGACGGAAGACTACGGGAAGATGACGGAAGATGATGGAGGACTGCGGCAAGAAGCTGACGGGAAGATGACGGAAGACTACGGGAAGCTGATGGAACACTACGGGAATTGACGGGAAGATGACGGAAGACTATGGGAAGACAATGGAAGACTACGGGAAGATGACGAAGACTGCGGGAAGATGACGGAAGATGTCAGAAGACCACGGGAAGATAACGAAAGACTACGGGAAGAGCACGGAAGACTACAGGAAGATGACGGAAGACTACGGGAAGATGACCCTACTCTAACCCTAACTTCTAACCCTGACCTCTAACTCTAACCTCTAACCCTAACCTCTAACCCTAACCTCTAACCCTAACCTCAACCTCTAACCCTAACCTCTAACCTCTAACCCTAACCTCTAACCTCTAACCCTAACCTCTATCCCTAAACTCTAACCCTAGCCTCCAACCCTAACCTCTAACCATGCAAAGCATCACCCTGGGCACCTGCAGGATGATGCTGGTGAAGCAAAAGCCGCCTTTTTCTACAATAGCCCTTGCGCCAGGAAGCTGCACCAATGCTGGAGATAACAATGATGATGCTGTTACGGGGGTCGGCGGCATCAGGCGTCAGCCTGCTAAATCCGGCCACCGGACGTGATCGGGCCGCAGGCCAAAGCCCGCTAGGGCTTACCTTCAGGTATAAGGGCGCGCCCCATGCCGCCGACCATGCGCGGACCATGCGCATACGTTTTGTGCTGGGCCTGCCCTTATAAGGAGCGAAGGATTCGCGGATTGGTTTAGGCGATTTTCGGGGTTTTTTGTAGCATCTCCCCGCAGCGCCCAAAAACGAGTATTTTTAGGGGGTGCCTAATACTGGACAACACCCCCAGCATTGCCAGCATCAGCCTGGATGATGCGGATGATGTTATGCATGCTGGCGATGCGGGTGGTGCTGGGGATGTTGTCCCCTAAGTCGGGCCAATTTTGCCGAAAACTTGCAACCTGAAAATCTTAAAATCTAAAGTGGATGGAAAATGGCCTGGGTTGAAATCTCAAAATTCTAAAGTGTTAGATTCTTAAAATCTCAAATTAAAATCTAACAATCAATCTTAGAATCTCAAGATCTTAAAATATTAGAACTTAGAATCTTCAAATCTGGAAATATATAAACTTCCTAAAGTAATCGAATCTTCAAACCTTAAAAACCTTGTCTTAGAATCTTGAGATCTTAAACTCTTAAAATATGAAATTCCTAAAGTCTTCCAATCTTAAAATCTCGGAATCTGAAAAAGCTTTAAAAACTTAAATTCTTTAAACCTCGAACACTTGAAATCTGAAAATCTTAAATTATTAAAATATTACATTCCTTCAATCCGGGCTATATTTTAACTTCCTTAAACTCTTAATCTTGAATTGTTGAAACCTTGAAACCTTAAGATCTTAAAATTACAACCTTAGAAAATAGAATCTTGCAACCTGAAGATATAAACATCCTCAAGTCTTCGAATCTTGACTTCTTAAAACCCTCATGTCGTTGAATCTTCAGATGTTAAAATCTTAAAATATGAAATTCCGAAATTCTCAAAATATTAAAATCTCAGAATCTTAAAAGCTTCAAAAACTTAAACTCTTTAAATCTCGAACTATTGCAATCTGAAAATCCAAAATTCATAAACAAGTAAAATATAATAAAATTCCTTCAATCCGGGCTATATTCTAAATTCCTTAAACTCTTAATCTTGAAATTTTGAAGTCTTGACATCTTAAGATCATAAAATCTTAAATTCCGAAAGTCGCCAAATCTGAAAATCTCACAAAAAAATCTTAAAGCAATCGAAATCTGATAATGGATGGAAAATGGCTGGGCAATGGCCTGGCTGTTATAACCTTCAAAAACCTTACATCTTCGAATCTTAGAACCTTAATTCTTAAACCATTGAAACCTTAAATTCCGAAAGTCTTCAAATCTGAGACCCTTAGAATCTCAAAGTTTTTCGAATTTTGAAATCTTAACATCTACTCATCGGACTTACAGGACAGGGAAGTGACAGAAACCCTCATGTCTTTGAATCTTCAGATGTTAAAATCTTAAAATATGAAATTCCGAAATTCTCAAAATATTAAAATCTCAGAATCTTAAAAGCTTCAAAAACTTAAACTCTTTAAATCTCGAACTATTGCAATCTGAAAATCTTAAATTCATGAACAAGTAAAATATAATAAAATTCCTTCAATCCGGGCTATATTCTAAATTCCTTAAACTCTTAATCTTCAAATTTTGAAGTCTTGACATCTTAAGATCCTAAAATCTTAAATTCCGAAAGTCGCCAAATCTGAAAATCTCACAAAAAAATAAATTCTTAAAGCCTTCGAAATCTGATAATGGATGGAAAATGGCTGGGCAATGGCCTGGCTGTTATAACCTTCAAAAACCCTACCTCTTGGAATCTTAGAACCTTAATTCTTAAACCATTGAAACCCTAAATTCCAAAAGTCTTCAAATCTGAGACCCTTAGAATCTCAAAGTTTTTGGAATCTTTAAATCTTAACATCTACTCACCGGACTTACCGGAAAGGGAAGTGACAGAACGGGCAGGGCCAGGTGCCCGGTGGCCGGCTGTG